TCGTTTATTGTTTTGTCGAGTGTTTATTAAGTTAAATAAACATGTACGTATATCACGCTGCGCCTTGGTCTGACCCGTCAATGAACGAACGTGACAGCATGGTGGTGGCTGCATCATGGTATGGGTATGTTTGACATCAGTAAAGACTGTGGAGTTTTTCAGGATGAAAAGAAACGGGATGGAGCTAAGCACAGAAATCCTAGAGGAAAATCTGCTTCAGTCTGCTTTACACCAGACACTGGGAGAAGAATTCACCTTTCATCAGGACAATAACCTACAACTCATCTACTCTGGAGTTGCTTACCAAGACGAGAGGCCAAGTCACAGTTTGGACATAAATCTGCTTGAAAATCTGTGGCAAGACTTGAAATTACTATCTAGCCATGATCCCCATCACCTTGACAGAGCTTTAATAATTCTGAAAAGAATAATGGGCAAATATTGCACAATCCAGGTGTGCAAAGCTCTTATGAGACTTACCCAAGAAGACTCACAGCTGTAATCACTGCCAAAGGTGTTTCTAACATGCATTGACTCAGGGGGGTGAATACTTACCTTATCAATGTATATTAGTGTTTTATTTTTCCTTAATCTTAAACAAAAAAATAGAATTTGTGTTCCACTTTGAGATTACAGAATATTTTGTGTAGATCTTTGACAAGAAAAATTACAATTAAATCAATTTTAATCCCCATGAACAGGTTTACATTCTAATAATGCAGACAAAAGCAGTCACTTCAGCATTCTCAAAGAATCAAAACATTCACAACAAAAAACGTAGTTTGAATGGAACGGGTTCAAAGGCACAGTGTGAAATCTATCTCCCCTGGCCTGGTTGCCAGGTAACCATGTTGTGAGACTCTTTGTGAGTGTGAGTTCACACAAGGATATCCTGTTACAGACCTGCCAAACATGTTACCACCCCAGGTAAGGCATTTTACCAGAGGTTGTACAGATGATTATGCATTACGCACAATGGGTGTCCAACACAGGCGGCTGGTGGCAGCTTCATTGGGGAGGACGGGCTCAAAGTAATGGCTGGAATGGAATAAATGGAACGGTATCAAATACATTGTTTCCATGAGCTTGATATCATTCCATCTAATCCATTCCAGCCATTATTATGAGCCATCCTCCCCAATGAAGCTGCCACCAGCCTCCTGTGGTGCCAAACACCCATGTTACAGTAACTCATCCTGGATTGAAAGGGTCTAATGTAAAAAGGCCTTCAAATGCTTTGTGTGTGTTTGTGTGTGCGTGTGTGTGTGTCTGTGTGTGTGTGTGTCTCACCGCTCCGAGTTGATGCTGTGGTCTGTCAGGTCACTCTTCAGAGAGTCCAGTTCACTCTGCAGGAAGGCTATGTTAGTGTGAGACTGCATCAACTCCTGCTTCAACCTCTGGTTCTCCTGGGAAGAGAGAGTGATAGAGAGAGAGAGAGAGGGAGGCAGGGAAAGAGAGAGAGCGAGTGAAAGAGAGCGAAAATAGAGCGAAAGAGAAAGATGACAAAAGAGAAAGAGCGAGATAAAGACAAAGAGAGAGAGCAGAGAGAGAAAGAGAGAGAGGAGGGGTTAGGGACAGGCGACAGCAGGGTCAGAGCCAGACTGATTCAGCTCCATTGTCTGGAGCAGGAAATGGAGCAGAGATAAAGTATATGTACAGAGTGATATAGGACTATCTGGAAGAGCCATCTCACCAGAGTCAGTTCGTTGATCTTCCTCTTCAGGGTTGAAGACTCATCTTTCATGTTGATGTTCTTGTACTGGTCTTCAATCTGAGGAGGGAGTAGACATTTAGTAACACAAATGCTGCTTGCCTTCAGCGAATCAGCATCTTCAGAGGCACAGATAGCAGCATAGATGTATTTAATTCAATGGCGACTATCCTGTGTTCATCTGATTGTTTCATGAACCAAGACACTTAGTGGGTGAACATAAGTGATTGGCTAGACTAGTAGTCCAGGCGATAGGTACCAAATTTGAGGTGAATTGTTCACTTTTTCATAAAAGCATGAAACTTGCCCCCAAACTGTTTAAGGGTACCAAGTTTCATGCTTTTATGAAAAAATGAAAATTTCTGTCAAATTTGGCATGGACTGTAGAGGATATCTAGAGTGTACTAGATGGAACAGTATGAGGAATAGTCCAATGGTAAACTCACCAGCTGCATCTTCTGGACCTTGTGCTGCAGCTCACACACCTCGGACTCATAGTGTCTCTTCAGCTCACTCAGAGCTGCCTCAGCCCTCTTGGCCTCCTACAGACAACACAATGGAACAAATGTTTAGCATCATCCCCTCACTTATGGCCTCCACAAGGACTGAAGACACAACTATAGAGGCTAACATCATCATCAACTGTTCACACACTGCCAACATACAGAGACCACTACTGCCAAAAACCACAACTACTATTGTCCAAATACTCAACTCAATACTTAAGGTGACAGGTGTTTGGGACAGGGTAGTGTGGGTGACAGGTGGAGGAGCCAGGGTAGTGTGGGTGAGAGGTGGAGGAGCCAGGGTAGTGTGGGTGACAGGTGGAGGAGCCAGGGTAGTGTGGGTGAGAGGTGTTTGGTCCAGGGTAGTGTAGGTGACAGGTGTTTGGGACAGGGTAGTGTGGGTGACAGGTGTTTGGGACAGGGTAGTGTGGGTGACAGGTGTTTGGGACAGGGTAGTGTGGGTGACAGGTGTTTGGGACAGGGTAGTGTGGGTGACAGGTGTTTGGGACAGGGTAGTGTGGGTGACACGTGTTTGGTCCAGGGTAGTGTGGGTGACACGTGTTTGGTCCAGGGTAGTGTGGGTGACAGGTGTTTGGGACAGGGTAGTGTGGGTGACACGTGTTTGGTCCAGGGTAGTGTGGGTGACAGGTGTTTGGGACAGGGTAGTGTGGGTGACAGGTGTTTGGTCCAGGGTAGTGTGGGTGACAGGTGTTTGGGACAGGGTAGTGTGGGTGACAGGTGTTTGGTCCAGGGTAGTGTGGGTGACAGGTGTTTGGTCCAGGGTAGTGTGGGTGACAGGTGTTTGGGACAGGGTGGTGTGGGTGACAGGTGTTTGGGACAGGGTGGTGTGGGTGACAGGTGTTTGGTCCAGGGTAGTGTGGGTGACAGGTGTTTGGGACAGGGTGGTGTGGGTGACAGGTGTTTGGGACAGGGTGGTGTGGGTGACAGGTGTTTGGGACAGGGTAGTGTGGGTGACAGGTGTTTGGGACAGGGTGGTGTGGGTGACAGGTGTTTGGGACAGGGTAGTGTGGGTGACAGGTGTTTGGTCCAGGGTAGTGTGGGTGACAGGTGGAGGAGCCAGCAAACATGTAATCCGATTACTATTGGTTGTAAATAGGCTGCTGGGCGGTTGTTGAGTTGTTTTGATATAGTTATTTGTGTGATAGAGGGGAAATCTGCAGTTAAACAATATTTGAGGATATACAGTGGTTGTTTACAATTGCATTATTTACAAACAATTAAGTAAAACAAGCTTACTATTCAAATCAAATACAAAATCTAATTTTATTTGTCACACGCTTCGTAGACAACAGTGAAATGCTTACTTACGGGTCCTTTTCCAACAACGCAGAGTTAAAGATAAGAAAAAAATAATAATTTAAAATATAAATATTGGCATAGTGAATAACGAATAAAAATAACAAGTAAAAATAACATGGCTATATACAGGGAGTACCAGTACCGAGTCCATGTGCAGGGGTTCGATGTAATTGAGTTAGCGATGTACTGTACATATAGGTAGGGGTAAAGTGACTAACAGCAGCGTATGTGGTGAGTGAAAGTGTGTCTGTGTGTGTGTGTGTGTGTGTGTTGGGGTGTCAGTGTAAGTATGTGTGAGTGTGTGGGTAGATTCCAGTGTGTGTGTGTGCATAGTGTTAGTGAAAGATAGTTAGTGCAAAAAAGGGTAAATTCAGGTAGTCCGGGTGGCCATTTTATTAGCTATTTAGCAGTCTTGTTAAGAAGTCTTATGGCTTGGGGGTAGAAGCTGTTCAGGGCCCTGTTGTTCCAGACTTGGTGCATTGGTACCGCTTGCCGTGCGGTAGCAGAGAGAACAGTCTGTGGCTTGGGTGGCTGGCGTCTTTGACAATTTGGGTGGCTGGCGTCTTTGACAACGATGTACTGGGCCGTACGCACTACCCTCTGTAGCGCCTTGCAGTCGGAGCAGTTGCCATACCAAGTGGTGATGCAGCCAGTCAAGATGCTCTCAATGGTGCAGCTGTACAACTCTTTGAGTGCCCATGCAAAATCTTTCCAGCCTCCTGAGGAGGAATAGGCGTTGTCGTGCCCTCTTCATGATAAGACTGTTCCCAGAGTAGAGAAATTAGAGATTGAACCATTTCCCCAGATGAGATTGGGAATAATGTCCAGATTCCTGGAAAAGGAGCACTCAGTCACCTCACCACATTCTATCTAATGTTGATTTGGAGTCCCAGGAATGTCCCTGTTGAGTTACTTTATTCGTTTTTAAGGACTGGGATATTCCCACTCCTTTTGTATTTGTTCTTTATTAGATAGGACAGTGAAAGACTGACAGGAAAGGTACAGGTAGGAGAAGAGGAGAGCAGGAGAGGGTGTGATGGAATAGCATTACCTCAGAATATGCAACGACTTAGACTGCTAGACCGCCCCAGGCCACCCACTGGAGTTACTTTGAGCCAGATGAAAATCCAGACATGAAAACAGGTTGATGTATCAAGCACTCCTCCTGACCTGGCCACAGCTGAGGTGTGTTTGAGGTTCTATGAGTAATCTGATCCCAGATCCCTCTCTATTTGACATGAGGGAAGAGATGAGCTCAACCCTTCTTATCAGTCTGTCTAAACATTGTGGGAACACAACCTGCTCATACCGCCTGATAAATGGACATCATTTCTGAAGTGAATCATGCAAGTGTGTGTGTGTGTGTGTGTGTGTGTGTGTGTGTGTGTGTGTGTGTGTGCGCATGTGTGTGTGTGTGTGTGTGTGTGTGTGTGTGTGTGTGTGTGTGTGTGTGTGTGTGTCACCTGATGCCTTGTGTTGTTCTCGGCTGTGTGGATGCGTTGATCCATCTCCTCCTCCATCTCACTGAGTTGAATGGAGGCCTTGTCCTGGGCCCTGAGCAGAAATACAACATAAAAACATAATATATTATATCTGTGTTGGTGTGTGTAGAACATAATATTATATCTGTGTTGGTGTGTGTAGAACATAATAATATATCTGTGTTGGTGTGTGTAGAACATAATACTATATTATATCTGTGTTGGTGTGTGTAGAACATAATAATATTATATCTGTGTTGGTGTGTGTAGAACATAATAATATATATGTGTTGGTGTGTGTAGAACATAATAATATATCTGTGTTGGTGTGTGTAGAACATAATACTATATTATATCTGTGTTGGTGTGTGTAGAACATAATAATATTTTATATGTGTTGGTGTGTATAGAACATAATAATATATCTGTGTTGGTGTGTGTAGAACATAATAATATATTATATATGTGTTTGTGTGTGTAGAACATAATATTATATCTGTGTTGGTGTGTGTAGAACATAATAATATATTATATCTGTGTTGGTGTGTGTAGAACATAATAATATATATGTGTTGGTGTGTGTAGAACATAATAATATATTATATCTGTGTTGGTGTGTGTATAACATAATAATATATTATATCTGTGTTGGTGTGTGTAGAACATAATAATATTTTATATGTGTTGGTGTGTGTAGAACATAATATTATATCTGTGTTGGTGTGTGTAGAACATAATATTATATATGTGTTGGTGTGTGTAGAACATAATAATATATCTGTGTTGGTGTGTGTAGAACATAATAATATATTATATCTGTGTTTGTGTGTGTAGAACATAATATTATATCTGTGTTGGTGTGTGTAGAACATAATAATATGTTATATCTGTGTTGGTGTGAGTAGAACATAATATTATATCTGTGTTGGTGTGTGTAGAACATAATAATATATTATATCTGTGTTGGTGTGTGTAGAACATAATAATATATATGTGTTGGTGTGTGTAGAACATAATAATATATTATATCTGTGTTGGTGTGTGTAGAACATAATAATATATATGTGTTGTGTGTGTAGAACATAATAATATATTATATCTGTGTTGGTGTGTGTAGAACATAATAATATTTTATATGTGTTGGTGTGTGTAGAACATAATAATATATCTGTGTTGGTGTGTGTAGAACATAATACTATATTATATCTGTGTTGGTGTGTGTAGAACATAATAATATTATATCTGTGTTGGTGTGTGTAGAACATAATAATATATATGTGTTGGTGTGTGTAGAACATAATAATATATCTATGTTGGTGTGTGTAGAACATAATACTATATTATATCTGTGTTGGTGTGTGTAGAACATAATAATATTTTATATGTGTTGGTGTGTATAGAACATAATAATATATCTGTGTTGGTGTGTGTAGAACATAATAATATATTATATCTGTGTTTGTGTGTGTGTAGAACATAATATTATATCTGTGTTGGTGTGTGTAGAACATAATAATATATTATATCTGTGTTGGTGTGTGTAGAACATAATAATATATATGTGTTGGTGTGTGTAGAACATAATAATATATTATATCTGTGTTGGTGTGTGTATAACATAATAATATATTATATCTGTGTTGGTGTGTGTAGAACATAATAATATTTGATATGTGTTGGTGTGTGTAGAACATAATATTATATCTGTGTTGGTGTGTGTAGAACATAATATTATATCTGTGTTGGTGTGAGTAGAACATAATATTATATCTGTGTTGGTGTGTGTAGAACATAATAATATATCTGTGTTGGTGTGTGTAGAACATAATAATATATTATATCTGTGTTGGTGTGTGTAGAACATAATAATATATCTGTGTTGGTGTGTGTAGAACATAATAATATATTATATCTGTGTTGGTGTGTGTAGAACATAATAATATATTATATCTGTGTTGGTGTGAGTAGAACATAATATTATATCTGTGTTGGTGTGTGTAGAACATAATATTATATCTGTGTTGGTGTGAGTAGAACATAATAATATATTAAAGCTGTGTTGGTGTGTGTAGAACATAATAATATATCTGTGTTGGTGTGTGTAGAACATAATAATATATTATATCTGTGTTGGTGTGTGTAGACAAATAATAATATATGATATCTGTGTTGGTGTGTGTAGAACATATTAATATATTATATATGTGTTGGTGTGTGTAGACAAATAATAATATATTATATCTGTGTTGGTGTGAGTAGACAAATAATAATATATTAGATCTGTGTTGGTGTATGTAGAACATAATAATATATTAAAGCTGTGTTGGTGTGTATAGAACGTAATAATATATCTGTGTTGGTGTGAGTAGAACATAATAATATATTATATCTGTGTTGGTGTGTGTAGACAAATAATAATATATGATATCTGTGTTGGTGTGTGTAGAACATAATAATATATTATATCTGTGTTGGTGTGTGTAGACAAATAATAATATATTAGATCTGTGTTGGTGTATGTAGAACATAATAATATATGATATCTGTGTTGGTGTGTGTAGAACATAATATTATATTATATATGTGTTGGTGTATGTAGAACATAATAATATACTATATCTGTGTTGGTGTATGTAGAACATAATAATATATCTGTGTTGATGTGTGTAGAACATAATAATATATTTTATCTGTGTTGGTGTGTGTAGAACATAATAATATATGATATCTGTGTTGGTGTGTGTAGAACATAATATTATATTATATCTGTGTTGGTGTATGTAGAACATAATAATATATCTGTGTTGATGTGTGTAGAACATAATAATATATTTTATCTGTGTTGGTGTGTGTAGAACATAATAATATATGATATCTGTGTTGGTGTGTGTAGAACATAATATTATATTATATCTGTGTTGGTGTATGTAGAACATAATAATATATCTGTGTTGATGTGTGTAGAACATAATAATATATTTTATCTGTGCTGGTGTGTGTAGAACATAATAATATTATATATGTGTTGGTGTGTGTAGAACATAATATTATATTATATCTGTGTTGGTGTGTGTGTGTGTATATTTGAGGGTGTGTATGATAGAATGTCTGCAGTGTATGTACAGTATGTGTTTTTAAGTGAACTGCGTTTGTCCGTGAGTGTGTATGTTTGTGTGTGTGTACCGTTTGACAGCCAGGGCCAGGTTCTCCATCTCAGCGTTGTGCTGTTTGATCTCTCTAGTGAAACTCATGATGACTCTCTCATACTGAGGCACCATCCTGGGCTCTGCCATACTGATGTTCTGGTACAGCGTGGCTGCCTGCTCATTCCTACAGACACAACACAAAAAGACAGACAAACAGACAGACAGATAGACAGGCTTACAGACAGACAGAGAGGCAGGCAGACAGACAGACAGACAGACACAGACAGACAGACAGACAGACAGACAGACAGACAGACAGACAGACAGACAGACAGACAGACAGACAGACAGACAGACAGACAGACAGACAGACAGACAGACAGACAGACAGACAGACACAGACAGACAGACAGACAGACAGACAGACAGACAGACAGACAGACAGACAGACAGACAGACAGACAGACAGACAGACAGACAGACAGACAGACAGACAGAGGATGGACGGACGGGCAGAAAGGCAGGCAGACAGACAGAGAGACAGACAGAGACAGACAGAGAGACAGACAGAGAGACATACAGAGAGACATACAGAGAGACAGACAGAGAGGCAGACAGACGGAGAACAGACGGACGGACAGAAAGACAGACATACGAACAGACCGACAGGAAGGGAACGTTAACACAACAGCATAATGTCTGAACAGCTATTTACCACTAGAACCATCTAGAACCACTAGTTAATATACCTCTCTAGTAGCTACTATCATAACATTTCTACAGCACACTAACATCAATGCAACGCATCGGCAAAGTTCTGATGCTATTACTATCATGCTGCAACAATATCATTCATTTCAACAGTGTTGACATTGTTGTTGTACTTTGAAATGGTAGCTTCCTCATCATGGGCTGGGTCCAGGTATCTAGGCTATTTGTTGAACTGGAGAATAAGTAGGTTTAACACTTAGGGGGTTGAAACACACCTGTTCATCTGTATACCTGTGTGGCTTACAGTATTTACCTAATATATACATGCTCTTTCAGGTACTTACATTTACATTTAAATGTTAATTTCAAATTTCCCTGATTGCATAATAATTGTGGAGCCATTTTACATGTTAATCTGCCCGATTAAGATAGTAACTCATTCATGGCTTTGGTAAAACTGGGTCAGACAGGTAGAGGTATCTAAAGTGTGTGAGTGTGTGTTTGCCTTCAACATGGTGACCAGAATATAATCCTTAAGCATATAGATTTAGTGTCACAGTCAACAGCCCCCGTCAAGACAGGCAGCATCACTGGTACATGCCACGGGTCATAATATCCAGGGCTTACAGAGAGAACACCTTCTTACATGCAATCTAAGAAATGCTAAATACTTTTAATAGTAATACTTTTGATAGTAATCAAAAGTGACAGAGGTGCCTGGAGTTAACTCATGTTTAACACACATCTAGTTACTTGCTTTCTTAAAGCAGAACTACTTAGGAGGGGAACCATACCTGATCCCTGCTCTACTCCAACCATGGTTCTTCCATGGCAGGGGGAATGGATGCAATGTTGAAATCAAATCAAATTAAATGTTATTTGTCACATGCGCCGAATACAACAGGTGTACAGTGAAATGCTTACTTACAAGCCCTTAACCAACAATGCAGTTTTAAGAATACCTAAAAAATTATAAGAAATGAAAGTAACAAATAATTAAAGAGCAGCAGTAAAATAACAATAGCGAGGCTATATACAGGGGGTACCGGTACCGAGTCAATGTGCGGGGGCACCGGTTAGTCGAGGTAATTGAGGTAATATGTACATGTAGGTAGAGTTATTAAAGTGACTATGCATAGATGATAAACAGAGTAGCAGCAGTGTAATGCAATGCAAATAGTCTGGGTAGCCATTTGATTGGATGTTCAGGATACTTATGGCTTGGGGTAGAATCTGTTTAGAAGCCTCTTGGACCTAGACTTGGCGCTCCGGTATCGCTTGCTGTGCCGTAGCAGAGAGAACAGTCTATGACTAGGGTGGCTGGAGACTTTGACAATTTTTAGGGCCTTCCTCTGACACCGCCTGGTATAGAGGTCCTGGATGGCAGGAAGCTTGGCCCCAGTGATGTACTGGGCCGTACACACTACCCTCTGTAGTGCCTTGTGGTCGGAGGCCGAGCAGTTGCCATACCAGGCAGTGACGCATCTGTTGCTAGGGCTGTTGCTAGAACTTGCTAAATTCTGACCCGATTACGTAATGAACCAAAGCGTCCGTTGCTATGCTGGTTGCATGAAAGTGAGAAAGAAAGGATGAAAGTGAGAGAGGGAGAGAGAGGTGGGAAGAGAGTGGAAGACAGACAGAGCGAGATGGAGAGAGAGAAACAAAGAGAGAAAGACAGCAGTGCAAATGTACTCAGACTAGAGTATTTCAACAACTCTTCTCTTCCAACTTGTTAGGCAATCATACAGTGCCTTCAGAAAGTATTCAGACCCCTTGACTTTTTCCAAATGTTTTACGTTACAGCCTTATTCTAAAATGGATTAAATAAATACAAATCCTCGGCAATCTACACACAATACCCCATAATTACAAAGCAAAAACAGGTTTTTAGAAATTTTTGCAAATGTATTAAAACAAGTATTCAGACCCTTTGCTATGAGACTCGAAATTGAACTCAGGTGCATCCCGTTTCCATTGATCATCCTTGAGATGTTTCTACAACTTGATTGGAGTCCACTTGTGGTAAATTCAATTGATAGGACATGATTTGGAAAGGCACACACCTGTTTATATAAGATCCCACAGTTGACAGTGCATGTCAGAGCAAAGACCAAGGCATGAGGTCGAAGGAATTGTCCGTAGAGCTCCGAGACAGGATTGTGTCGAGTCACAGATCTGGGGAAGAGTACCAAAACATTTCTGCAGCATTGAAGGTCCCCAAGAACACAGTGGCCTCCATCATTCTTAAATGGAAGAAGTTTGAAACCACCAAGACTCTTCCTAGAGCTGGCCGCCCGGCCAAACTGAGCAATCGGGGGAGAATGGACTTGGTCAGGGAGGTGACCAAGGACCCGATGGTCACTCTGACAGAGCTCTAGAGTTCCTCTGTGGAGATGGGAGAACCTTCCAGAAGGACAACAATCTCTGCAGCACTCCACCAATCAGGCCTTTATGGTAGAGTGGCCAGATGGAAGTCATTCCTCAGTAAAAGGCACATGACAGCCCACTTGGAGTTTGCCAAAAGGCACCTAAAGGACTCTCAGAACATGAGAAACAAGATTATCTGGTCTGATGAAACCAAGATTGAACTCTTTGGCCGGAATGCCAAGCGTCACGTCTGGAGGAAACCTGGCACCATCCCTACGGTGAAGCATGGGGGTGGCAGCATCATGCTGTGGGGATGTTTTTCAGCGGCAGGGACTGGGAGACTAGTCAGGATCGAGGCAAAGATGAACGGAGCAAAGTACAGAGAGATCCTTGATGAAAACCTGCTCCAGAGCGCTTAGGACCTCAGACTGGGATGAAGGTTCAACCTTCCAACAGGACAACGACCTAAGCACACAGCCAAGACAACGCAGGAGTGGCTTCGGGACACGTCTCTGAATGTCCTTGAGTGGCCCAGCCAGAGCCTCGACTTGAACCCGATCGAACATCTCTGAAGAGATCTGAAAATAGCTGTGCAGCAACACTCTCCATCCAACCTGACAGAGCTTAAGAGTATCTGCAGAGAAGAATGGGAGAAACTCACCAAATAAAGGTGTGCCAAGCTCGTAGCATCATACCCAAGAAGACTCAAGGCTATAATCGCTGCCAAAAATGCTTCAACAAAGTACTGAGTAAAGGGTCTGAATACTTATGTAAATGTAATATTTCCATTCTTTTTTTTTATACATTTGCAAAAATGTCTAAAAACCTGTTTTTGCTCTGTTATTATGGGGCATTGTGTGTAGATTGATGAGGGGGGAAAAGGAGAAGGAGGCCGTGCTTACCGAGATGCATGCTGGCCATTTCGGAGTGAAGTGCATTATTGCAAAAATCAACCAAGCTTCTTCTGAGGTGGACAGCTGGGCAAGTGAAATAACCTTTAGTTTATTAATTACATTCTATTATATCTGAAATTATTATAATTTCAATGAATGTCATATCAGAGAGCACACAATGTTTTAATTTGTCTGCCAGAAGTTTGAGAGGGCGAAGACTGTGGCGCCGGAGTTGAAGCTCATCAAAGTTGTTTCACCATGGCACATGATCGGTAAGTGTCCCAATTCAAATTTTGCCCTGATAAGTTGTTTTGTAATGGTTGCTTTAGTTGACCACATCAGAGGTGTGTGTGTGTGTGTGTGTGAGTCAGTATCCTTATAAATATGAAAATGTGCGTACTGTATGATACAGATACGGGTAAGAATAAAGTAATCTTCTCTCTAACACTTTAAATGTTAGGGGTGGACCTCATCAGACCACTTAATATGTTAGGGGTGGACCTCATCAGACCACTTAATATGTTAGGGGTGGACCTCATCAGACCACTTAATATGTTAGGGGTGGACCTCATCAGAACACTTTATATGTTAGGGGTGGACCTCATCAGAACACTTTATATGTTAGGGGTGGACCTCATCAGACCACTTTAAATGTTAGGGGTGGACCTCATCGGACCACTTTATATGTTAGGGGTGGACCTCATCAGACCACTTAACATGTTAGGGGTGGACCTCATCAGACCACTTTATATGTTAGGGGTGGACTTCATCGGACCACTTTAAATGTTAGAGGTGGACCTCATCGGACCCTTCACGAAATCCAGGAATGGCAACAGCTGGTGTCTGACGGCGACCGATCACTTTACCAAGTGGGTGGAGGCAATTCCCATTAAGGTCAGTAAAGGAAGAGTACGTTCTTAACTCTAAATTCCCTTCTGTAACCCATTAAAAAGGGTGCTTGGAACCAAAAATAGATTTTAGTTTTGTATGATACCCATCAAGGACGAGCCTGGCGAGGCCACCTCCAAGATGATGATGGACATCTTCAACCCACAGTTCACCCATGATTGACTTAGTAATGTTGTTTGCCTTTTGCTATTTTTGTATAATGTACTTTAAGATCACTGAAACCCCACCTGATGTGGTGGAAGTTGTCGAACCAGATCAGAACGCCTTCGAGGACCACCTTCAGGCACGGACTGAGAAGGATGTGGAGGTTTTTGACCAGGTGAAAATGATTGTCCGCTGATAATTTATTTTCTGGCCCTCCAAGAGATATGTAAGAAATGTATTTGTAACATGAAATATAATTGCATTTATTTCTGTTATCAATCAAGATGAGACTGAACATGGACAAGGCTCCAGGAGAAACAGAAGGAGAGCCACCGGAGCATAATCAATAAGGGGACCAAGTGCTACGACATCCGGGCGAATTACTTGGTTTGGAAGAAGGACGAAAGGAAGGCGAGACCTGGGAAACCTTGCTGCTCTTTCGCTCCTAGCTGGGGTCACCATCTGTTAAGGTGAATATAAAAAATCTCAGATAATAACTATTTAAATTTGCACACAAAATAACCTGGAGCTAGTTTTAGTTTCCCTAACACTGATATTTTTCATACTGGTCACATAATATGTGAGATACACAGATTAACTAAAAACACTAGCACTGCAAACACTCAGAACAAAGAGAACAGCAGTGCCTGGACTTTGCAGTCTCCCTCTTAAAGTCAAAATCTGTGAAAATAAATGAATGACACAACTGTACCAAAAAATATCAACGTTTATGTATTAAAATCTTAAATATTGCCAGGTTGGTTTTCACAGCTGTTTCACAGGGTGTTCATTATTGTAAGTTGTAAGGTATCCTTTGATGGTATTTATTTGTTCCACATTATTCGTTGTTGTTTCCTTGGACCTACAACAGATACATATATATTCAACCACAAGGGTGTACTAATAAACTATGCGAGATTGAAAAAAATGAATCATAATAGAGGACTACTGAAATTATATTATTTCAGTGTAGACAAAGGAAGGGCAGGTTAAAATAAGAACATGACAGCCAGACAAGCCAGTGTATGAATCAAACGTATTTGCATATGAATGGAGTGGAAATTAGCTGACTTCGTGATCTGTAAAGTAATTAACTTTAATGTGTCAAGCAGATTACACGTTTTATTTGCCATTTCCAGAAACGTAGCAACGTTTAAGACATGGATTTCATGTTGTAATGTTAACAAGGTACCCAAAAGTAGTTTGAAGTAATGTTTTCATTTTATTAGCTAAACAAAACTTGTTTAAACAGCTAAATTGTCACGGAAATCAGCCTTGTTTGCATAGCGATGATGAAAAGAACGTCATTTAGGCTGTAATGACCTCCAAAATTCGAATCATTAGGTCATCACACCGTTGATATAGCAACGGACGGTAATAGTTTATCAAATCCCAATGTGATGCAGAGGGGGACACTTTTTGGTCGGGGGACATTATTTGGCATGACATGCCCCAGTAAGGTTTCGTGGCCCCCCCTCCGAACACCCAGTTTTATGGCTAATATCATGCTTTTCTACACATTTTGCCACAAGGCTGAGAGAAAATGTTGCAGTTTTACAGCTAACTTCCTGTAATTCTATTTTTTTTTGCCATGGGTTATGATGTGTTCATATGCTATCATTTGCAAAAAATGTCTTTTTTGGGTTGCAGGCCCCCCCCCTCCCCCTATTGGTTACACACACTGAAAAAGTACATTGAAACTGTTTTATGCATACATTCCTATATGACAATATGTAAAGCAAAAGTTTTTTTAATTAGCCTATACATTTTTTTTTTGCAATGTGATCCATACTTGACCTGGGTATGAATTTGGCATGGTCCCCTAGTCGGGTCTGGAAATCTTCCCAGGCTGGAGAGGAGTGTTCCCAGCTCTCGCTCTCCATGTTCCCGTCATACACTTGCTCCGAGATCCCGTGGAAGCCGCTAATGAACTCCGCTAGATTGATTGTCCCGTCTCTGTCCTTGTCCAGTTTAGAGAATATGTGCTCTCTCTCCGTCTGTGGAACATTGAGCTCTGAGCAGATTTTGATGAACTCGTTTTTTTCAATCTGTCCAGAATTATCCTCATCACAAGCGTGAAAGAGCGAACACAGACTCTCCCGGTCCGTACTCATGCCTGGTAACGACATGGTTAAGTCCAGAATGGAAATCCCCAGCAACGAACCACGCAGACACCACCTTTGGAAAGACCACTATGGCCAATAACAATAAAGCAACGTTTTTAACCAATTAAATTCCTTTTACCACCATTTTACGAACTTCAAGTCAGAGGTTTTTATCCAAGTCTTTCAACACTGTCAAACAACTTATCGAGGCCCAGAAAAACAAAAATATAGTTGTTCATTAACAAAAATATAGTTGTTCATTCTCTCCAGGAGGACTTCGACTGCCTTGGGCTAACGGTATTAATGTGTCGTCCTTCGTCCTAGTGTCATTTATCAAGTCTTGTGTCGTCCTCTTTGCGGTGCTGTGACAGTCACCTTGCCGCGGGTCTCTTGCCAGGTGCAAGGGTGGTGAGAGGTGGGGCGCGTACGGCTGCTGACGCGGCGTACCTACTTTAGCACTCTCTTGTGTCGGCCTCTCAACTTCGAGAAGAACAGTCACAAAACAAACAAGAACTGGGCGTCCGGCCAAGCGCAGTTACATAATTACCTGTAATATGTTGAATAAATGAAACACAAAAACTTAAAAAACGGTGTTTCCATAGAGATTGTCTAGAAGACCAAGACCCCTTTCTGTCTGGCTGCTAGATAATGAGAAACTTTCACTAACAATCAGCATGTAAAAATAAATTTAAAATGATCTACAAAATATTTGTACCTTGACTAGATAGATGTAATTTGGATGAAGCTTGCCTGATAACACATCATCTTATGAAGGAGGTGATGGAAGGCGGGCCCTTGACACACTTGTGCTGTGGAGACCTTACATGCTTCTTTAATATCACACAGGCTGTATTTACAAAGTGTTTAATTTGATTTGAGTCATGCCTCTGTGGTAACTGTGGAGGAGTTTGTCAGATGTGTTACCAATTTCAACAAAAAAGTGTGTCTGTGTCTGTGTGTGTGTATCAAGTCAGCGGGTAGAGTTTAACAGTGGGGTTGATGTCTCTGATCTCCTTCTCGGTAGGGATGTAGGCACAGCCGTAGAGATGCAGTAGTTTCAACCTAGAGAGAGAGAGAGAGAGAGAGAGAGAGAGGGAGATAGGGAGAGAAGGAGAGAGGGAGAGGGAGAGAGAGAGGGAGAGAGAGAGAGGGAGAGAGACCTATTAAAATTCCCTGAACAGAAATCAACAGAAAACTGACATTTCTAAGGGTTGTTGATTTTTCCTCTCAATCTATCTGCTAATCACTTTGTGTGTTATGCCTCCGGGGTTTCCCAAGGTACAGATTTAGGATCAGCTTCCCTTCCCCAATACTAGCCTTAGCCATTAGTGGGGAAAACCACCCTACATCGTTGACATGCGTGTGTGCTTTAATTTTACCGTTTGCACCGCCTGCTGAGGTTGTGGATGGCCTCTGGGCTGATCTGGCAGAAGCTCAGTTTGACAGTGTGAAGGTGAGTGCTGCAGTAGTTTGCCAACAGGCTCACCCTGTCAGGGACACACATGTTACACACACAGTCAGTGACACACACACACAGCCAAGAAGAAGTCAAGAATGTCAGAAGCATGGAAGACGCAAGCATTAGAAATCAACCCTGCAAGCTTCTGCATGACTGTGAGTGCAGTGTACAGATGTAGGATCTTAATTTGATAACTTTTGTTGCTGAGAATTATTTTGTTGCAAAGCAGGAAATGCAAACTTGTAGTGTTTTTGACTTTTTAAAATCAAATCAAATCAAATTGTCTTTGCCACATGGGCCGAATACAACAGGTGTAGACCTTACAGTGAAAGGCTTACTTACAAGCCCTTAACCAACAATACAGTTTAAAGAAAAATAAGTGTTAAGTAAAAAATAGATAAGTACAAAATAAAATAAAACAATTATTAAAGAGCAGCAGTAAAATAAAATAACAGTAGGGAGGCTATATACAGGAGGTACCGGTACAGAGTCAATGTGTGGGGGCACCGGTTAGTTTAGGTAATTGAGGTAATATGTACATGTGGGTAGATTTAAAGTGACTATGCATAGATAATAAACAAAGTAGCAGCAGCGTAAAAGAGGGGGTGGGGTGGGGTGGGGGGGGACAATGCAAATAGTCTGGGTAGCCATGATTAGCTGTTCAGGAGTCTTATGACTTGGGGGTAGAAGCTGTTAAGAAAACTTTTGGACCTAGACTTGGTGCTCCGGTACCGCTTGCCGTGCGGTAGCAGAGAGAACAGTCTATGACTAGGGTGGCTGGAGTCTTTGATAATTTCTAGGGCCTTCCTCTGACACCGCCTGGTATAGAGGTCCTGGATGGCAGGAAGCTTGACCCTAGTGATGTACTGGGCCGTACGCACTACCCTCTGTAGTGCCTTGCGGTCGGAGGCCGAGCAGTTGCCATGAAAGGCAGAGATGCAACCAGTCAAGATGCTCTCGATGGTGCAGCTGTATAACTTTTTGAGGATCTGAGGTTTTGTCGTGCCCTCTTCACGACTGTCTTGGTGTATTTGGACCATGGTAGTTTGTTGGTGATGTGGACACCAAGGAACTTGAAGCTCTCAACATGAGAAGGCTTTTAAAGTTTGTAATTTCCACTATGAAATTTCAGACTTGATTTGCCCTAACAAAAAATGTATAAACCCCTACAAAAATGTCCATTAATTATAATCCACATAATAATTCACATTTCCTGTTGCTGCATGATTATTTTCCTGCTGTAGCAAACTGGCTCAAATTAAGATCCTACATCTATAAATGGTGTGTGTGTGCCTATGAGGACACAGAGGCCCGGACCTGGGTAATAAAAAAAAACAACAATATTATTTGTTAAGGAACTCAGTCAGGTTCTCAACTTACTGTTGAGAGTTAGAATAGTAGAATACACAAGTTTCAATTTCGAAACTTGGTTGTGCATCAGGAGCTTTCCTCTTGTTATATGTCACTCACTGACAGTCACTCAATTAGCCCATCTCAGTAAAAAAAAAGAAAAGATTGTAAATTAGTCAGCTATCTAAACTTGAAGTAATCATGGGCGAATTACCGACCGGGCATGCAGGGCACGTGCCCAGGGGCCAGTGGTGGAAAAAAAGTGCCCAATTGTCATACTTCAGTAAAAGTAAAGATACCCTAATAGAAAATGACTCAAGTAAAAGTCACCCAGTAAAATACTACTTGAGTAAAAGTCTAAAAGTATTTGGTTTTAAATATACTTAAGTATCAAAAGTAAATGTAATTGCTAAAATATACAGTGCATTCGGAAAGTATTCAGACCCCTTTACTTTTTCCACATTTTGTTACGTTACAGCCTTATTCTAAAATTGATTAAATTGTGTTTTTCCTCATCAATCTACACACAATACCCCATAATGACAAAGCGAAAACAGATTTTTAGACATTTTTGCAAATGTATTACAAATAAAATCAGAAATACCTTATTTACATAAGTACATGAGACCCTTTGCTATGAGACTTGAAATTGAGCTCAGGTGCATCCTGTTTCCATTGAACATCCTTGAGATGTTTCTATAACTTGATTGGAGTCCACCTGTTGGAGATTCAATTGATTGGACTTGATTTGGAAAGGCACACACCAGTCTATATAAGGTTCCACAGTTGACAGTGCATGTCAGAGTAAAATCCAAGCCATGAGGTCGAAGGAATTGTTTGTAGAGCTCCGAGACAGGATTGTGTCGAGGCACAGATCTGGGGAAGGGTACCAAAAAATGTCTGCAGCATTGAAGGTCCCCAAGAACACAGTGGCCTCCATCATTCCTAAATGGAAGAAATTTGGAACCACCAAGACTATTCCTAGTTCTTGCCCCACGGCCAAACTGAGCAATCAGGGAAGAAGGGCCTTGGTCAGGGAGGTGACCAAGAACCTGATTGTCACTCTGACAGTGCTCCAGAGTTCCTCTGTGGAGATGGGAGAACCTTCCAGAAGGAGCGCTCCACCAATCAGGCCTTTATGGTAGAGTGGCCAGACGGAAGCCACTCCTCAGTAAAAGGCACATGACAGCCCGCTTGGAGTTTGCCAAAAGTAACCTAAAGACTGACCATGATAAACAAGATTCCCTGGTCTGATGAAACCAAGATTGAACTCTTTGGCCTGAATGCCAAGCGTCACGTCTGGAGGAAACTTGGCAACATCCCTACGGTGAAGCATGGGGGTGGCAGCATCATGATGTGGGGATGTTTTTCGACGGCAGGGACTGGGAGACCAGTTAGGATCGAGGGAAAGATGAACGGAGCAAAGTACAGAGAGATCATTGATGAAAACCTGCTCCAGAGCGCTCAGGGCCTCAGACTGGGGCGAAGGTTAACCTTCCAACAGAGCTTGAGAGGATCTGCAGAGAAGAATGGGAGTAAACTCCCCAAATACAAGTGTGCCAAGCTTGTAGCGTTATACCCAAGAAGACTCGAGGCTGTAATCGCTGCCAAAGGTGCTTCAACAAAGTACTGAATAAAGGGTCTGAATACTTATGTAAATGTCATATTTCAGTTACATTATTTTTATAAATGTGCCAAAATTAAAAAAACGAACAGTTTTTGCCTTGTCTTTATGGGGTATTGTGTGTAGATTGATGAGGGGAAAAAACGATTTAATCCATTTTAGAATAAGGCTGTAACGTAACAAAATGTGGAAAAAGTCAAGGGGTCTGAATTCTTTCCGATAGCACTGTACTTAAGTATCAAAAGTAAAAGTATAAATAATTTCAAATTCTTTAAATTAAGCCAACCAGACGGCACGTTCTTCTTGTTTTTGAAATGTACGGATTGCCAGGGGCTATCTCCAACACTCAGACATAATTTACAAACTAAGCATTACGTAAAAATGTATGCACGCATGACTGTAAGTCGCTTTGGATAAAAGCGTCTGCTAAATGGCATATTATTTTTATTATTATTATTTAGTGGGTCCACCAGATCAGAGCCAGTAGGGATGACCAGGGATGTTCTCTTGATAAGTGTGTGAATTTGACCATTTTCCTGTCCTGCTAAGCATTCAAAATGTAAACGAGTACTTTTGGGTGTCAGGGAAAATGTATGGAGTAAAAAGTACATTATTTTCTTTAGGAATGTAGTGGAGTATAAGTATAAGTTGTCATAATATAAACGGTAAAGTAAATTACAGATACCCCCAAAAAACAACTTATGTAATACTTTAAAGTATTTTTATTAAGTACTTTTTTCCACTGCCCGGGACCCTTACCTCCAGGGGGGTCCCATTGATTTTGTTAGTCACTCTCAAATATCATATTAACAAAGCATAAGTCATGCCAAAATGTGTAAAATTGTAGGAGATTTGCTGTAAAACGGCCCAAAAAAAATATTTATGGAAAGCACATTTGTTTACCTTTTGTTAATAAAATACTTTTTTCTGCTAATAGATCATACGTTTTCAATTATAGTTTTTAATCCCGGTGCTGAGGTAGTGTGAACGAAGCTACAGCAACCAATGTGACAATGGCTGGGGTCATTTTTTCCAAATAGCATTTTAGAGTTTTTAAATTGAATAGAAATGCAGTAAATGAACTTTAACTTTCTTAAAATGTCCCTGGCTACGGCCCTCTGTGTGTGGGCACGTGTGTGTGTGTGTATGTCAAATTAAATCAAATGTTATTGGTCACATAAACATATTTAGCAGATTTGATTGCGGGTGTAGCAAAATGCGTGTGTTCCTAGCTCCAACAGTGCAGTAGTATCTAACAATATGTGTGGTTCGTGCTTTCAGTTTTACACGAATGCTGCCATCTATCCACGGTGTCTGGTTTGGGTAGGTTTTAATAGACACCGTGGGAACAACATCCCCTATACACTTCCGTGTCCGTGTAAACATCAATGTTATTCTCTGAGGCTACCCAGAAAATATCTCAGTCCACGTGATCAAAACAATCTTGAAGCATGGATTCCGATTGTTCAGACCAGCGTTGAATAGACCTTAGCACGGGTACTTCCTGTTTGAGTTTCTGCCTATATGAAGGGAGGAACAAAATGGAGTCGTGATCTGATTTGCCGAAGGGAGGGCAGGGGAGGGCCTTGTAGGCGTTTTGAAAAGGCGAGTAGCAGTGATCTAATGTTTTTCCAAAGCGAGTACTACAGTCAATGTGTTGATAGAACTTCGGTAGCGTTTTCCAAAAATTTGCTTTGTTAAAATCCCCATCTACAATAAAAGCGGCCTCAGGATATGTGGTTTCCAGTTTGCATAAAGTCCAGTGTAGTTCCTTGAGGGCCGTCGTGGTATCGGCTTGAGGGGGAATATACACGGCTGTGACTATAACCGAAGAGAATTCTCTTGGGAGGTAATACGGTCGGCATTTGATTGTGAGGTATTCTAGGTTGTGTGAACAAAAGGACTTGAGTTCCTGTACGTTATCACAATCACACCATGAGTAGTTAATCATGAAACATACACCCCCGCCTTTCTTCTTCCCGGAGAGTTCATTATTCCTGTCTGCGCGATGAACTGAGAACCCAGCTGGCTGTATGGACGGGGACAGTATATCCCGAGAGAGCCATGATTATGTGAAACAGAGTATGTTACAGTCCCTGATGTCTCTCTGGAAGGAGATCCTCGCCCTGAGCTTGTCTACTTTATTGTCCAGAGACTGAACATTAGCGAGTTATATACTTGGAAGCGGAGGATGGTGTGCCTGCCTCCTGAGTCGGACTAGAAGTCCACTCCTGTCACGGATTCTGCCGAGGCTGCTCCTCCTCCTTGCTCGGGCAGGCTTCGGCGTTCGTCGTCCCCGGAGTACTAGCTACTGCCGTTCGATGTTATCGGTGTTTGTTTAGTTTTGTCTGTATTGTTTACACCTGTTCGTCATTATGTTAATTGTTTCCCTTATAATTACCCCTGTCTCTCATCTGTACTTTGTGTGTGATTGTTTTCCCCTTCACGGTTGTCTATTTTGTGAGCGGGTTATTTCCTCCCTGCGTGGAGTTATTTTCTGTGTCCTTTTGGATCCTTTTCGTATTAAAAGTACGTATCCGAGAGTTCTGTGTCCTGCGCCTGACTTCGTTTACCGCATCTCACAGACAGTCAGAATCACACACCTTACCATGGAGTCAGCAGGAGCGACGGCACCGACTGGATCACTCGAGGAGCGCGTTCCGGAGTCCAGTGGGATTCGGCTCTCGCTCCCGAGGGCTTATGATGGCACCGCAGCCGGGTGTCAGGGTTTCCTGCTCCAGGTGGAACTTTACCTGGCAACCATTCACCCGGCACCCTCGGGATACGAGAGCGTGTCCGCCCTCATCTCCTGTCTGTCCGGCAAGGCACTGGAGTGGGCCAACGCCGAGTGGGGAGGGATAGACGCCGCTACTGTGAACTATGCGGAGTTCACCCGCCGCTTCAGGGCATTGTTCGATCATCCCCCGGAGGGGAAGGCGGCGGGTGAGCGTCTATTCCACCTCAGACAGGGGAGGAGGAGCGCGCAGGAATTCGCACTGGACTTCCGGACTCTGGCTGCCAATTCGGGATGGAATGAGAGGGCCCTCATCGACCACTACAGATGCAGCCTGAGGGAGGACGTTTGTCGAGAGCTGGCCTGCAGGGACACCAACCTAAGCTTCGATCAGCTGGTGGACATGTCGATTCGCTTGGATACCCTGTTGGCTACCCGCGGACGTCCAGCGCTGGGGCCGTCCATTCCATCCCCCAATACCTCCGAGCCGAGCCCTATGGAGCTCGGGGGTGCTGGTAGTAGGGAGGCCAGGAAGGAGGCTGTCCCCTGCACCAACTGTGGAAGCCGAGGACACACGGCGGTTCGGTGCTGGGGAGGGTCTCCTCGGATTCGAGGCAGCAGGCAGCGCACTGATGAGTCATTCCCGGTGAGTAAGGTCCCAACTCACCCAGAGCTCTCTGCTGTTCATATGTGTATCCAAGTGATGTTTCCAGAAGTTTCTTCTTACTCCCAGCATAAGGCGCTAGTCGATTCAGGCGCAGCTGGGAATTATATTGATCGCCATTTCTCATATAAGTTAGGGATCCCTATATTACCAGTCGATGTGCCCTTCCCTATCCATGCCCTAGATAGCCGGCCTTTGGGGTCGGGATTGATTAGGGAGGTCACAGCGCCACTGAAGATGAAAACGCAGAAGGGTCATGAGGAGACTATACAGTTGTATTTAATTGACTCTCCTGCGTTTCCAGTGGTGTTGGGACTTCCCTGGTTAATATCTCATGACCCCAACATTTCATGGCAACAGAGGGCTCTCAAGGGATGGTCTGATCAGTGTGTGGGGCGGTGTGTAGGTGTTTCCGTAGGGGCAACGACGGTGGAGAGTCCGAACCAAATGCCCACAATGCACATTTCTCCTGAGTATGCCGATTTGGCAAGCGCCTTCTGTAAGAAGAAGGCGACTCAATTACCACCTCATCGACAGGGGGATTGTGCGATAGACCTCCAGGTTGGCGCGGCGCTCCCTCTCAGCCATTTGTATCCTCTGTCTCAGGAGGAGACGGCTGCTATGGAGACATACGTCGCCGAATCCTTGAGACAGGGATACATACGGCCTTCCACTTCTCCTGCGTCCTCAAGTTTCTTTTTTGTGAAGAAGAAGGATGGGGATTTACGCCCGTGTATTGATTACCGTGGTCTCAATCAGATCACTATTAAATACAGCTATCCTCTCCCTCTGATTGCTAGTATGACGGAGTCATTACACGGGGCGCGCTTCTTCACAAAATTGGATCTCAGGAGCGCTTACAACCTGGTGCGCATTCGGGAGGGAGATGAGTGGAAAACAGCCTTCAGTACCACCTCGGGTCACTATGAGTACCTCGTCATGCCATACGGTCTAATGAATGCTCCTTCAGTCTTCCAATCATTTGTAGACGAGATTTTCCGGGATCTGCATGGACAGGGGGTAGTGGTGTATATTGATGACATTCTGATATACTCCGCTACACGTACCGAGCATGTGTCCCTGGTATGTCGGGTGCTGGGTAGACTGTTGGAGCATGATCTGTATGTGAAGGCAGAGAAATGTCTGTTTTTCCAGGAGTCCATCTCCTTCCTGGGACACCGGTTGTCTGCGTCAGGGGTGGAGATGGAGATTGACCGCGTTTCAGCCGTGCGTAATTGGCAACTCCAACTACAGTAAAGGAGGTGCAGCGGTTTTTGGGTTTTGCCAATTACTACCGGAGGTTTATCCGGGGTTTTGGACAGGTAGCGGCTCCCATTACCTCCCTGCTAAAGGGGGGCCCGGTGCGTTTGCAATGGTCGGCTGAGGCGGACAGGGCGTTTAGTCATTTGAAGGACCTGTTCACCTCAGCTCCGGTGCTGGCACATCTGGATCCCTCTTTGGCGTTCCAAGTCGAGGTGGATGCGTCCGAGGCGGGGATCGGTGCTATACTGTCTCAGCGCTCGGGCACGCCTCCAAAACTCCGCCCCTGTGCTTTCTATTCTAAGAAGCTCAGTCCGGCGGAGCGCAATTATGACGTGGGGGACAGGGAGCTGCTAGCTGTGGTCCAGGCCCTGAAGGTGTGGAGACATTGGCTTGAGGGGGCTAACCACCCTTTTCTCATTCTGACTGACCATCGTAACCTGGAGTACATCCGGGCAGCGAAGAGACTGAACCCTCGTCAGGCTAGGTGGGCCATGTTTCTGGCCCGGTTTGTCTTTAAGATCACGTATATCCCCGGGTCACAGAACGTTAAGGCAGACGCCCTGTCCCGACGATATGACACAGAGGAGAGGTCCATTGAGCCCACTCCCATGCTACCGGAGTCTTGTCTCGTGGCACCGGTGGTGTGGGAGGTCGACACGGAAATCGAGCGGGCGTTACGTACAGACCCTTCTCCCCCAGAGTGTCCAGAGGGACGGAGGTACGTGCCGCTCGAGGTCCGTGACCGACTGATTTATTGGGCTCACACGTCACCCTCCTCTTGTCATCCTGGTATTGGTTGGACGGTGCACTGTCTTAGCGGGAAGTACTGGTGGCCCACCTTAGCTAAGGACGTGAGAGTTTACGTTTCTTCCTGCTCGGTGTGCGCCCAGTGTAAGGCGCTTAGACACCTGCCCAGGGGGAAGTTACAACCTCTCCCCGTTCCACAACGGCCGTGGTCTCACCTGTCGGTGGATTTTGTCATGGACCTTCCCCCCTCCCAGGGGAATACCACGATCTTGGTCGTTGTGGATCGGTTTTCTAATGCCTGCCGTCTCATCCCTATGCCAGGTCTTCCTACAGCCCTACAAACGGCCGAAACCCTGTTTACTCACGTTTTCCGGCACTACGGGGTGCCTGAGGATATAGTGTCTGATCGGGTCCCCAGTTCACCTCTAGAGTGTGGAGGGCGTTCATGGAACGTTTAGAAGCTGGGCCGGCGGTTTGTGGGGCCATTTAAAGTCCTGAGGAGATTGAACGAGGTATGTTATAGGTTACAGCTGCCTGTTAATTATCGCATTAACCCCTCGTTCCATGTGTCTCTCCTCAGGCCGTTGGTAGCTGGTCCACTCCAGGAGAATGAGGTACGAGAGGCCCCTCCGCCCCCACTAGACATCGAAGGGGCTCCGGCGTACTCAGTCCGTTCCATCGTGGATTCGAGGCGTCGGATGGGGGGTCTGCAGTATCTCGTGGAGTGGGAAGGGTACGGTCCGGAGGAACGGTGCTGGGTCCCTAGGAGGGACATCCTAGATCCCTCCCTGTTGACAGAGTTCCACCGGAGTCACCCAACTCGCCCTGCTCTGCGTCCTCCTGGCCGTCCCCGAGGTGGACAGGTGTCTAGGACGTGACAACTCCGAATATGTCTTCTTCGCCGGCGCTGTCTTGGAGCAGCCTCTGGGATAAGTTAAATTGCCCTTGGGGTACGAACAAAGAATCCAATTCAGGAAAGTCGTATTCCTGGTCGTAATGCTGGTGAGTTACCGCCACTCTGATATCCAAAAGTTATTTCCGGCTGTATGTAATAACACAAAAAACGTGCTGGGCTAATAATGTAACAAATTACACACAAAAAAAACGAAATACTGCAAAGTTGCTTAGGAGCTAGAAGCAGAGCTGCCATGTCTGTCAGCACCATCTGTGTGTGTGTGCGTGCGTGCATACCTTTGTAGATGTGTATGTTCTGTATGTGTGTATGTTGTCTCTAACTCTTTCACCATGGTGAAGGTGTGGTTGCTGGGCAGCAGGGAAGAGTTCTCCTGGCATACAGATACGTCACGGTTCAGAGGCCAAGCTGTGTGGCCAGTGACCATGGTGATGCTCTCTGTGCTCGGATAATGAGTGACCTCAGTGACCTTCCTGTACCCATAGAGCCCTGATGGAGTGGTTACGGTCATGGATGAGTGCAGAGTGGGCAGTGTAGTTAAAGTGCGTGGTCATGTGATCATCGGGCGGTCATGATGTATTGGTGAAGCCTCTAAGCTAAAAGCAGTGGTCAGAGTTTAATCATTGTTTTAAAGCAGTGTGGTCAACAAACAAACAAACTGTTACAGTGACCACTGTGCGGTCATTAAAGTATCTAGTAGTTTGTTGCTAGTGAGTGACCAATCCCTTTTATAGTGTACTGATGAATGGAAGAATCCAATCAACAAAAGGAATTTGTTGTGTGTTAACAAAGTTACGGCAACCAGTTAACGTGCAGGTTGAGTCAGGGTATGTGATGTATGTAATGTATTATAGTGTCCCTGTAACATAGTCTCTGTCCCAAATGGCACCATATTCCCTATATAGTGCACTACCAGAACCCTATTGACCCCAGGAAGAGTAGCTGCTGCTTCTGCAAAAGCTAATGGGGATCCTAATAAACACATTATAAAAGTAGTGCACTATAAATGGAATAGAGTGCCATTTAAGATGTACCGATAGTGTAGCCTACCCTCTGTTCCCTGTGGGGGTGGAGCTCAGAGTCATTAACCTATCCTCTGTTCTCGGTGTGGGTGGAGCTCAGGTCCATTAACTACCCTCTGTTCCCTGTGGCGGTGGAGCTCAGGTCCATTAACCTACCCTCTGTTCCCTGTGGTGGTGGAGCTCAGGTCCATTAACCTACCCTCTGTTCTCGGTGTGGGTGGAGCTCAGGTCCATTAACTACCCTCTGTTCCCTGTGGCGGTGGAGCTCAGGTCCATTAACCTACCCTCTGTTCCCTGTGGTGGTGGAGCTCAGGTCCATTAACCTACCCTCTGTTCCCGGTGGCGGTGGAGCTCAGGTCCAGGTGCTGCAGGCGTCGACAGGCCACAGCTACAGCCTTAACACCAGCATCACTCACCTTACTGCAGCCACTCACATCCAACAACCTGACACACACACACACACACACACACACACACACACACACACACACACACACACACACACACACACACACACACACACACACACACACACACACACACACATACATATACACACAGACATGCATACACACACCACACACACACACACACACACACACGCGCGGGTGAAACAAGAGCGAATGACTGAGTGAATGAGTGACTGACTTACAGGCTGACTGTGTGAGTATATACAGTAGCATACCTGATGCGGGGGGCATGGGTGCTGATCTTGTGCAGGCTCATGTCAGTGACTCCAGGGCAGGAGCTGAGGGTCAGACTCTGGAGGTCAGGGCACTGCAGGAGGACCCGGTGAACTGTCTGATCACTCACCTATACAGAATAGGTGGGATGAACATCAATGACTACTAAGCACCAAATGCACACACACACACACACACACACACACACATACAAATGCACATACACACACACACACACACACACACACACACACACACACACACACACACACACACACACACACACTTACTGCGTGCAGTCCAGTCAGGTTAAGGGAGTGAAGGCGTTTGAGTCGTGACGTCACCAGGGTCAGACAAGGGTGAGTGACCTTAGGGATCTGGCCGATGTTCAGAGTCTCCAGCCCAGGACACAACTCTGACACTGTGTTCAGACAGGAGGGACTGATAGACAGGCAGCCAAACACCTCCAACCTGCGCAGACTGGTACACACACATTACAATAAACTAAGATACAAGTTACCACACGCACACACACAAACACACATCAAAGTACAAAATCCTTTTCCACACTATATTGCAACTCACCTGTCTCTACATCTTATGAGGAGGGCATTCAAGGCTTCATCTGTAACTTGGCAACCATTGAGAACAACAGTCTTCAGTCTGCAGACAGAGTCATAAGCCATGTTATTTATGTTATCTGAAAGCCCTGTTAAACGCATATCATTATGTAACAACATCAAACTGTGATATCACCAAATGTGATCATTTTTACATGAACCATGTATTAGTGATGTTAATGGCACTACGGCCTACCGATGGCAGGTGTCAGTCAGTGCTTTGATGCCCGTGTCAGTCGCTCCGCTCCAGCTGACGTCCACACGTGTCATGTGATCACAGTGTTGAGCACTCAGAGTCAGCACCAGGTCACCATGGAGACCAGGCCCACTGCAGCTTGTCACACTCAGCTCCTGTAGCCAATGAACAGGTCTCACAACTGGCCGAAAACAACAGTGTTTTTGTTTCCTTCACATTATTACAGTTCTAGATCTCTTTCTGTACAACACAGTAGTGCACTAAGTTGGTACTGTAGGTGACGGGTTAACTCTACCTCCAGAGAGGCTTGACTTAGTTTGAAAAACTCCTCTAGCCCGCCCGGGGTGATTGACAGTCCGCTGCACCTGTAGATAGTTAGGTTTCGAGGATTACGCCCGCCCACACTGCTCAGCCATTGGTCAGTTAAAGATGAGCTGTTCTCCACACTAACAACCTGCCCTAAAGAGAAATACAGTTTGAAAGAATTAAACATTTTTACTTTGATTTACGCTCATGGGTATACTGTTGTGTGTGTGTGATGTCACAGCTCTGGTTAACTCCTGTTTCTCCAGGGAGTCTTACTAGGGGACAGCTGGGGACAGAGGAAGACACACACACCTCACTCACTTGTTAATTCACTTCCTCAGAGACTTACATAGTGTGTGGTCATTGGCCAGTCGGAATAGGTGGAGGCAGACCTGAGCCACTGTAGACAGATCTCTGTGTGGCAGGAGTGACAGTATGGACACCCATACCTCATCAGGGAGAGACAGCCACTGTACACAGCCCCCTACAGGCTGGGGGGAGAGAGTGGATTCTACTGATTACTCAACGCACACACCAGTACACTACACTCAACACACACAACCCAGACTTACAGTCAAAAGTTTGGACACACCTACTCATGCAAGGGCTTTTCTTTATTTTGACTATTTTCTACATTGTAGAATAATAGTGAAGACATCAAAACTATGAAATAACACATATGGAATCATGTAGCAACCAAAAAAAGTGTTGATGACAGCTTTTCACACTCTTGACATTCTCTCAACCAGCTTCATGGGGTAGTCACCTGGAATGCATTTCAATTAACAGGTGTGCCTTGTTAAAAGTTAATTTGTGGAATTTCTTTCTTTCTTTCTTAATGCGTTTGAGCCAATCAGCTGTGTTGTGACAAGGCAGGGGTGGTATACAGAAGATAGTCCTATTTAGTAAAAGACCAAGTGCATTTTATGGCAAGAACAGCTCAAATAAGCAAAGAGAAACGACATGAGGACTGCCACAGGAAAGGAAGACCCAGAGTTACCTTTGCTGCAGAGGATAAATTCATTAGAGTTAACTGCACCTCAGATTGCAGCCCAAATAAATGCTTCACAGAGTTCAAGTAACAGACACATCTCAACATCAACTGTTTAGAGGAGACTGCGTGAATCAGGCCTTCATGGTCGGATTGCTGCAAAGAAAACACTACTAAAGGACACCAAGAAGAAGAAGAGACTTGCTTGGGCCAAGAAACACGAGCAATGGACATTAGACCGGTGGAAATCTGTCCTTTGGTCTGATGAGTCCAAATATGAGATTTTTGGTTCCAACCGCCGTGTCTTTGTCAGACGCAGAGTAGGTGAACGGATGATCTCCGCATGTGTGGTTCCCACCGTGAAGCATGGAGGAGGAGGTGTGATGGTGTGGGGGTGCTTTGCTGGTGACACTGTCAGTGATTTATTTAGAATTCAAGGCACACTTAACCAGCATGGCTACCACAGCATTCTGCAGCGATACGCCATCCCATCTGGTTTGCGCTTAGTGGGACTATAATTTGTTTTTCAACAGGACAATGACCCAACACACCTCCAGGCTGTGTAAGGGCTATTTTACCAAGAAGGAGAGTGACGGTGCTGCATCAGATGACCTAGCCTCCACAATCACCCGACCTCAACCCAATTTTATTTTACCTTTATTTAACTAGGCAAGTCAGTTAAGAACAAATTCTTATTTACAATGACAGCCTACGTCGGCCAAACCCGGACGACGCCCTATGGGACTCCCATTCACGGCCGGTTGTGATACAGCCTGGAATCGAACCAGGGAGTCTGTAGTGACGCCTCAAGCACTGAGATGCAGTGCCTTAGACCACTGCGCCACTCGGGAGCCCAACTGAGATGTTTTGGGATGAGTCGGACCGCAGAGTGAAGGAAAAGCAGCCAACAAGTGCTCAGCATATGTGGGAACTCCTTCAAGACTGTTGGAAAAACATTCCTCATGAATCTGGTTGAGAGAATGCCAAGAGTGTGCAAAGCTGTCATCAAGGCAAAGGTTGGCTACTTTGAATTATCTAAAATATAAAATAAAATTTGATTTGTTTAACACTTTTTTGGTGACAACATGATTCCATATGTGTTATTTCATAGTTTTGATGTCTTCACTATTATTCTACAATGTAGAAAATAGTAAAAAATAAACAAAAACTCTTGAATGAGTAGGTGTGTCCAAACTTTTGACTGGTACTGTACATAACCAGTGCTCAGCTGTTTGACTGTTTAGTGGTCAGAAATGAAATACAGTACTTTGAAGGATAGAAATGCATCTTACTGCCAGTTTGAGAGCCCTGGTCACAGGAATATTGGTTGCATTGGTATTCACAGCAGTGCCTAAAGATATACAAAATGCTTTAAATCAGGCATGTGTGATACAGATACAAAACATCATACCAGTTATTATTATTTGATTTTTTTAATGTGTGGAGATTTGTGTGTGTGTGTTAGTATTTGTGTCGCTGTGTTTGTGTGTTTGTGTGTGTCTGTGTTAGTGTTATTTTCCCCAGCAAGAAAATCTCAAACAGAAGGGGGAACTAACAAATAGTCACTGAACAACAACCAAAATGAAACAGGTGGGGTTTTAGGAGGGGTTCTGAAAGACACTTGTGGGGGTGTCCACTGAAAGTTGACTAGCAACAACAACTGGAACCTAAAAGACACCCACCATGAGCGCCCACTAAACTTGTCCAAGAAGAGGCAAACAAAAGGAAAAACCCCAGACCAAACTTAAAGACAGGAAGTAAACCAAAAAGTGGAGCAAAATGAAAACAGATAAAGGATTTGTTTGTCTAGGAATAGGGAGCGCCAACTAGTGGTTGACCCTCCACATCTCGCAAGACAACTGGAGCACTGGGCCAGCCAGTCTTAAATAGCACCTGGGCCAGCACAGGTGAAACACCTTCCCACTAAAGCGATGGCAACCAGGACAGGTGTCAAACATACTGACTAACAAGGTGACACCAATCAGTGTGCCCTACGTGCTAACGAGCTATACGTGCTGAAGAACAACCTCTAAACATACATGGAAAAAACCTAAACCTGTAACAGTTAGTGTGTGTGTCTGTGTGTGTGTCTGTGTGTATATGTCTGTCTGTCTGTCTGTCTGTGTGTGTCTATGTGTCTGTGTCTGTGTATCTGTGTCTGTGTCTGTGTGTGTGTGTGTGTGTGTGTGTGTCTATGTCTGTGTGTGTGTGTCTGTCTGTCTGTCTGTCTGTCTGTCTGTCTGTCTGTGTGTGTGTCTGTCTGTCTGTGTGTCTGTGTCTGTGTGTCTGTCTGTGTGTGTGTGTGTGTGTGTGTGTGTGTCTGTCTGTGTGTGTGTGTGTGTGTGTGTGGACGTGTTTAACTATTATTGTAGAACCAGAAGTCCCCACGAGAATAGTAAACGAACAAACATTTGACCAACTGGGGACATTTTGTTGGTCCCAATGGGGTCAGATGCAATTTCTAGGGGGTTTAGGGTTAAGGTTAGAATTAGTGTTAGAATTACGTTAAGGGTTAGGATTAGGAGCTAGGGTTAGCTTTAGGGTTATGGTTAGGAGCTAGGGTTAGGTTTAGGTTTAGGGTTAGGGTTAAGGTTAGGTTTTTGGGTTAAGGTTAGGGTTAAGGTTAGGGTAAGGGTAAGAGTATGGGTTATGGCTAGGGGTTAGGGAAAATAGGATTTTGAATGGGACTGAATTGTTTGTCCCCACAAGGTTAGCTGTACAAGACTGTGTGTGTATGTGTCTGTGTGTGTGTATGTGTGTGTGTCTGTGTTTGTATGTGTGTGTGTGTCTGTGTGTGTGTATGTGTGTGTATAAGTATGTGTGTGTGTGTGTGTGTGTGTGTGTGTGTGTGTGTGTGTGTGTGTGTGTGTGTGTGTGTGTGTGTGTGTGTGTGTGTGTGTGTGCGAGTGCGAGTGCGAGTGTAATCTCGCTCTCATTCTGTCTAAATCCGTGAAGTCTTATGACTATTGCGAGGTTGTGAGGGGCTAAATTAATTTCAAACCAAGATCTTGGATTTCCCCAAAAAACAAATGATGCATTATGTGACTTCTTCAACCTTTTGTGTACTGTATTCTGGATTCTTGTATAACTTTGCTCTCTAAGAAACTGGGTTCTGTAATAATTGGTGACTACTTGGAGTTATAACAATACTGGTTTAATTAACTTGTTTATTAATTACTGTGGTAATGACACTTTATACTTGATAAAGGGTTTAGTTAGACTAGTTTATAGACTGTTTATTCATTTATAGATTGTTTATGAACCAGTGATTATTTAACTTATGAGTTAACTGTATACTACAGATAAAAAAAGTATCTATAAACTAAGATTTGATATAGTATAAAGTGTTTCCACATACATTATAATGTGAATCAGTGGACATATAGTAATCTAGTGTATGAGTTGTCTCTGCTGTGCTCACCCAGAGGGAGTTGAAGTGCTGTTGGTGGTCTGGGTCCAGAGCAGGAATGTTCAGTTGGGGACGTCCATTTAGACACTACACCTGTTGAGTGGGGTCTACTGGGGAGCTGGGACCTGCAGCCAATGGAGGGCGATGTCAGTGACAGTTCATCTAATCTGTCTGGCTGCAGTATCTCTAGAGGTCAGGCTATGGGTGTATTCACTAGGAACCAAATGGAAGCAAATGGGCCAAAAGGGGGGAGGGACTAACCTGAACTTGTCCAATAAGAAATGCCCGTTATCGCTGCAGAACATTGTCTGTTTGCTATGTTGTGCACTAATGAATACACCCACGCTGCTGTCTTTCTGTGTGCAGGTGCAGTCCTGCTGATAGACTACAGAGGGCAGTGTGACTCCCTATGAGTGTGACACTTGCCACAGGGCAGCCTCCAGTGGTCTTAGTGGAACGAAAAAGGTGCCAGTACTCACTAGAATAAAATAAAAAACATACAATTGTTATGCCATTTCGCAGACATTTTTCTCCAAGGCGACTTACAGTCATGTGTGCGTACATTTTTGTTTACGTATGGTGGTCCCGGGAATCACATGCACAAGTACAGTAAAATGTCTTTCTTTTCCGTCCAGTACTGCGCCATCTTTTAGCTGTCCTGGCGTTGCAAGAGCCATACTCTACCAACTGAGCTACAGAGGCCCACCATATAGACGTAAGTAGACTAGTAACTCATGAAAGATGTTACCGTGGCAGCACTTCTCATGATAAATGTTACCGTGGCAGCACTTCTCATGATAGATGTTACCGTGGCAGCACTTCTCATGATAAATGTTACCACGGCAGCACTTCTCATGATAGATGTTTAGATGTTACCGTGGCTGCTCTTCTCATGATAGATGTTACCGTGGCAGCACTTCTCATGATAGACGTTACCGTGGCAGCATTTCTCATGATAGATGTTACCGTGGCAGCACTTCTCCGTGAGTGAAGGATGACCAGGAGAGGCTTGACCTTTCCCAGAACCTCCAGGAATGACCGCAACCTCTGACACGAGCCTGACCCCTGACACCAGGTTGACCTCCGCTGCTCTTGGGCTGCAACACTGACCAAAGACAAACAAACAACACACACCCAGAAACATTATGGCAGAGTCTCTTTACATTGCAAAGAGCTGTATGTAATGAGTGTGTACGTCATCGGTAGGTAAAGTATGTATGCTGTTTTATATAATGTCTGAATAGGATGTTGGTCCTCTATTAGAGATACCTCTGCCGTTCTTCACTTCTGAACTCTTCAATGGTGCACGTCTCCCCTCATTGTGGATGTCCTGATGGACATGTTGCTTAGCAACCACCAGCTCAGCAGGAGTACTCAGGGGTCGCTCAGAGGGGTCAGCCCTTTGGTCAGCAGGTAGGGTCATGACATCCGCAGGTAGGGTCATGACATCAGCAGGGAGGGTCATTACATCAGCAGGTAGGGTCATGATGTCTGCAGGTAGGGTCATGACGTCAGCAGATAGGGTCATGACATCAGCAGGGAGGGTCATGACGTCAGCAGATAGGGTCATGACGTCAGCAGGGAGGGTCATGACGTCAGCAGATAGGGTCATGACGTCAGCAGGTAGGGTCATGACGTCAGCAGGTAGGGTCATGACATCAGCAGGGAGGGTCATGACATCAACGGGTAGGGTCATGACGTCAGCAGATAGGGTCATGACGTCAGCAGGTAGGGTCATGAGGTCCGCAGGTGCTTGGTTCTGCTCCGTTCTGAGGTGATCCAAACGGGACACACACAGCAGATACTCCTCATACACACTCAGGCCCTCTGACGCCCGGCCGTTGGCTCCCCAATCTAGACGTTCACCCTCGAGTGCGACTCTAGAGGATCCATAAGGTATGATACTACTGGTTCCCTCAAGGCCTGTTTTTGGGTCCTCCTCCTCCGCCACCGCCTTCTCCTCTTCGTGTTCCTGCATTCCCAAAACTCTGTCCTCTCTCTCTCCACAACCCCCATCGCTTGATATGAGGTCACGGGATCTGGATAAAGGACCATACCCAGGCAACCATTGGATAGTTTCCACTGAGGAGCAACAAGTTGTAACGGTACTGTCTCTGTCTCTTAGGCTCCCACTGATGGAAACGCCATCTCTCGCCACAGGATGAGGAGCTATTGGTTTGTGGATAGTCTGTTCTGCCTGAGGGTTGTCTAGACCAAGGAAACGTGGTTGGTCATTGGTATCCTCTTTTGGCCCAGAGGACAGGACCAGCTCCTTGTGCCCAGGGCTCTCTCTAAACTCAGGCCCAGAAAACACACGACCACCTGGGGTGTGGGAGAGAGCGTGGCAGGGCAGTGGGGTGGTGTATGGAAGCCCAGTCAGAGGCTCTGATTTGTCCACCATATTTTCTCTCACACTTCTGCTTCTGACAAGATTGTGAAAGGTTCCAAGGATCGAGACAGCAGCTCTTCCACTAACCTCGAATCGAGGTGCAGCTGAAGTAGAGTACAAACACGGGGAGGTAGGTGCAGCTCTCGTTGGTCTGCTGAGATTGTGCCCATCCTGACTTGTCCCAAGGAAACTCTTAGCCCAGTCCAACACATGGCGTAGCTTCTGTTGCTCAGTGAGGACTGAGTCCTCCAGGAGACCGGGATCCAGCTCCAGAGAACTCTCCCCACTAACACTCACTGCTAGATCCAGGACTCCTCTCTGACCCTCTGGTTACACCCTCTGACCCTGTGGCCACGCCCAGTATCATGTGAACTACAACGTCTGACCCTGTATCCATTCCCACTGTCCCATCCTTTCGCTGCTCCTCGTTGGCACTCCAATCATACCCATGCTGAAAATCAAAATTACAGAAAGTGAGATAAAATCAATGCACTAAAGCCTTGGTTGTAAGGCTGTAAACATACTGTATGCCATCTATGCACTTAAGTAAAATCAATGGAGTTGAAGGATGGGACTAATAACAACTAACAACTAATAACAACAAGATAGCTAATGTAAAGCATACTGTGTCCATAATAAGTATATAGGTTATAGGTTGAGAGCTTTTGTGAAAGAGCACAGTTAGAAAGATATGGCATATAGAAGCAAACCGGATGGACATCATGAAAATGATCGGAGAGGTTGAGGGTAGAGGAAGTTCAGGAGTAAAAACAAACAAAATATAATTATTGTAAAATTGACTGTGTCCATAAAATGTATATAGTATGTATAAGCTGGAAGTAGAGGCCTAAGCATTGTTGTTCACTAGTTTACTCCAATTAGGGAAGGGGTGGTGAGGTTGGAAAGTAATAAAGGGAAATATATATATTTTTAAAGGATATGTATATGTATATGTATTTATATGTATGTATGTGTATATGTATATGTATGTATATGTATATATATATATATATATATATATATATATATATATATATATATATATATATATTTGCGAGAAAAAAAACATATGGGGGATTGGAAGTCATGCAGACAATTACATTGACGGAAGTTACAATCTATCTGCAATATTAAAGCTGATCTACCACCTAAAACAAATAAAAAATAAAAAATATAACAAATGAACGGATCTGAAGTACAGACACCGAACTAGTAGCCTACACACATATTTAAATGAAAGCGGTTTGCCATATAAATGTTTACTTGTTGCTATCATTTGCTATAAGAATTGCTTCTTACCCAGAGGTCTCTCCACTCCAGTCCTTTCCAGTCCTTCAGCTGCTGCGCTGCTCACACAAACGTTGTTATAGAAACGACACAAATACTTACTCACCAAGGGAGACTGCAGTGAGAGACGACCCACTACAGGGCTTGGCCAGTGTCTCCATAGCGACTAATGTAAATACAAATGTATAGCCTTATAGAAAAAGTAAATGCATGCTTTCAAAGCACAATGCCTTATAGTAAAAACAATATTGTTTCCACATTAATAATGCAGGCATAGTCGATCACATAAATATACCTACTCTGCGCTGCGGAGACTATGGACTGTGAAATCTAAGTGACACGTGAGGTCACTCTTTGACTATAATAGTTGATTGCAAGAGCACTGTGTGCTCACTTTTATACTGAGGCCTGTGCTCTTTATCGTTTTAGGTTACATAAGGTTCTTTATCTCACTTATTTCTGCCTTAAAGGTTTAACATGTTGATTTACTCATTATACCAAGAAACAAAGAACATTGCTCTGCATTCACTGTGTGCAATCTCCTCTTACGCAGCCTGGTCACACCACACACTAATCACGTACAGTACACTACGGGGTAGAGTTACATAGGCATTAGGTAAACAAAATGTGTTTTAGAATTTGTATTTCAATGTACAGTCCACATAAACCACAATCTTAAAGGCCCAGTGCAGTCAAAAACATGATTTTCCTGTGTTTTATATATATTTCCACACTTTGAGGTTGGAATAATACTGTGAAAATTTAAAAATAATGATAATGCCCTTTTGTAAGGGATAATGCCTTTGTGTAAGAGCTGTTTGAAAAGGCGGGTGGGATGGAGTTTTTAATAGACCAATAAGAAAGAGAGTTCCAAACCTCTCTGCCAATAACAGCTAGTTTTCAGTTTTCCCCTCCCCACTCAGACCACTCCCAGACAGTCGTAGCGAAATTCATGCTTGAGAAATTGCTCTTTGCTAAGTATTTATTGTTGTTGAAATGTTTATTGAAAACAACCACAGCAAGGTACTTAATTGTTACCCAGAAATGATTTGATATTGAGATAAACACGGCTGCAATGGACCTTTAATTAACCTTATTTGCCAATATGTGTTTTCTGATTGAAAGTTGCATTAATTCCAAAAGTCTATATGCTCTTTTATGTTCAATAAATGCATTAACATAACAATACACTATATTTCAATATATATTCATTTGGGGGCTTTATTGTGGCAGTATTAACATATAAAACAACCATGTTTTTCTTTGAACATACAAACATTCAAAATTCACTTTACAAAGTTCATAAGGCTTTGTGTTCCAGCAGTGGTCAAACAACTGAAAACTTGCTCTTTTTTTTCAATTACTCCCAGAGTTGTTTTAACAGAGACTGAATAACAAAAACAAGTCCTACGAACTGATAACAACAAACAGCTACGGAGGGTAACGCTGCTATCCGTGCAAAACACGTTACATGCCCATTTAACATCGAAATAATCTATGAAAGAACATCTCCTTCCATCTGTACCATGTGGTGTCTTACAGGTTTGCATATACATACATGTCATACACCTGGACGGTCTTCATCCAGTTTGCATTTTTTTTATCAGATCACTTAAGAGAAAGTGGGTGGTACGTATGACATCAACTCATGTGATTGCATGTTGTTTTTTAATCACAGTATTTGTGCCGGGCAGTCTTGATAGCCAAATCAGCACTGTATAAATTGCATTTCAGTCTTTCAACTTGTGATGACATAGCTTTATCATTGGCATGGTACTTTCAAACTCTTAGTCCTAAAACACTGATCGAAAAACATTCAAAACAAACTAAACATGTTCTGTAGCTCAAATAAAAGAGCTTAATTGTGGGCAGTTTCCCTGCTAAGAAAACATTATAGAAAGGCTGCGAAATAGATAATAAACTACAAAGAATAATGCTACAGTGTCATTGGGCTTTAGAACTTCATGGTCCACAGAATACCATGGCCTTTGTCATAGGCCGACTTGTTATGATATGGCTAACATGATGTGTGTGTCCATGCTAACATCATCAGGGACATCTGTTAGCAATGAGGTCAGGTGTTAGCATCTAGCTTTATTTATGGTTACACACACATAAAAGCAACCTATTCTACTTGAGACACGATTCCAAATGGGCAACAGTCCCTATGTTTTGAAATACAGTATCAAATGTGCTGGATTGAAATAAAATGCCTCTGCTAAACTGGCTCTGTGGTTCTACGTTATCACTGGTTTCATTATGCATTTAATCCGACCATCATTTTATCATTTCATTTCTGGCCATCTGATTGGCTTCTTCTAATGCCCCAAATTTCTCAGACTGACAGTTGGCTTCTAGTGGCTTTCAGGATAATGAACACTGAACTGAAAACGCCCTACACCTCGCACAAGGTTATTCTGTGCACTACCCACTGTCCTTGCTAAAAATATGGATGTCATGCATGCATCTAAACTGGGAGGTCGTCTACACGTGGATCGCTTACAAGGAAAAGACACAAAGAAAGAAAGTTCTGCACCACAATTGTCTTTTCTCTATATAACAGTATTTACAGACGAAGGCATGCAGTCTGCAGTTCAGAGCTCATCCACGGTATGAGTGAGGTCAGGTCCAGTAGAGGGGTCGCATACAAACAAAGTACTGACACTAGGACATGTCTTATTGTAAATGTGTATACATTAGGCCTATACAGTGTGTTATACTTGTGTGTGTGTGTGTGTGTGTGTGTGTGTGTGTGTGTGTGTGTGTGTGTGTGTGTGTGTGTGTGTGTGTGTGTGTGTGTGTGGGGTGGGGGGGGGGGGGGCAGGGGGGGGTGGATGAGCCCACTGTTTAAAGCTGGTTACACATAACGTTATCGTTTATTAACATGAAAACACCTTTGATGATTACACTGTGGCTAATAGAATAGGGGTAATGAGAGTGATTACTGTGGTCATCCTACAGTACTGCAGACGAGTAAAATACATTGTTGGTCATTAGAGTACTTGTACATCTGGACCAGAAGATTGAGCTGTGACAATGAGTCAGTGCCTGTGTGTTAGAGAATACAGATACAGAATTAAACGGACATTTATGGCTACAAACCTGTTGAGATATAATGATAGGGAGGAGTTCATTAAAGGATATTTCATATTCACAAAACGTTTATGACTATAAAGTAAGTTGTGTGTTTCAATGTGGTGTTTGTTTAGATCATATTTTGTTAGCACACACAGAGACATAATTCAACGTGCGTATGTCCTTTCCTGAGAATACGGTCCAAATTGATATACACTCAGCGGCCAGTTTATTCACGAAAAAACGGTGAGTCACGTGGCCGTGGCTTGCTATATAAAGTAGGCAGACAGGCATCGAGGCATTCAGTTACTGTTTGATTGAACGTTAGAATGGGCAAAACGAGTGACCTAAGCGACTTTGAGCGTGGTATGATCGTAGGAGCTAGGCGCGCCGGTTCCATTATCTCAGAAACTGCCAGCCTCCTGGGCTTTTCACGTGTCTAGGGTATCTAGGGTTTACAGAGAAAAGTGCGACAAACAAAAAACATCCAGTCGGCGGCAGTCCAGTGGGCGAAAACAGCTCGTTGATGAGAGAGGTCAAAGGAGAATAGCAAGAATCGTGCAAGCTAACAGGAGGGCCATAAACAGACAAATAACAGAGCAGTACAACAGTGGTGTGCAGAACGGCATCTCGGAACGCACAACTCGTCGGTCCTTGTCACGGATGGGCTATTGCAGCAGACGACCACACCGGGTTACACTCCTATCAGCTAAAAACAAGAAGAAGCGGCTCCAGTGGGCACGCGATCACCAACACTGGTTCCTGTTGTGTCATGCTGATGGCAGAGTCAGGATTCGGCTTAAGCAGCATGAGTCCATGGCCCCATCCTGTCAACGGTACAGGCTGGTGGCAGTGGTGTAATGGTGTGTGGAAAGTTTTACTGGCAAACGTTAGGTCCCTTGATACCAATCGAGCAACATTTCCATGCCCTGAAGAATTCAGGCTGTTCTGGAGGCTAGATAAACTGGCCACTGAGTGTATTTTGCTATTTCGGATTATCTGAATTCTGTTCATGTAATCATCCTGTACTTTCCTTCACTCACAACCAATTGATCTGAACATAACATGTTTTCCCCCAACAAACAGCTGTTCCTCTCAATAATACTGTATTTCAGATAACATAACCTCGTAGCTATTAGACTGACAGCTGTATGCCCCTCCCATTCAAACCATCACTGGCCTATCATCTGTCACGATACTTCACCAATATCATACTAATGCATCATCTTATTGGTCAACCACTACAATCATAAAAAACAGCCATGAATGACTTTCCTTTTTTATACAGTCTGGCATTTCAGTTCCGACTGACCATTGGATATATTCCACTGTTGCTGACATCACACATTACAAGTTTTATGTTAAAACTCTTAAATCCACTTGCCAGGAGACTGACTGAAACCTTCAATAAGATCACATTTAGTTCAACACAAACATGTTGAAATGTACAAACAGTTAACCAGACCTGTGCCATCTGACTCCAATGACATCAGAGAATCTGAAACAGTTAATCTGTGTTGTAAAAGATTGTGCTATATCTTCGTAGTAAAACCCCTGGTGCTACCTGTCAAGTCGCGTGACAGTAGACTTTAAAAATAGTTGACTTTGACCCCCAACCCATAGCTTCAATAAACTTGTAAGTAGATCCTCTGACTGAAAAATTCCTGAAATACTTGCATCACAATTTTTTTACAAAACATTAAAAAGAACTTTAAATATGTATTATTATCAATATTCCTCTTTTTTTGTAAATATACATATATACACTATATATACAAAGGTATGTGGACACCTCTTCAAATGAGAGGATTCGGCTATTTCAGCTACACCCGTCACTGTCAGGTGTATAAAATCGACCACACGCCCATGCAATCTCCATATACAAACATTGGCAGTAGAATGGCCTTACTGAAGAGCTCAGTGAATTTCAACATGGCACTGTCATAGGATGCCACCGTTCCAACAAATCAGTTCATCAAATTTCTGCTCTGCTAGAGCTTCCCCGGTCAACTGTAAGTGCTGTTATTGTGAAGTGGAAACGTCTAGGAGCAACAATGGCTCAGCCGCGAAGTGGTAGGCCACACAAGCTCACAGAACGGGACCGCCGAGTGCTGAAGCGTGTAGCGCGTTAAAATCGTCTGTCCTCGTCTGCAACACTCACTACTGAGTTCCAAACTGCCTCTGGAAGCAACGCCAGCACAATAACTGTTCGTCGGGAGCTTCATGAAATGGGTTTCCATGACTGAGCAGCCGCTCACAAGCCTAAGATCACCTTGCGCAATGCCAAGCGTCGGCTGGAGTGGTGTAAAGCTCGCCGCCATTGGACTCTGGAGTGATGAATCACGCTTTACCATCTGGCAGTCTGACGGACGAATCTGGGTTTGGCGGATGCCAGGAGAACGCTACCTGCCAGAATGCATAGTGCCAACTGTAAAGTTTGGTGGAGGATGAATAATGGTCTGGGGCTGTTTTTCACGGTTCGTGCTAGTCCCCTTAGTTCCAGTGAAGGGAAATCATAATGCTACAGCATACAATTACATTCTAGATGATTCTGTGCTTCCATCGTTGTGGCAACAGTTTGGGGAAGGCCCTTTCCTGTTTCAGCATGACAATGCCCTCATGCACGAAGCGAGGTTCACACAGAAATGGTTTGTCGAGATCGGTGTGGAAGAACTTGACTGGCCTGCACAGAGCCCTGACCTCAACCCCATCGAACACCTTTGGGATGAATTGGAACGCCGAATGCGAGCCAGGCCTAATCGCCCAACATCAGTGCCCGACCACACTAATGCGCTCGTGGCTGAATGGAAGCAAGTCCCCGCAGCAATGTTCCAACATCTAGTGGAAAGCCTTCCCAGAAGAGTGCTGTTATAGCAGCAAAGGGGGGACTAACTCCATATTAATGCCCATGATTTTGGAATGAGATGTTCGACAGGTGTCCACATACTTTTGATCATGTAGTGTATCTATCTATAGGCTGTGGCTGTTATGTGGCCAGCGATACAGGGTTGCTCTCAGATCTATGTTCTCTCTCTGTCCGGCCCACTCCGCCATTACCTGACAGTGTCTAGGACCAATCACTGACTATGTTATGAAGAGGAGAGCCAATCAAATGAGCTCCAGAGACAGATTTGTCTCGTACCTATTAGAAAATCACTGTCCAATCACAACCAATACCCATCAGCTTGTCAGCATCAGGAGTGAGCAGACAGAAACATGTTACAGAGTGAAAGCAACCCTCCCTCCCTCACCCCTCCTCCTCCTCCTCCTGTGTGTCCTCTCCTCTTCAGTCCCATCCCAGCCTCTCCATGGCCATGCTGATCTTACAGAGGATCCAGCGGCGCAGTGGACAGTAGTACTCATAGTGGAACTGCTCAAACTCCGGTGTCTGCCTGATTTCGTGCAAAAACGACACGTCTATGTCCGACTCCAGCAGCAGCAGCAGCATCGGTACGGCAACCAGCAGCACCCCTATCACCATGGCGATGAGGCGGACCGCGCTCAGCACGCACGTGTTCACCCGCTCATTCCTCGCCAGGAGGCGGAGCCCGCTACCCAGCATGCTCCTCCCCACCACACGTGCACGCTCGAATGCGCGGTCACGCACCCTCTCAGCCTCCAGCTGGGCCTGGATGTCAGGGTCGGCATGTAGCTCTCTCAGCAGGCGAGCAGGGCTCTGGATGGGGCTCTGGAACAGCAGGTCCACCCCTCCCTGGCCGTCGTCCACTGGCGTGGGCAGCATGCTGGCACAGGGGTTGTACACCAACTCAGAGATGGTCAGGACTCCACTCGTCTCCTCTTCCTCCTCCTCCTCCTCCTCCTCTTCTTGCCCCTCCTCTGCCTCCCCCCCAGCCCTGGTAGGGGCCTCCTGTTCCTTGCGCTGCCCCAGAGCAGGACCCTCCACCCGCTCTAGCTCCGGCTCCGTGGAGGTGGTGGACGGCTTCAGGGGGGACAAGTAAACAGAGTCCTTCAGAGCCAGGAGTCCTGTAAAGACAGAGAGATGATATTCAGTTCATCTTATCCACTTACTTGCCCTATTGAGTTCAGTGATAGGCTATCTAGTTTCATGTCAAAACCAATAGCTGAATGTAAAATAAATATGGAAATTAACAGACTGTACAGTCTTGGGAGACAGGAGAACATCGTTATCCTACAGCTTGGCTGGCTCCTCTGAGCTACAAAATAGCTGTCATTCAGATTCATAGCCACCGGAGGGTGCCCCTGCTCTTTCAGTTACACCTTGAGATCACTATAGCTAATTTTCCCCCAACATCGGACACCCCCTAACTTCGGACACTCTCTAGCGGTTGGAGGACTAAATCACCTCGAGCTCAACATTTAAATGGACTGGAAAATAACGGTAAGTTTTGCGACTAACGACACCCTTCTAGCTAGCTGACCACCGATTTTCAGTGCAATTTGTGTAAGTTAAGTTAGGTTTTGAGCGTTTTCAAAAAAGTTATATATGTACACATTTTGTGGAACACGCTGCATATTGTAAAATTCGACTACGCGACAGACCACACATAATTTTATATCCAACTTTTTACCTCTGAAATATAGCTAACGGATTTTCTAATGTTACTAGCTTAGTTGCTAAATGTTGATAGAACTGCTAAGACAGAAAAAAGGAAAGAAATTGTAAGTGTTAGATAATACATATCACGAAAACAGCGGAATGTTGTCAAGCTTTATCGTATCAAAATTGAAGTCCTCTGACGGAGGCGTATTGCACAATCTGCAAAAATGTATTTGGAACTTTGAACCATTAACTTTTTGACACCTATCACTGTTGGTTATGTTTAATCTTACAACAGCTACATAGAGGCAGTATTTAGTCAAATTGTACTAATTGACACTAATTTTCATTACAGATAACATCAAACAAAAAACGTGGGTACACTTTCAGTTATTGTGAAAACTTTAATCACCTTTCAATGCCTTAGCTCTGAAATGTAAATGTTTATACATATTCAGATTGAGTTATCTTTCTAAAATGTGTATAGTATGCCAAGTTATTTAGCTACATGTATTAACACCACAGCACGGAGAAAGTCAAGAGGAAGCAGTGGAGTGAGGTGGACATGTTCCATGCCATGGAGGACTGCGGGGCAGGGATGGCTATCCGCCAGGCTGCCAAGATTAGGAATCTTTTGTTTTTAGGAGATTACCATGTGTATGTGAATTTTATCTGCTAGTAACAGTTTTATTTTCTTATCTACCAAGGTGCATGGTGTACCTCGGCAGACCCTGGCGGGCTTATTGTGCTTATTTTCTACGTGAATATTGCACTAAAGTCTTTTGGACTGAGCTTCTGCGTCCTGCGCTTGATTCATGCACCACACCCACCTTCAGCACCCCTTGACAATCTATAACTGCGATGAGTCTGGGTTTCGTAGCGACCAGAGCAGGCACAAAGTGCTGGCTCCCCGGGGCGCAAAACACGTGTACCAGCAGGCTCCTGGGACCAAGGAGCACATCACAGTGCTGGCCTGCTTCAACGCAGCTGGGGAGGACGTCCCCCCCGTTTATCATCTACCCCAAGTGTTTCCCCGGTGGCCACTACACACTGGGAGGCCCCTCCCAAGCCTTGGCTAGCAGTGGATACATTGACGGGGACCTGTTCAGGAAGTGGTTTCTGCACTTCATTAAGCATGCAGTGAAAGAGCGCCATCTCCTTCTCCTCTTCGATAGGCACAAGAGCCACATGGACCCGGAGGTGCTCGCGGCGGCACTAAGGGAAGGGGTTATCCTTCTTTGTCTTCCACCACACTGCACCCATGTCCTGCAGCCGCTGGACGTGGCATACTTTGGCCCTTTAAAGGCTGAGTTCTCCAAGGTAGCTGGAGACCTTAGCCATTTTGACCACTCTTACATGGTAATCAAATCAGAATTTGCCAGAGTATTCCGCTACCCGTACCAGCGATGCAAGGACATGCGCTATGTGGTGGAAGGCTTTAAGAAGTGTGGCCTCTTCCCTTTTTGACCCTTCAGCCATTGAAGGGTCCCGTTTAATGTTGTCTCGGTCCCTACCGAGTCCCACCACCGCCTCTCCTGGAACCAGCATCACTGTGCCATCCATCAGCGCCTCCTCCCCAGCGACCGCAGGAGAACCCTCAGCCCCATCTCCAGTCCCAGTCCCTGCTCCAGTCCCAGGCCTAGCTCTAGAAGAGCACCCCCTAATAGAGGGTGGGCTGATAGCGAAGGACCTGGGGCACATCCTTACTGTCCTGAAGTATCGGCTGGACCAATACAGAAGACTCCCTGTGGTCGCCACATGCCTCACCGGGGAGGAATACACGCGCCAGTGGCAGGAGAGGGGTGAGAAGGAGAGGGCAGAGGCAGAGGAGAAAGAGCGTTGGGCAGCCCTCAGAACACAGAGGGCACAGGAGAGGGCTGCCATGGATGAGACCATTGACGCCATCGCCTCTGCAGGACCCCCAGCTGGAACCACTCCTGACAGCTGCATCACCACTGCCAGTGCCTCCCAGTGTGCAACACCTGTAGGAGCCGCCGGAGTCCCCAGCTGCAGAAGGCGGCCACGTGCCTACTCTCCTGCCACACCATCGTCGGCCACTCAACCCCACCATGTCTGCACTGATTCCACTGCAGGTGTGTGCAGTGGGATCAAGAGGTAGCGGTGGAGCTGTAATATTATTGTGATTTTTTGACAATATAGGGATGGAGGTAGAGATTTAATTGTTTGTTTTGTTTGTGTTCATATGAAATTATTTATTTGTACAAAAAAATCAATGTCTAAAATATAATATATATATTTATTGAACCACTCTTGTGTATTTCTTCCTTTACTTTCCAAGGGCATCTCTGCAACACAAACTCCAACAGTGTTTTCATTGTTTATGTCAATGCACATAACTGAAATTAGTTTTATTTGATGTAAATTATTAATACTCATATTTTAGAATTCAACTGTTATCTACTTTCTCAAAACAAATGATGAGACATTATTTGGTTACAACACTGAATATGTTGGTGAAGAACCATTTTTTAAGAGTCCACAGGAGGGCGCACCGGGCTACGCAATGAAAAGTTGACAGGCAAGTCATTATTTTTTACCGGAAGACTAGCCAACTAGTCAGCTATCTAGTAAACACTTCGGGTACGTGGTTGGTGTCTCTTTTTTGAACAAAATTAAACGGATATATCTTGTAATTGAACAGAATAGTAAGGTGGCCAATAACTGGGGGCCGTATGCCGATAATACGGGACGTTTTTTTTTTGCTAAACCGCTTATCAAAAAGCTGATAATAGTAGTATTTCCACAGAAATATCAAACCTGCTAATTGCTAACCCGTTAGCTAACATTTTTACGACACCAATAATCACATAACATTGATGGCTTGATCACAAGATAACACTGTTGAAGGTAATGTATTCACGATAACACTGTTGAAGGCACAGTGTACAGCGACACCTTGTGTTGCGACACTGTAGTACCAGTAGTTACAGGGATATTAGAGCATTAACTGTCTGCTTTGTTCAGTTCAATTTTTAGCTCATGTCCTCAATTCTGGATATGTCTTTTAACTCTCTGGTTCAGTTTGTACTCAGCGTAGCTGATGGGAGGACTTGAAATAGAAGGGAAAGGTACAGGGCCGATGGGCATCGTTCCCATTAGGTCCGTGCTTTTTTTTATAGGAGAGAGACATATGGGACATGACTCCTGACTGATATTCTCAGTACAGTAGAGGTCATGTTGTTGACCTGTCCACCAGTGTAGACTATTGTGGTGGAATGAGGAGGGAAATAGTGTTTGTAACTTGTGTTACATTACTATTAGACCACTCATTGAATGTTGACAGAATTTTGAGACACCATCTATCTGCTTGTTCAGATTAGTATGGCTCATGTTCTAGATTCTACCCACCAATCTTTGGGATCCATAGATTGAGTGTGGTGGAACCGAATACACAGTGTAGAGTGACACTTTGTATCACTCCATTAGTGATCGTTTTTTTCTTGACAGGATATTGAGGCACCATCTATCTGCTGGTTCAGATTAGTATAGCTCATATTCTGGTTATCTGCCCACTAGCCATTGGCCTTGGCTTGTACTGAGTGTAGCGGATTGTACCGAGGACACAGTATATTGTGACACATTGTGTTACAGTACTGTGGGACTTCGTCGCAGCCATTGATGGGCTCGACCTTTTCAGTACGTGGTAAGTGTTAGGCTCGGCAGGGAGTACATTTTGGAGCGTTGCGCTCCGCCTTAAACCACTAGGAGCAGAGCTCCCCTATGGGGCGGAGCTCCACGATATAGAACGATAGTTACCGGAGTTGTAACTCCAGTTCTATGAGTGGAGCGGAGCCCAATAGGACTTAAGGTCCTTGCCGACCCTCCAGTCTCGCTGAAGATAATTTTTCGGGAGGCTGATTGAGGGGAAGCGTCCCCTTATATAGGGACACCTGTGCTCCCATTGGCTGCAGGTGTGTGCATATCTTTTCCTCAGGCTATTCGCTGCCTAGGCCTGAGGTGATGAAAGACTCTGGGCTGTGTTCAGTAGTTCAGAGGCATAACTGAAGCTTCAGCATACAGGATAATTATGTGTATATTGTGTTTGTGTGTGTGCATGCGCGTGTGTGTGTGCGTGCGCGTGTGTGTGGGTTTAAAATAGGCCCAGCTGTCTTCCTGCTGTGGATTAAGAAATGGCTCTGGGTTAAACTCCCAGTGATGTGTGACTCACTGCCAGTCTGCATTTCTCCCGTACCTCACAAGAGACATGATGGGCCTACACATTCCTCATCCGCTGGGCCACTTCTAAGACAAACACTCAGTGTATGAGCAATTTGTACATATTGTATAAAACACAATGCTTCATTAGGCTAAGACCACATCTACTGTAAGAGTATACAGCCAAACACACTGAACCAATGAAACTGCTCAGTAACCATGCCAACAGATTCAAACCTTTGGACAAAGAGAGAGAGAGAGAGAGAGAGAGAGAGCGAGAGAGAGAGAGAGAGAGAGAGATGAAGAGGAAGAGCGAGGGGGTGGGGGACTGTCCTGGAACAACACAGTGACGGCTGCTATGGAAACAGCCAGAGTCAAGAAAGAGTTTGCGAGCAAATGACCTCAGAGCGATACAGTAGGGCCAGAGAGAGAGAGAGGTGGAGGGGAGACATAGAGAGGTGGAGGGGAGATGGAGAGAGGTGGAGGGGAGGGGAGAGGGGGAGGGGAGATAGAGAGGGTAGAGGGGAGGGGAGATGGAGAGAGGTAGAGGGGAGATGGAGAGAGGTGGAGGGGAGATGGAGAGAGGTGGAGGGGAGATGAGAGAGGTGAGGGGAGATGAGAGAGGTGAGGGGAGATGAGGGGTGGAGGGGAGATGAGAGAGGTGGAGGGGAGATGAGGAGGTGGAGGGGATGATGAGACGATGGGTGGGAGGGGAGTGGGAGAGGTGGAGGGGCGATTCGACGAGAGGTGGAGTGAGAGATTGGAGAGGGGGATGGGAGATGAGAGAGGTTGATGGGGCAGATTTTGGGAGAGCGTAGTAGGGGATGGAGAGAGCGTTGGAGGGGAGATGGAGAGGTGGAGGGGATGGAGAGGTGAGGGGGGATAGAGGTTGGAGGTGGGAGAGAGTGGGGGCAGCTGGAGTGATGTGGGATGTGGAGGTGAGCGAGGCTGAGGGATGTGGGCTGGAGGGTAGATGAGGGATAAGATGGAGAGAGGTTGGACGGGGATGGAGAGTTGAGTGGAGGGGATGGGGACAGTGCCGAGGGTGAGAGTGGCTGGACGCGGTAGCGGAGAGGTGGAGGGGAGTTGGGAGAGGTGGAGGGCGAGGATTGCAGGAGTGGAGGGGAGATGGAGAGGGTGAGGGAGGGAGGTGCTGCGAGTGATGGGAGAGGTTTAGGGGAGATAGAGGACAGAGATGAGTAGAGGGAGGAGTAGGTATGAGTCGGGTAGAGAGGAGGGGGAGTGGAGGCGAGTGGAGGGGCTTAGAGAGAGGTGGATGGGTGCGGTAAGAGAAGAGCAGAGGAGGAGAGATAGGGGTGAGAAGAGATAGGTTGCTATGAGATAGATGGAGGTGGATGGAGAGAGGTGGAGGGTATGGAGAGGGAGGGGAGATGAGAGAGGTGGAGGGGAGATGGAGAGAGGGGGAGGGGAGATGTTTTGTCATTCTAGACATCTCATGGTGATCCTCTCCTTCAGGTCACCTGATCACTGAAGAGTGAGTCCTCTCTTTCAGGTCACCTAATCACTGAAGAGTGAGTCCTCTCTTTCAGGTCACCTAATCACTGAAGAGTGAGTGATCCTCCTAAAACTGAATCACCAGACACTCTCCCTCTATCCCCCTCCCTCCCTCGCTCTCTGTTCCCCTGTCAGTTTAACAGTAAATAATGTAATCACTGGTGGTTCTGTACTCGTGTACTCATATCAGGTGTCAGAATGAGCTGTTAGATTCCTGCAGCTCCTCCTCAACACACACATACACAGAGACACACACACAGGGTTTTCCCCGCTATGTCCTGCCACTCTAGCCTTGTGAAACCAGATGCCCCTCACACAGCAGCACAGAATGAAAGATGAATTAACCTTCATCCTTACAGCATTCTCATCCTCAACATTAACAGCACCCCTACACTCTTAGAAAAAGGGTTCCAAACGGGTTCTTCAGCTGTCCCCATAGGAAAACCCTTTTTGGATCCAGGTAGAACCCATTTGGGTTCAATTTAGAATCCTCTGTGGAAGGGTTCTACATGGAACCCAAAAGATTTCAACCTGGAACCAAAAAGGGTTCTTCAAAGGGTTCTTCTATAGGGACAGCCAAATAACCCTTTTAGGTTCTAGATAGCACATTTTTCCCTAAGAGTGTATACTCTGTCCAAACAAACATTAAAAGTGTGTCTGATCTCTAGACTTGACTGACTGTATGTTCTGAAAAGCCTGCAGTGCAGCACGGGGATACACTGCTTTGCCATCTAAGAGTGGCCATTATATCACCAGCAGACCAGACAGACACTCCTTTAGACTGACAGCAACAGACAGCAGCAGAGCTCAGTCCCAGTTCCCAACAACAGACAGCAGCAGAGCTAAGTCCCAGTTCCCAACAACAGACAGCAGCAGAGATCAGTCCCAGTTCCCATCAACAGACAGCAGCAGAGCTCAGTCCCAGTTCCCATCAACAGACAGCAGCAGAGCTCAGTCCCAGTTCACATCAACAGACAGCAGCAGAGCTCAGTCCCAGTTCCCAACAACAGAGACAGCAGAGCTCAGTCCCAGTTCCCATCAACAGACAGCAGCAGAGCTCAGTCCCAGTTCACATCAACAGACAGCAGCAGAGCTCAGTCCCAGTTCCCAACAACAGACAGCAGCAGAGCTCAGTCCCAGTTCCCATCAACAGACAGCAGCAGAGCTCAGTCCCAGTTCCCATCAACAGACAGCAGCAGAGCTCAGTCCCAGTTCCACATCAACAGACAGCAGCAGAGCTCAGTCCCAGTTCCCATCAACAGACAGCAGCAGAGCTCAGTCCCAGTTCCCAACAACAGAGACAGCAGAGCTCAGTCCCAGTTCACATCAACAGACAGCAGCAGAGCTCAGTCCCAGTTCACATCAACAGACAGCAGCAGAGCTCAGTCCCAGTTCACATCAACAGAGACAGCAGAGCTCAGTCCCAGTTCCCAACAACAGAGACAGCAGAGCTCAGTCCCAGTTCCCAACAACAGAGACAGCAGAGCTCAGTCCCAGTTCACATCAACAGACAGCAGCAGAGCTCAGTCCCAGTTCCCAACAACAGAGACAGCAGAGCTCAGTCCCAGTTCCCAACAACAGAGACAGCAGAGCTCAGTCCCAGTTCACATCAACAGACAGCAGCAGAGCTCAGTCCCAGTTCCCATCAACAGACAGCAGCAGAGCTCAGTCCCAGTTCACATCAACAGACAGCAGCAGAGCTCAGTCCCAGTTCCCAACAACAGAGACAGCAGAGCCTATCACAGATACACTGGACGCTCATCACTGATGCTCCAGTCCAACCAATGTCTCGTTCACACTTAGGGCCATAAAGAAGCTTTAAACGATTAACAGGCCATTAACAAACAACAAGCTCGACCTGACAACAACGTCAGCATGTAAATCAACTGAGTTTATGGAACAAGGTTAGACAGACATGTTACATCGTTAAATCGTTTTTTCCCGGACTGTTACCCTTACACTACCGATTATACACACAAACACACACACACACACACACAGCACCCCCCGCCCCTTCCCATTGATTCCATGGTTCTGTACCGGTTCCAGAGATGCACTCCCCGTGGCCGAGCAGGCGTACGTAGACGTCCCGGGCCGTGTGGTTGGCCATGCGGAGCTGCAGGTTGTGGCTGGTGGTGATCTTTAACCGGCAGCGCACCATATCCCCCCGCTCCTCCAGAACCTCCCCACACCCCACACCTAGGATCTCCTCTGCCTCCTCAACCAGCCCTTCACCTAGCCCCTCACCCAGCCCCTTAGCCAGCCCCTCAACCAGCCCCTCACCCAGCCCCTCAACCAGCCCCTCAACCAGCCCCTCACCCAGCCCCTCAACCAGCCCCTCAACCAGCCCCTCAACCAGCCCCTCACCCAGCCCCTCAACCAGCCCCTCACCCAGCCCTTCACCCAGTCCCTCAACCAGCCCCTCAACCAGCCCCTCACCCAGCCCTTCACCCAGCCCCTCACCCAGCCCCTCAACCAGCCCCTCACCCAGCCCCTCACCCAGCCCCTCACCCAGCCCCTCAACCAGCCCCTCACCCAGCCCCTCACCCAGCCCCTCACCCACGTCCGCCGGCTGCCCCAGGACACCCCCGCACCCCAAAGAGTCCCCAACTCCCAGCCCAATATCTGCCTCGTTCCTCTGCTCCAGAAGCTCCATGGCTCCTCTGCTCCCCCGTTAACTCTGACCCGGCAGTGCCTCGACTCCCACACACACTGACCGACCGTCCTCTGAGCTCTGGCTGGGTTTAACACACACAACCCTCCCAGATGACTTAAATGTCAGCAGCATTAACAAAGACAGGGCATTAGGGGTGGATCATCCCAAAAGCAGGAGGGCCTATTTTTACACCCCTGGTCTTGCAGAGAGGGCCAGCTAATCTCTGACTGATAAGGGCCAGAGAGGCTAGGAGAGAGGGGGCCCAGAGACGCTAGGGAGAGAGGGGGGCCAGAGAAGCTAGGGAGAGAGGGGGGCCTAGGAGGTTGGGCAGGAGAGAGAGGGGCCAGAGAGGCTAGGAGAGAGAGGGGGGCCAGAGAAGCTAGGGAGAGGGGGGCCAGAGAGTTTAGGGAGGAGGGGGGCCAGAGAAGCTAGGGAGAGAGGGGGGCCAGAGAAGCTAGGGTGAGAGGGGGGCCAGAGAGGCTAAGGAGAGAGGGGGGCAAGAGAAGCTAGAGAGAGAGGGGGCCCAGAGAGGTTAGGGAGAGAAGGGGGGCCAGAGGTTGGGAGAGAGGGGGGCCAGAAGAGGCTAAGGAGAGAGGGGGCCAAGAGCCTAGGGAGAGAGAAGGGGGCCAGAGAACTAGGGAGGAGAGGGGCCAGAGAGTTTAGGGAGCGAGGGGCCAGAAGAAGCTAGGGCAGAGAGGGGGCCAGAGAAGACAGTAGAGGTGGAGGTGGGGCCAGAGAGGATAAGAGAGAGGGGGCAAGAGAAGCTAGAAAGAGAGTGGGGCCGAGAGGTTAGGTGAGGAGGGTGCCGAGGGTTGGGGACAAGAGTGCAAACAGGCAACAATGGACTAGGGAGAGAGGGGGCCAAACAGGCTAGGGAGAGAGGGGCCAAAGAGGTTAGGGAGAGAGGGGGCCAGTACGCTATGGAGAGAAGGGTGCCAGTGAGGCTAGGGAAGAGAGGGGGGCCAAAGAGTAGGGAGAGAGGGGGGCCAGTGAGGCTAGGGAGAGAGGGGTGCCAGTGAGGCTAGGGAGAGAGGGGGGCCAGATAAGCTAGGGAGAGAGGGGGGCCAGAGAGGCTAACCAAGGAGGGCGTACAGCAGCACCTAGATCTTCTGCACAGATACTGTCAGACCTGGGCCCTGACAGTAAATCTCAGTAAGACAAAAATAATGGTGTTCCAAAAAAGGTCCAGTTGCCAGGACCACAAATGCAAATTCCATCTAGACACCGTTGCCCTAAAGCACACAAAAAACTATACATACCTCGGCCTAAACATCAGCGCCACAGGTAACTTCCACAAAGCTGTGAACGATCTGAGAGACAAGGCAAGAAGGGCCTTCTATGTCATCAAAAGGAACATAAAATTTGACATACCAATTAGGATCTGGCTAAAAATACTTGAATCAGTTATAGAACCCATTGCCCTTTATGGTTCTGAGGTCTGGGGTCCGCTCACCAACCAAGAATTCACAAAATGGGACAAACACCAAATTGAGACTCTGCATGCAGAATTCTGCAAAAACATTCTCTGTGTACAACGTAAAACACCAAATAATGCATGCAGAGCAGAATTAGGCCAATACCCGCTAATTATCAAAATCCAGAAAAGAGCCGTTAAATTCTATAACCACTTAAAAGGAAGCGATTCCCAAACCTTCCATAACAAAGCCATCACCTACAGAGAGATGAACTTGGAGAAGAGTCCCCTAAGTAAGCTTGTCCTGGGGCTCTGTTCACAAACACAAACAGACCCCACACAGCCCCAGGACAACAACAACAACAACACAACTAGACCCAACCAAATCATGAGAAAACAAAAAGAGAATTACTTGACACATTGGAAAGAACAAACAAAAAAACAGAGCAAACTAGAATGCTATTTGGCCCTAAACAGAGAGTACACAGTGGCAGAATACCTGACCACTGTGACTGACCCAAACTTAAGGAAAGCTTTGACTATGTACAGACTCAGTGAGCATAGCCTTGCTATTGAGAAAGGCCGCCGTAGGCAGACCTGGCTCTCAAGAGAAGACAGGCTATGTGCACACTGCCCACAAAATGAGGTGGAAACTGAGCTGCACTTCCTAACCTCCTGCCAAATGTATGACCATATTAGAGACACATATTTCCCTCAGATTACAGCGATCCACAAAGAATTCGAAAACAAACCCAATTTTGATAAACTCCCTTATCTACTGGGTGAAAATCCACAGTGTGCCATCACAGCTGCAAGATTTGTGACCTGTTGCCACAAGAAAAGGGCAACCAGTGAAGAACAAACACCATTGTAAATACAACCCATATTTATGTTTATTTATTTTCCCATCTGTACTTTAACTATTTGCACATTGTTACAACACTGTATATATACATAATATGACATTTGAAATGTCTTTATTCTTTTGAAACTTCTGAGTGTAATGTTTACTGTTAATATTTATTTCACTTTTGTTTACTATCTACTTCACTTGCTTTGGCAATGTTAACATACGTTTCCCATGCCAATAAAGCCCTTAAATTGAATTGAAATTGAATTGAGGGGGGCCAGAGAGGCTAGGGAGAGAGGGCGGCCAGAGAAGCTAGAGAGGGGGCCAGAGAGGCTAGGGAGAGAGGGGGGCCAAAGAGGCTAAGGAGAGAGGGGCCAGGAAGCTGAGAGGGGGCCAGAGAGGCTAGGGAGAGGGGGGGCCAAGAGGCTAAGGAGAGAGGCCAGAATAAAGGCCAAGAGGTAGGGAAGGGGGAAAGTGGAGAGGGGGCCAGAGAGGTAGGAGAGAGGGGGGCCAGTGAGGCTAGGGGAGAGAGGGGGGCCAGAGAGGCTAGGAGAGAGGGGGGCCAGAGGTAGGGAGAGAGGGGGGCCGGGTGACTATGTTCACACCAAAGAAGTGTGGCAAAGTTTGAGATAACCAAGATCTAATGTCAAAGTGCTGCCCAGTGATGGTAGCAATTTGATATGCCAGAGTCATGAGAGTGACAGAGAGTGCATTGCAGTTCCTTGCCATGAACAAGAGTCCAGCATTTGGCCAGGGAGAGGAGGGGGCCAGAGAGGTTGACGAGGACAAGGCTGGAGATCACTCTGTCATGCTGATTGAGTTAGAATAACAGACTGGAAGCTTTAAAAGGAGGGTGGTGCTTGAAATCATTGTTCTTCCTTTGTTAACCATGGTTACCTGCAAGGAAACACGTGTCGTCAATCATTGCTTTGCACAAAAAGGGCTTCACAGCATATTGCTGCTAGTAAGATTGCACCTAAATCAACCATTTATCGGATCATCAAGAACTTCAAGGAGAGAGGTTCAATTGTTGTGAAGAAGGCGTCAGGGCGCCCAAGAAAGTCCAGCAAGCGCCAGGACCGTCTCCTAAAGTTGATTCAGCTGCGGGATCGGGGCACCACCAGTGCAGAGCTTGCTCAGGAATGGCAGCAGGCAGGTGTGAGTGCATCTGCACGCACAGTGAGGCGAATACTTTTGGAGGATGGCCTGGTGTCAAGAAGGGCAGCAAAGAAGCCACTTCTCTCTAGGAAAAACATCAGGGACAGACTGAAATTCTGCAAAAGGTACAGGGATTGGACTGCTGAGGACTGGGGTAAAGTCATTTTCTCTGATGAATCCCCTTTCTGATTGTTTGGGGGCATCCGGAAAACACCTTGTCCGGAGATGACAAGGTGAGTGCTACCATCAGTCATGTGTCATGCCAACAGTAAAGCATCCTGAGACCATTCATGTGTGGGGTTGCTTCTCAGCCAAGGTAGTGGGCTCACTCACAATTTTGCCTAAGAACACAGCAATGAATAAATAATGGTACCAACACATCCTCCGAGAGCAACTTTTCCCAACCATCCAAGAACAGTTTGGTGACGACCAATGCCTTTTCCAGCATGATGGAGCACCTTGCCATAAGGCAAAAGTGATAACTAAGTGGCTCGGGGAACAAAACATCTACATTTTGGGTCCATGGCCAGGAAACTCCCCAGACCTTAATCCCATTGAGAACTTGTGGTCGATCCTCAAGAGGCGGGTGGACAAACAAAACCCCACAAATTCTGACAAACTCCAATCATTGATTATGCAAGAATGGGCTGCCATCAGTCAGGATGTGGCCCAGAAGTTAATTGACAGCATGCCAGGGCGGATTGCAGAGGTCTTGAAAAAGAAGGGTCAACACTGCAAATATTGACTCTTTGCATAAACTTAATGTAATTGTCAATAAAAGCTTTTGACACTTATGGAATGCTTGTAATTATACTTCAGTATACCATAGTAACATCTGACAAAAATATCTCATAACACTGAAGCAGCGAACTTTGTGAAGACCAATACTTGTGTCATTCTCAGAACTTTTGACAACGACTGTACATGTTCACACCCCGTTATATTCCCCATTCATGCTGATGCATATGAAGGGCTTTATATTCCTAAAACCCCTTAGGGCTATCAATCAATCATTAAAATGTATTTATAGAGCCCTTTTTAAACAAGCGGTTGTCACAAAGTGCTTATACAGAAACCAAGCCTAAAACCCCAGAGAGCAAGCAATGCAGATGTAGAGGCACGGTGGCTAGGAAAAACTCCCTAGAAAGGCAGAAACCTAGGAAGAAACCTAGAGCAGAACCAGGCTCTGAGGGGTGGCCAGTCCTCTTCCAGCCAGCCAGCCAACCAGCCAACCCAAGGCTGTGTAGTGGCCCTCAGTGGCCTTGGGGTAGACTAGACAGGCTGAGGCCCTGGGTCTATAGGCCTGGTGACCACCAACGGCTGCTGCTGGTGACTACTTCTTTCTCCGGCCCAGTCAGTCGAGAGGTGACAGAGGAAATGGCCACTCTGGTAGTTCTTTGAAACCCAGCCAAGAGAATATTTTTCCAGTGGGCATATACTGTAAATTCTCCTGGCAGGATGGTGGATAAGAAGCTGACTATGAGTGCGAACTTAGCCCTATGCGTGTAATAGTGTAATGCCCAAAATGGGAATGTGAAAGGGGAATGTTTGTGTGTGTGTGTTAGAATCCAGGGGGTAACATTTACATTTTAGTCATTTAGCAGACGCTCTTATCCAGAGCGACTTACAGTTAGTGAATACATTTTTTTTTTTATACTGGCCCCCCATGGGAATCGAACCCACAACCCTGGCGTTGCAAACGCCATGCTCTATCAACTGAGCTACATCCCTGCCGGCCATTCCCTCCCCTATCCTGGACGACGCTGGGCCAATTGTGCGCCGCCCATGAGTCTCCCGGTCGCGGCCGGCTGCGACAGAGCCTGGATTCGAACCAGGATCTAGTGGCACAGTTAGCACTGCGATGCAGTGCCTTAGACCACTGCGCCACTCAGGAGTATAAACACCAGGGTAACACCTTGGGGGTATAACTCAGAGGTAGAGACAGGCCCCCTGGATGTGTGCTGATACCTCACCCCCGCTGATGGATGGCAAACATTTAAAATTTAAAATTTTAGTCATTTAGCAGACGCTCTTATCCAGAGCGACTTACAATTAGTGAGTGCATACATTTTCAGACAAAGTCAACAAAAAAAAAAAAACTAGTTCAGGTCAGTGGCATAGACAGAAATACTTTGGTGGGTGGGCCTGCAGAAATGTTTGGGGAAACAGCTAATTTCCTGCAATTCTACACATTTTGCCATGGGGCAAAGAGAAACACTTTCAGTTTTATAGCTAATCAAAACTGCAATGTAGGTGTGTTGACTGTAATAAAGGTATCACGCCCTGACTCAGGGGACTCTTATATGTTGAGTCAGGGTGTGTATATTCTATGTTGTGTTTATTCTAGGTGTGTTATCTAGTATGTGTATTTCTATGTTGGCCGGTGTGGTTCCCAATCAGAGGCAGCTGTCGCTCGTTGTCTCTGATTGGGGATCATACTTAGGCAGTCTATTGGCACTAGGTAGTTGTGGGATCTTGTTCCGTGTTTAGGCTAGTTTTGTGTTCAGCCTTTGGACTTTACGTTTCATTGATTTGTTGTTGTTTATCAGTGTGATAAACATGTATGCATATCACGCTGCGCCTTGGTCTGACCCGTCCTTCAACGAACGTGACAAAAGGCACTGGATTATCAGCTGTCTTGTTTGCTAAATGAACAAATGAAGTAGGCAGTGGCATGATACATATACAGTGAGGGAAAAAGTATTTGATCCCCTGCTGATTTTGTACGTTTGCCCACTGACAAAGACATGATCAGTCTATAATTTTAATGGTATGTTTATTTGAACAGTGAGAGACAGAATAACAACAAAAAAATCCAAAAAAACACATGTCAAAAATTGTATAAATTGATTTGCATTTTAATGAGGGAAATAAGTATTTGACCCCCTCTCAATCATAAAGATTTCTGGCTCCCAGGTGTCTTTTATACAGGTAACAAGCTGAGATTAGGAGCACACTCTTAAAGGGAGTGCTCCTAATCTCAGCTTGTTACCTGTATAAAAGACACCTGTCCACAGAAGCAATCAATCAATCAGATTCCAATCTCTCCACCATGGCCAAGACAAAAGAGCTCTCCAAGGATGTCAGGGACAAGATTGTAGACCTACACAAGGCTGGAATGGGCTACAAGACCATCGCCAAGCAGCTTGGTGAGAAGGTGACACAGTTGGTGCGATTATTCGCAAATGGAAGAAACACAAAAGAACTGTCAATCTCCCTCGGCCTGGGGCTCCATGCAAGATCTCACCTTGTGGAGTTGCAATGATCATGAGAACGGTGAGGAATCAGCCCAGAACTACACGGGAGGATCTTGTCAATGATCTCAAAGCAGCTGGGACCATAGTCACCAAGAAAACAATTGGTAACACACTACGTCGTGAAGGACTGAAATCCTGCAGCGCCAGCAAGGTCCCCCTGCTCAAGAAAGCACATATACATGCCCGTCTGAAGTTTGCCAATGAACATCTGAATGATTCAGAGGAGAACTGGGTGAAAGTGTTGTGGTCAGATGAGACCAAAATGGAGCTCTTTGGCATCAACTCAACTCGCCGTGTTTGGAGGAGGAGGAATGCTGCCTATGACCCCAAGAACATCATCCCCACCGTCAAACATGGAGGTGGAAACATTATGCTTTGGGGGTGTTTTTCTGCTAAGGGGACAGGACAACTTCACCGCATCAAAGGGACGATGGACGGGGCCATGTACTGTCAAATCTTGGGTGAGAACCTCCTTCCCTCAGCCAGGGCATTGAAAATGGGTCGTGGATGGGTATTCCAGCATGACAATGACCCAAAACACACGGCCAAGGCAACAAAGGCGTGGCTCAAGAAGAAGCACATTAAGGTCCTGGAGTGGCCTAGGCAGTCTCCAGACCTTAATCCCATAGAAAATCTGTGGAGGGAGCTGAAGGTTCGAGTTGCCAAACGTCAGCCTGGAAACCTTAATGACTTGGAGAAGATCTGCAAAGAGGAGTGGGACAAAATCCCTCCTGAGATGTGTGCAAACCTGGTGGCCAACTACAAGAAACGTCTGACCTCTGTGATTGCCACCAAGTACTAAGTCATGTTTTGCAGAGGGGTCAAATACTTATTTCCCTCATTAAAATGCAAATCAATTTGTAACATTTTTGACATGCGTTTTTCTGGATTTTTTTGTTTGTTGTTATTCTGTCTCTCACTGTTCAAATAAACCTACCATTAAAATTATAGACTGATCATGTCTTTGTCAGTGGGCAAACTTACAAAATCAGCAGGGGATCAAATACTTTTTCCCCTCACTGTATAGCTATCGAAGCACAGTGACATATGCCTCAATGTAGTCATATTGGTGGTGTGGCTTACAGTTAGTTATTTTTGGCCACCCATCCCATGAGAGCTAATGTCATTCCAGTACACTGCTTGCTTTGAATTCTATCTGATGTGTTTGCATGTTTAGGTAACACTGACAAGTAGAGAGCATAAAAGAACACGTCTGATTGGCCTACCCATGCCCACCCTCCTCTCCTCCTTCTCCCCATTCTCAATCCCCCTCTCTCTCTCTTCTTCCCTCCCCCTCTCTTCCCTCCCTCTCTGTTCCCCCCCAAGGGCAGGTCTGGTCTGGTCAGACAGCCTCCTGGGGATAAACTGACAGCAGTAGCAGAGGTCAGCAAAGAGCTGATGGTTGGGTTGTGGTCCTCAGCAGCACCTCTTCTACTGACCATTCAATCACCAACCTGTCGTCATAGTCTGGAGAACTCTGCCACTATACATACTACCACCAGCAGTCTGTCTGGAAACTACTGACCACTATACATACTACCACCGTCAGTCATAGTCGGAGGAAATACTGACCACTATACTACTATCCACCTGTCAGCCTAGTCTGGATAACTACTGACCACTATACATACTACCAACCTGTCAGTCATAGTCTGGAGAAACTACTGACCACTATACATACTACCAACCTGTCAGTCATAGTCTGGAGAAACTACTGACCACTATACATACTACCAACCTGTCAGTCATAGTCTGGAGAAACTACTGACCACTATACATACTACCAACCTGTCAGTCCTAGTCTGGAGAAACTACTGACCACTATACATGCTACCAACCTGTCAGTCCTAGTCTGGAGAAACTCCACCTTCTTTTACCATTTACAGGACAAGAGGCACCAGCTTCTATGCCACACATCCAACCAGCCTACCGTTCACAAGCCATCTATGAAGTATGAAAAAAAAAAAATGTATGCACTCACTAACTCTGGATAAGAGCGTCTGCTAAATGACTAAAATGTAAAAATGTAATCTTTGTACTGTATATTTAAGGATGAGACTAACATGAGGTTTAGTGAAGGAAAAAATTGTCACACACACACACACACACACACACACACACACACACACCCACCCCTTGGAGCCAAACAAATATGTGCTAATTAAGTTACTGTTAACGCTAACCCTAGCTGGGGTCCTGCGTCTGTTTCCGTGATGTCATGGTGCACTTCCGTGACTGGTCATTACCAGCATGGTGTCCTCAGGGAGGCTCATGGGAGGTGTATTTTTAGCACTGTGATTGGGTCTCCGGGGAAACGAGGCTTACCGTAGCATCAGCTGCTCAATTTACACTCCAACTCCGAGAGCTGGACACCTAACAGCTGTCACTGGAGACCAAGCAAACCCCAGGACGCGGCCGGTGTGTGTGTAAGTGTGTATGCATGCATGCGTGTATGTATTATTTGCTGGAGTGTGTGTGTGTGTGTGTGACTGTGTGCTCTTACCATTGTCTGCCGAGGTCTCTTCATACTCGTTGGTGGAGGGCAGTGCTGGGACAAGAGGCTCCATGTTCATGATCAGATTTTTGTGGCTCAGTGAGTTGAAGCTTCTGCTCTGCCCAAAGTGTAACCTGGAACATGGTGTAAACAACACTTGTTATCTGATTTACCATTTACCAGACTAAACACACCTTTACCTGGTATGTGGTACTAACTACATGACAGTGAGGTTCAGTTTTCCCTCTCTCACCTATGCACCTCCGGTGGCTCTCTCTGGATCTTGGAGCTGGCTTCGATTACTTCTTTTGCAACTCTTCCACTAAAAAGAAAAACAAACATCTCGTTAGGTGTAGTTCTACAGTGTGACTTTGTGTAGGTGTAGTTCTACAGTGTGACGTTGTCTAGATGTAGTTCTACAGTGTGACTTTGTGTAGGTGTAGTTCTACAGTGTGACTTTGTCTAGGTGTAGTTCTACAGTGTGACTTTGTGTAGGTGTAGTTCTACAGTGTGACTTTGTCTAGATGTAGTTCTACAGTGTGACTTTGTCTAGATGTAGTTCTACAGTGTGACTTTGTCTAGATGTAGTTCTACAGTGTGACCTTGTCTAGAGGTAGTTCTACAGTGTGACTTTGTGTAGGTGTAGTTCTACAGTGTGACTTTGTGTAGGTGTAGTTCTACAATGTGACTTTGTCTAGATGTAGTTCTACAGTGTGACTTTGTGTAGGTGTAGTTCTACAATGTGACTTTGTCTAGATGTAGTTATACAGTGTGACATTGTCTAGAGGTAGTTCTACAGTGTGACTTTGTGTAGGTGTAGTTCTACAGTGTGACTTTGTGTAGGTGTAGTTCTACAGTGTGACTTTGTCTAGATGTAGTTCTACAGTGTGACTTTGTCTAGATGTAGTTCTACAGTGTGTACTGTATCATACAGGGTAAAGTTACACCAAAGCAGGAAATTATCCCCAACCTGAGGTCAACATGTTATACAGTATGTTACCTACACCTAGTCCATATTGGGGGAAAAAACATGACTTTTACATTTTAACAGATGCTCTAATCCAGAGCGACATACAGGAGCAATTAGGGTTAAGTGCCTTGCTCAATGGCACATCAGCAGATTTTTCACATAGTTGCTCAGGGATTCAAACCAGCAACGTTTTGATTACTGGCCCAACGCTCTAACCACTAGGCTACCTGCCGACTTGAATCAATTAATCGTTCTCTATAACAAATAACCTAGTCCTTAAGCTAAATTAAGTTAAATTGTCTCTTAAGCTAAATTGCTTGAGCACTTATCCAGCTGCTGAAATGAAGAGATGTGTAGCATATAAAATGTGCTTTGGGAAATGATCAAAACAAACAATACATAAGTCTAGCGGCATTTAACTGGACACAGCTTGGCTTAGTAAGGCTCAGTGACACAGTCAAGCATTCAATGTCTCACCTGTATCGAAACCTGCTTCCCTTGAAGAAAATATTACTGCTGGACACAGTCTTTATCTGGCTTGACTTTGCACATCTGTCAAAGAGACAGAGATAATTGTTTGCTGAGCAAGAGGGCACATTCATTAATTAGTTACATTTGGCGTTTAGGAACTCATAGGACTTGACAGGTATCCAAATGTGATGTATTGTTCAGTCTAGTTTGTCCTGTCAAAAAGGAACTCATAGGAATTGACAGGTATCCAGTCGAGTTGGTCCTGTCAAAAAGGAACTCATATGACTTGACAGGTATCCAGTCTAGTTGGTCCTGTCAAAAAGGAACTCATAGGACTTGACAGGTATCCAGTCTAGTTGGTCCTGTCAAAAAGTTTCATGCACTTTTGTGAAGATAAATGCCAGGACACAGCACTTTCCAGAGGTCTCTTTGGCTGCCATTTTCTAAATTCACTTCAGTCTCATTTGATTAACGAGCTCTGATCTGATATCCAAACCTGCCTCTCTGCTGAGGACCAGGGAAAATCGAGCCCCAAGGACCCAGGAACCAGCATGCAGGAGCCAGGCTCAGCTGCTGGCCCTCAGAGCCATTGCTGTCTGTCCAACCCTCCACCCCTCCCTTCCAACACCATCCACCCAGTCTTATTGAGCCCTACCAATCTGAACACTCATAACTCTGGATTAAACTAGTGATAACAACAGTCTGCAGCCACAAATCAACCCGGCTAGAGCCTACGCACGCGCACACACACACACACACACACACACACACACACACACACACACACACACACACACACACACACACACACACACACACACACACCGTCTTGTACAACTAACCTTGTGGGGACACACAATTCAGTCCCATTCAAAATCCTATTTTCCCTAACCCCTAAACCTAAACCTAACCCTAACCCTAACCTTAACCTTAACCCAAAAACCTAACATTAACCCTTAACCTAACCCTAGCTCCTAACCCTAACCCTAAAACTAACCCTAGCTCCTAACCCTAAACCTAACCTAACCCTAACACTAATTCTAACCTTAACCCTAAACCCCCTAGAAATAGCATTTAACCTTGTGGGGAATAACAAAATGTCCCCAGTTGGTCAAATGTTTGTTAGTTTACTATTCTTGTGGACACACACACACACATGTTCCAAGTTCCAGCTTGGATAGAGAGATGGATATGAGAGTGCTGCAGGTGTTTTGTGGGACTCACTTGTAAAATGCTTGGTTCTCTACCCCACACTTCCACAAATGTTTACACGCCGCTGGGGTAGAGGTGTGGAACGTCAGCACCAGTTTCTTCTGCAGAGAGATTGAGAGAGAGAGAGAGAGAGAGAGAGAGAGAGAGAGAGAGAGAGAGAGAGAGAGAGAGAGAGAGAGAGAGAGAGAGAGAGAGAGAGAGAGAGAGAGAAGAGAGAGAGAAGGAGAGGAACAAAGCAGAGGAAGACAGTGAATTAGGACGAGGCATCCGACAAAGTGCTGAACATGTTGAGAGTGAGCTGTGCAAAGTGCTGACCCAGACCCTACACCCAGCCTGTTAGGGAGATGGGGAGGTGGGCAGGCGAACACTTTGTGCACTTCCAGCACTAAGCAGTTCTTAAAAGGCCCCGGGTGTGAGGGAGTTTATGGGCAGAGCTGGGGATAAGAGGGGGATCAATTCCAGTAAAAGTCCAGTTATCTGCTCTGTGTCTGGTAATATGATCAGCAGATCAATGGTGTCTGCAGCATTACAGAGTACAGAGCACAGAGCACAGACTTTCCCTGGCCTGGACAGAGACTTAACGACTGTAACAATGGAACACTAATACTGACAGAGACTTAACCACTGTAACCATGGAACACTAATACTGACAGACACTTAACCACTGTAACCATGGAACACTAATACTGACAGAGACTTAACCACTGTAACCATGGAACACTAATACTGACAGAGACTTAACCACTGTAACCATGGAACACTAATACTGACAGAGACTTAACCACTGTAACCATGGAACACTAATACTGACAGAGACTTAACCACTGTAACCATGGAACACTAATACTGACAGACACTTAACCACTGTAACCATGGAACACTAATACTGACAGAGACTTAACCACTGTAACCATGGAACACTAATACTGACAGAGACTTAACCACTGTAACCATGGAACACTAATACTGACAGAGACTTAACCACTGTAACCATGGAACACTAATACTGACAGAGACTTAACCACTGTAACCATGGAACACTATTACTGACAGAGACTTAACCACTGTAACCATGGAACACTAATACTGACAGAGACTTAACCACTGTAACCATTGAACACTAATACTGACAGAGACTTAACCACTGTAACCATGGAACACTAATACTGACAGAGACTTAACCACTGTAACCATGGAACACTAATACTGACAGAGACTTAACCACTGTAACCATGGAACACTATTACTGACAGAGACTTAACCACTGTAACCATGGAACACTAATACTGACAGAGACTTAACCACTGTAACCATTGAACACTAATACTGACAGAGACTTAACCACTGTAACCATTGAACACTAATACTGACAGAGACTTAACCACTGTAACCATTGAACACTAATACTGACAGAGACTTAACCACTGTAACCATCGAACACTAATACTGTACTATAAGATAAAATAAGATTTGGTGATGAATTTCCACATTCCCATGCTGTAACACTTTGGTTGTATTCCAAATGGCATCCTATTCTCTATATAGCGCACTACTTTTGACCAGAGGGGCCCTGCTCTATAAAGGGAATAGGGTGCTATTTGGTATGAAGCCTGTGTCACAGTCTAAAATGTATTAACGCAGCTGTTGCACTGATACTGTAAATGGTACAGTATGCTTAACTGTCTGGGGCGTATCAACGGTAAGAAGAGTGTAAGGAGGATTTATACATCTGGAGGTTCAGGGTGGTCAGCCACAGTGAAGTGGTTATTATACGCAACACGCATGTGCGGCAGTGGCCGTGTGTGGGCTACAAGTGTGTTCAGCTAGCAGGACTGTACGTTCAGGGGAGTTTTCATGGGACCACAACATGTGTTAAACATGTTCAATGGTACATCATCTCCATGTGAAGTTGGCAGAGATGAGGGCAGAGTGAGATCATGCAGTGGCACAGGGTATAAACTGTTCCAGGAAGAGCGGAGACTGCGGATCGATGCATGATTAAATCATAATAAGATACACCTTACTGCACTAAGCACTCACACACACACACGCACGCACACAGACACACACAGACACACAGACAGACACACACACACACACACACACACAGACATACAGACAGCCACACACACACACACACCAAGGAAAACAAACAGTTCAGCAAACTGCCAAACTGTTTAATTAATTAAGGACATAAAACATAAAAATAAGTTATTACATAATAAGATACTAATAAGATTTTGATGGATGTATGTTTTTCTGCAGTAAAGGGAATTGTCACAGAGTGCTCCATGCTATTGGGTGATGATGGTCAAACCAAATGGTCCTGCACCAACATCACCAAAGAGCAGTCCAACAAAAACTCAAATCAAATGAACCAAACCCAACTCGGAGGAGAACCGCACAACAACCACAGGAGCGAAGAACGGAGAGGTTTTTCGAGTTGTGGAGAATGTGAGAAGGTTTGGAAGGGGTCAGCATTAGGGTGTTGGGGGGGATGCAATGGTGTGTGTGTGTTTTTACTCACCAGTGATGGATATGAACACACAGAGAGAAGAGACAGAAACACAAAGATAAAACTGCATCTTCAGCCAGACAGACCAACAGACTACAAGCAAAATGAGCTGCCATAAAGCGGTCTGAAATGAGGTGCTGGGCAGTTGAGACGGGCACTTTGTAGCAATGACATGTCCAGCTGTTGACTTAGATCTTTGTTTTAACCCATGGGTGACTCCAGTCCTCAGGGGCTCCTGAGTGTCGGCTGGTTTTTTATTTTGCCTGGCACTTAATTGACCCGTTTATGTCACTCATTGCTCAGAGTGCACACACCTGGTTTATGTCACTCATTGCTCAGTGCACATACCTGGTTTATGTCACTCATTGCTCAGTGCACACACCTGGTTTATGTCACTCATTGCTCAGAGTGCACACACCTGGTTTATGTCACTCATTGCTCAGTGCACACACCTGGTTTATGTCACTCATTGCTCAGAGTGCACACACCTGGTTTATGTCACTCATTGCTCAGAGTGCACACACCTGGTTTATGTCACTCATTGCTCAGTGCACACACCTGGTTTATGTCACTCATTGCTCAGTGCACACACCTGGTTTCCCAAGAAACAGCAGACATTCAGGCCCCAGAGGACCCAATTGAATGTTTTAGTGAGAGTACAATGCACCTGTGTGTGTGTGTGTGTTTGTGTGTGTGTGTGTGTGTGAGTGTGAGTGTGTGTGTGAGTGAGTGTGTATGTGTGTGTGTGATTTTAAAGCAGCAGGCTAAACCGTGAGACAGGACTAAACATTAACTAGAGCTGAGCAGAAATGTATCTGTCTAGATCTCAAGCATGAGGCAGGACAGGCAGCCAATGGCAGAGTGGAACTACAGCACAGACAGAGATAATGGCCAATAGAAAGATAGAAGGAAGACATCTTTATAGAGTATATAGAGCGTGAGGCCAGTTCTGAAAACATTACATCCATTGAATGGCTCACAAAGACTATCTGTGGTGCATGTCAGTTGGTTGTAGCTGGCTAAACATCACTTATTACTACAAACCACCTTCCCTGAGACCTGTTGATTTTCTCAAACAGGAGCAATGTCATGTAGAATGACTTTGGGGCTCTGATTCGACTATAGTTCCATTCTTAGTTGATTTTAGGCATGGGAGATGTCAGGGCAGGGGTGTGGGGCTAGACATTATACACCCACCATGTTACAGTGCATCCTGCCCGTGAGAGAGATCTGAAACAGTGCAACAAATTACTCTCTCACACACATCTCACATTAGAAATACAGAGACATTCACACCTACGGTATAAACGTAAACACACAGAGTAGAACACAGAGACACAAGAAGTGACTAATATTATACTACAGAGTTATGTTGGGGAAAATCTCTGGTAGGAAATCTATTTTGAAAATCTATTTTTGTGTTTGCAAACACAATGAGATTTTGTGACATACCTCTTTCTGAATTCCAATGACATAGAATGTTTTCCCTTCAAACTTCAGTTTGTTGACATCAGCCCTAGAATCGTAAACAACAGTAATTATGAGACTGAAGAATCAGACCACTGCTGTTTTGGTAGTTAAGAGGTCATAGGTTAGAGGATATAGGTGAGAGGGGAGAGGTGAAGGGTTACCATTTGAGCAGGTGGATTCTCTTGTTTCCCTGGAACACCACAAACCCAGTGGCGGTAAATCCCAGGAAGGCTGTGGATCCTGTGAAGTCCTGCAGACACACACACCAATGCTCAGTGAAGGTAGAAGTTACCCATGTATACCAATCAGGCATGCGCAGACAGCTGCTGAGGAGGCGGTCTCACTGTTTACCACCGCAGCAGGCTGAAAATGACTCGTCTTCCTGACTACACTTTGTTCCAATGCAAGCCTCACTGTCATATAGTCATGTATCGTTCCCCGAAAACAACTGTTGGTTGCTCACAATGTAAAGAGCTTTGTGATTTATATCTCTAAATTTATATTATTATTATTAACCACAGATCTAGGATCAGATAAGCTCACCCCCAATCCTATCCTTATCCATTACAGGGATTAAATAATATCTGACTCTGGACCAGAGGTTGATGGAATCGTCTACCTGCCCCTTACTAGATCACAGGCTGAGGTAGCAAAACTTGGCATTCTGGCATACAGGAAGACTGTATCCCAGAATGTGAAGTGTTGTCGCAATGGCAATGGCTACTCTATAAAAATTGTTCCCATAGACTTCTACAATGAAAATGTATGTAAAACATAAAGATAATTCAAATCCATGGGAACATATGATATATAATCCTCTTGATAACATATGAACCAAAGCCAATTTCATACAGTAGACTCCTGCCAAGAGTCTACTAACTACTGTATCACCACATGCAACCTCCCTCTGCAGCACAGTAAACATGTAGTCCGCTCACATCAAACATTCAAACCGATTTGATTTCAATTTCTCTGCCAATCGTAGCTGATTTCACACTCAGTCCTTTTTCTTTCTGATTGGACGATTTGTCTCTCTGTTGAACACAGTCTCCTTCTGATTGGACAGTGTGTTTCTTAATGAGCGGAACATGACGTCTGTAATGGAGACTGTGTTCTGGCTGCAGTAAATGGACGGTGATACACTGACAGCTGCAGTTAATTCCTGAATTAAAAGGTCTTTATGACACAAGCAGAACAGATAAGCGAATCCTCAAACAAAATAAATTAAATATCTCCTTTAATCAGCTTAGAGTGCTTTGATACCCTGGCTGTCAAGAGTTTCCCATTCACACGGTGAGTCACTATGGCTGCGTTTACACAGGCAGCACAATTTTGATATTTTTTCCACTAATTGGTCTTTTGAGACCACTGTAAAAAAAAGATATGAATTTGTCTGCCTGTGTAAATGAAGCCAGAGAGGATGACACAGAAGCAGAGGAACACAGTCTCCATTACAGCCGTCATGTTCCACTCATTAAGAAACACACTGTCCAATCAGAAGGAGACTGAGTTCAACAATAAACAAACCGTCCAATCAGAAAGAAAAAGGACTACGATTGGCCGAGAAACTGAAATCAAATTGGTTTGAATATTTGATGTGAGCGGACTACATATTAATGTGGGCTGACAACTCCATACAAGCTGTTTAATCAATCTTACACTCATTGATTATAAGTCACAGTGGCTACACTGGAATAAAGGACATTGAAATAAAGGTGAGAGTTTAGGGGAGAGGTGGTGGGAGGTACCTTGCAGGGGTGAGGGTCCACTCCGTATGTCTCCAGGTTGTGTGCCCTCTGGAGGAGATGAAGCTCGGCCAGAGCAGAACACTGCCCCCTGTGGGATAGGAGGCCAGTTAGCAGCAAACCTGCAGGCTGGTTATACACAATGGGTTAGAGGGCACAGTTATTACCCCAATATAAACTGCTTTGTGTTTGAGCTGAGTGCTCCATAAACACAAATCATGTCTGTGAGTGCTAAAGTAATGTCAGAGTAATACAACTATAATGTAGAATGATATTCTAATGCTAGCTTTACATTTCTCTTGTTGTCGTTAGCTCAGTGTTAGCCCATCTCTAGATTGCCAGAGATGTTGCTCAGCAGCTTGTATTTGGAGTAATGACACTCTGCTTATGTTCATTAGTTGAAGTGGTGCTTGGCAAAGCACCTAGGTGACGCATGCTGCTGCTCAGCGATGGGCGGCTGCCTGCTGTGGGCTCTAAATCAACCTGCCTGAGCCTCAGTTTCTATTATAACGCCTGTAAACACAACCCTCTGGTCCCAGCCAGCCAGCCCTCTGGTCCCAGCCAGCCAGCCCTCTGGTCCCAGCCAGCCAGCCCTCTGGTTCCAGCCAGCCCTCTGGTCCCAGCCAGCCCTCTGGTCCCAGCCAGCCCTCTGGTCCCAGCCAGCCAGCCCTCTGGTCCCAGCCAGCCAGCCCTCTGGTCCCAGCCAGCCAGCCCTCTGGTCCCAGCCAGCCAGCCCTCTGGTCCCAGCCAGCCCTCTGGTCCCAGCCAGTCAGCCCTCTGGTCCCAGCCAGCCAGCCCTCTGGTCCCAGCCAGCCCTCTGGTCCCAGCCAGCCAGCCCTCTGGTCCCAGCCAGCCAGCCCTCTGGTCCCAGCCAGCCCTCTGGTCCCAGCCAGCCATATTACACCATCTGGGACAGGGACATGGGATCAGTAGTGGCTTTATGTATGTGTGTGTGTGTGTGTATGTGTCTGTTTGTGTTTGTGTGTGTGTTTGTGTGTGTCTGTGTGTCTTGTTTGTGTGTGTGTGTGTGTTTGTGTGTGTCTGTGTGTCTGTTTGTGTGTGTGTGTGTGTCTGTTTGTGTCTGTTTGTGTCTGTTTGTGTTTGTGTGTGTGTGTCTGTTTGTGTGTGTGTGTGTGTGTGTGTGCCTGTTTGTGTGTGTGTGTGTGTTTGTGTGTGTGTGTGTGTGTGTGTCTGTTTGTGTGTGTGTTTGTGTGTGTCTGTGTGTGTGTGTGTCTGTTTGTGTGTGTGTGTGTGTGTGTGTGTGTGTGTGTGTGTGTGTGTGTGTGTGTGTGTGTGTGTGTGTGTGTGTATGTATGTGTCTGTTTGTGTGTGTGTGTGTGTCTGTTTGTGTGTGTGTGTGAGTGTGTGAGTGTGTGAGTGTGTGTGAGTGTCTGTATGTGTATGTATGTGTCTGCATGTGTCTGCCCCCCTCAGAGTCAGAGATATGGTTAGATCAGCTGCTGGAGTCGATGATGTGTTGTACAGCATCGCTTCAGTGCACTATTTATGATGTGCTGGCAAACAATTAAAAAATGCAGGTGTAGCAAAAAATGTAATAGGTTGTAAAACCATCTGGGACCCTATTTTTGTTTTATAGCAGCAGAGAAGAAGAGAGGAAGTGTGTAAAAAAATAAAATAAGGAAGCAAGTCAGTAAAATCGGAGTAAAATTCTGCTGATGTCATGATGCCATCTTAGTGTTTACAGTTGATGCTGTTGTGTTCAGGTGTCAAGGTGTCTAGGTGTTGTAGTTGTTAGATGCTGGTTAGACTACAAATCCCACATTACCTCAGCTCGTTCTTGTGGATGTCGATGATCTTCCTCTCCAGTTTGAGCGACTGCTTGGGGAACAGTTTGAAGTCTTGGATGTAGTCTGGCGGGTGTTCGTCTTGGTCATAGTCCCCTAGTTCAGCTGGGAAGGGTTTTGAAATGGTTAGCAGAAGGTTATGAAACGGTTAGCAGAGGGTTATGAAATGGTTAGCAGAGGGTTATGAAATGGTTAGCAGAGGGTTATGAAATGGTTAGCAGAGGGTTATGAAATGGTTAGCAGAGGGTTATGAAATGGTTAGCAGAGGGTTATGAAATGGTTAGCAGAGGGTTATAAAAAGGTTAGAAGAGAGTTATGAAACGGTTAGCAGAGGATTATAAAACGGTTAGTAAAGGGTTATAAAACGGTTAGCAGAGGGTTATGACACGGTTCACAGAGGGTTATAAAGCGGTTCGCAGCGCAATGTACCTCTAGCTTTATTACAGACTAATCCTGCAGCTAACACACTTCACTTTACTTAACAGCCTAACAAGGCATGCATGGGGACTCGTTCTCATTAAACAGAAGTACTGATAACGACCAGCAGGAGGCCCTGTGCTGTAACTACGTCAGTTAGGTTTGTGTCCCAAATGGCACCCTATTCCATACACAGTGCACTACTTTTGACCCTGGAGAAAAGCAGTGCACTAAATAGGGAGCGGGGTGCCATTTGGGACGTATCCTTAGATACCTCAGATCACTTCATCATATTCTCCTCTCTAGGGAGCCCAACCAGTCAGAAGAGTAGAGGCTAAGATATACTGTATGTTGTAACAGACATGGGGATTAGCTAGTGATATGACATAGTTCAATCCTTTTGGAACCCACATCAAACACTACCAGCCTTAGCCTCTCACTGTGCTGTTAATTGGCACTGTGGAGTTGTTCAGGGATGGTTTGATGTGTGTCAGCTTAAGGATGGATGGAATAAGACTATAGTGTTGAGGTCTATTACTCTGGGCTGCTGTCAGGTTGTATTACTCTGCCGCTGGTAGCGTCCGAGTAGGGATGAGAGGTCTCAGCTCGGAGAGTAGGGCCAGTGTTCAGATTGGTTACTCAGGGAGCGTTTGAGTAGAGATGAGAGATCTCAGCTCGGAGAGTAGGGCCAGTGTTCAGATTGGTTACTCAGGGAGCGTTTGAGTAGAGATGAGAGATCTCCGCTCCGAGAGTAGGGCCGGTGCTCAGATCGTTTGAGAAGGTACTCGTACTAATGAGTCTGGAATCACAGCGAATATATTGCTAATTGCTGTGCATGTAAATTAGGGTGATGATGTCAGAGCGGGGCTCACCCTGTACGATACAGGCCCCCAGGTAGGCTGCGTCAGCGAAGGGGCACAGGAGACGACCGTGGTAGACGTCCCTCTTCAGCTGCAGATACAGCAGATACCTGCACAGAGACGTATACAGGGGTCAACCACAGACACTGTGCCTGCTTATAGACACATGGTTACTCAAGATACACTGTAGCCTGCCGTGCTGCCTGCATATAGTGCATTCGGAAAGTATTCCGACCCCTTCCCTTTCTCCGCATTTTGTTACGTTACTGCCTTATTCTAAAATGTATTAAATTACTTTTTTTCCTCATCAATCTACACACAATACCCCATAATGACAAAGCGAAGACACGTTTTTTGATTTATAGATAGAGCTGGCCGCCCGGCCAAACTGAGCAATCAGGGGAGAAGGGCAAGAACCTGATGGTCACTCTTACAGATTTCCTGAGTTCCTCTTTGGAGATGGGAGAACCTTCCAGAAGGACACCCATCTCTGCAGCACTCCAACAATCAGGCCTTTATTTTAGAGTGGCCAGACAGAAGACACTCCGCAGTAAAAGGCACATGACAGCCCGCTTGGAGTTTGCCAAAAGGCACCTGAAGGACTCTCAGACCATGAGAAACAAGATTCTCTGGTCTGATGAAACAAGATTGAACTCTTTGGCCTGAATGCCAAGCGTCACGTCTGGAGGAAACCTGGCACCAAACCTACGGTGAAGCATGGACAAGACAACGCAGGAGTGGCTTCGGGACAAGTCTCTGAATGTCCTTGAGTGGCCCAGCCAGAGTCCGGACTTGAACCCGATCAAACATCTCTGGAGAGACCTGAAAATAGCTGTGAAGCGACGCTCCCCATCCAACCTGACAGAGCTTGAGAGGGTCCGCAGAGATGAATGGGAGAAACTCCCCAAATACAGGTGTACCAAGCTTGTAGCGTCATACCCAAGAAGACTCGAGGCTGTAATCGCTGCCAAAGGTGCTTCAACAAAGTACTGAGTAAAGGGTCTGAATACTTATGTAAAAACCTGTTTTTGCTTTGTCATTATGGGGTATTGTGTGTAGATTGATGAGGGGAAAAAAACAATTGAATCCATTTTATAATAAGGCTGTAACGTAACAAAATGTGGGAAAAGTCAAGGGGTTTGAATACTTTCCGAATGCACTGTACATAGAGAAGCATCACAAACTAATGATCATACTCAATCATCATAATTGTCACACTTTACAGTCGTTGTCAAAAGTTTTGAGAATGACACAAATACTAATTTTCACAAAGTCTGCTGCCTCAGTTTTTATGATGGCAATTTGCATATACTCCAGAATGTCATGAAGAGTGATCAGATGAATTGCAATTAATTGCAAAGTCCCTCTTTGCCATGAAAATGAACTTAATCCCCAAAAAACATTTCCACTGCATGTCAGCCCTGCCACAAAAGGACCTTTTAATGGAGGGTGGTGCTTGAAATCATTGTTCTTCCTCTGTTAACCATGGTTACCTGCAAGGAAACACGTGCCGTCATCATTGCTTTGCACAAAAAGGGCTTCACAGGCAAGGATATTGCTGCTAGTAAGATTGCACCTAAATCAACCATTTATCGGATCATCAAGAACTTCAAGGAGAGAGGTTCAATTGTTGTGAAGAAGGCGTCAGGGCGCCCAAGAAAGTCCAGCAAGTGCCAGGACCGTCTTCTAAAGTTGATTCAGCTGCGGGATCGGGGCACCACCAGTGCAGAGCTTGCTCAGGAACGGCAGCAGGCAGGTGTGAGTGCATCTGCACGCACAGTGAGGCGAATACTTTTGGAGGATGGCCTGGTGTCAAGAAGGGCAGCAAAGAAGCCACTTCTCTCTAGGAAAAACATCAGGGACAGACTGATATTCTGAAAAAAGGTACAGGGATTGGACTGCTGAGGACTGGGGTAAAGTCATTTTCTCTGAAGAATCCCTTTTACGATTGTTTGGGGCATCTGGAAAACACCTTGTCCAGAGAAGACAAGGTGAGCGCTACCATCAGTCCTGTGTCATGCCAACAGTGAAGCATCCTGAGACCATTCATGTGTGGGGTTGCTTCTCAGCCAAGGGAGTGGGCTCACTCACAATTTTGCCTAAGAACAAATCAAATCAAATCAAATCAAATTGTATTGGCCACATGTGCCGAATACAACAGGTGCAGACATTACAGTGAAATGCTTACTTACAGCCCTTAACCAACAGTGCATTTTTTAAATAAAACAACAACAAAAAAGTGTTGAGAAAAAAGAGCAGAAGTAAAATAAAATAACAGTAGGGAGGCTATATATACAGGGGGGTACCGGTGCAGAGTCAATGTGCGGGGGCACTGGCTAGTTGAGGTAGTTGAAGTAATATGTACATGTGGGTAGAGTTAAAGTGACTATGCATAAATAATTAACAGAGTAGCAGCAGCGTAAAAAGATGGGGTGGGGGGGCAGTGCAAATAGTCCGGGTAGCCATGATTAGCTGTTCAGGAGAATTATGGCTTGGGGGTAGAAGCTGTTGAGAAGTCTTTTGGACCTAGACTTGGCACTCCGGTACCGCTTGCCGTGCGGTAGCAGAGAGAACAGTCTATGACTAGGGTGGCTGGAGTCTTTGACAATTTTGAGGGCCTTCCTCTGACACCGCCTGGTATAGAGGTCCTGGATGGCAGGAAGCTTGGCCCCAGTGATGTACTGGGCCGTACGCACTACCCTCTGTAGTGCCTTGCGGTCAGAGGCCAAGCAGTTGCCATACCAGGCGGTGATGCAACCAGTCAGGATGCTCTCGATGGTGCAGCTGTATAATTTTTTGAGGATCTGAGGACCCATGCCAAATCTTTTCAGTCTCCTGAGGGGGAATAGGCTTTGTCGTGCCCTCTTTACGACTGTCTTGGTGTGTTTGGACCATGATAGTTCATTGGTGATGTTGACACCAAGGAACTTGAAGCTCTCAACCTGTTCCACTACAGCCCCATCGATGAGAATGGGGGCGTGCTCAGTCCTCTTTTTTTTCCTGTAGTCCACAATCATCTCCTTTGTCTTGGTCACGTTGAGGGAGAGGTTGTTATCCTGGCACCACACGGCCAGGTCTCTGACCTCCTCCCTATAGGCTGTCTCATCGTTGTCGGTGATCAGGCCTACCACTGTTGTGTCATCGGCAAACTTAATGATGGTGTTGGAGTCGTGCCTGGCCATGCAGTCATGGGTGAACAGGGAGTACAGGAGGGGACTGAGCACGCACCCCTGAGGGGCTCCCGTGTTGAGGATCAGTGAGGCAGATGTGTTCTTACCTACCCTTACCACCTGGGGGCGGCCCGTCAGGAAGTCCAGGATCCAGTTGCAGAGGGAGGTGTTTAGTCCCAGGATCCTTAGCTTAGTGATGAGCTTTGAGGGCACTATGGTGTTGAATGCTGAGCTGTAATCAATGAATAGCATTCTCACGTAGGTGTTCCTCTTGTCCAGGTGGGAAAGGGCAGTGTGGAGTGCAATAGAGATTGCATCATCTGTGGATCTGTTGGAGCGGTATGCAAATTGGAGTGGGTCTAGGGTTTCTGGGATAATGGTGTTGATGTGAGCCATGACCAGCCTTTCAAAGCACTTCATGGCTACAGACGTCAGTGCTACGGGTCGGTAGGCAGGTTGTCCTTGGGCACGGGGACTATGGTGGTCTGCTTGAAACATGTTGGTATTACAGACTCAGTCAGGGACATGTTGAAGATGTCAGTGAAGACACTTGCCAGTTGGTCAGCACATGCTCGGAGTACACGTCCTGGTAATCCGTCTGGCCCTGCGGCCTTGTGAATGTTGACCTGCTTAAAAGTCTTACTCACATCGGCTACGGAGAGCGTGATCACATAGTCATCCGGAACAGCTGGTGCTCTCATGCATGCTTCAGTGTTGCTTGCCTCGAAGCGAGCATAGAAGTGGTTTAGCTCGCCTGGTAGGCTTGTGTCACTGGGAAGCTCGCGGCTGTGCTTCCCTTTGTAGTCTGTAATAGTTTTCAAGCCCTGCCACATCCAACGAGCGTCAGAGCCGGTGTAGTACGATTCAATCTTAGTCCTGTATTGACTCTTTGCCTGTTTGATGGTTCGTCGGAGGGCATAGCGGGATTTCTTATAAGCGTCCGGGTTAGAGTCCCGCTCCTTGAAAGCGGCAGCTCTACCCTTTAGCTCAGTGCGGATGTTTCTTGTAATCCATGGCTTCTGGTTGGGGTATGTACGTACGGTCACTGTGGGGACGACATCATCGATGCACTTATTGATGAAGCCAGTGACTGATGTGGTGTACTCCTCAATGCTATCTGAAGAAAACATGTTCCAGTCTGTGCTAGCAAAACAGTCCTGTAGCTTAGCATCTGCGTCATCTGACCACTTTTTTATTAACCGAGTCACTGGTGCTACCTGCTTTAGTTTTTGCTTATAAGCAGGAATCAGGAGGATAGAGTTATGGTCAGATTTGCCAAATGGAGGGCGAGGGAGAGCTTTGTATGCATCTCTGTGTGTGGAGTAAAGGTGGTCTAGAGTTTTTTTCCCTCTGGTTGCACATTTAACATGCTGGTAGAAATTAGGTAGAACGGATTTAAGTTTCCCTGCATTAAAGTCCCCGGCCACTAGGAGCGCTGCCTCTGGATGAGCGTTTTCCTGTTGACTTATGGCCTTATACAGCTCATTCAGTGCAATCTTAATGCCAGCATTGGTTTGTGGTGGTAAATAGACAGCTATGAAAAATATAGATGAAAACTCTCTTGGTAAATAGTGTGGTCTACAGCTTATCATGAGATACTCTACCTCAGGCGAGCAAAACCTCGAGACTTCCTTAGTATTTGATTTTGTGCACCACCTGTTGTTTACAAATATACACAGACCGCCACCCCTTGTCTTACCGGAGTCAGCCGTTCTATCCTGCCGATGTAGCGTATAGCCCGCTAGCTGTATGTTATCCATGTCGTCGTTCAGCCACGACTCGGTGAAACATAAGATATTACAGTTTTTAATGTCCCGTTGGTAGGATAACGTCATATTAGGTCATCCAATTTATTTTCCAATGATTGAAGATTGGCTAATAGGATTGATGGGAGCGGCAGTTTACTCGCTCGCCGTCGGCTCCTTACAAGGCACCCCGACCTACGTCCACGATAACTCTGTCTCTTCCTCATGCGAATGACGGGGATTTGGGCCTTGTCGGGTGTCTGTAGGATATCCTTCGCGGCCGCCTCGTTGAAGAAAAATTATTTGCCCAATACGAGGTGAGTAATCGCTGTCCTGATATCCAGAAGCTCTTTTTGGTTATAAGAGACGATGGCAGAAACATTATGTACAAAATAAATTACAAATAATGCGGAAAAACACACGTAATAGTACAATTGGTTAGAGGGCTGTAAAACGGCAGCCATCTTCTCCGGCGCCATTTCAGCTGCAACACAGCCATGAATAAAGAATGGTACCAACACATCCTCCGAGAGCAACTTCTCCCAACCATCCAAGAACAGTTTGGTGATGACCAATGCCTTTTCCAGCATGATGGAACACCTTGCCATAAGGCAAAAGTGATAACTAAGTGGCTCAGGGAACAAAACATCTACATTTTGGGTCCATGGCCAGGAAACTCCCCAGACCTTAATCCCATTGAGAACTTGTGGTCGATCCTCAAGAGGCGGGTGGACAAACAAAAACCCACAAATTCTGACAAACTCCAAGCATTGATTATGCAAGAATGGGCTGCCATCAGTCAGGATGTGGCCCAGAAGTTAATTGACAGCATGCCAGGGCGGATTGCAGAGCTCTTGAAAAAGAAGGGTCAACACTGCAAATATTGACTCTTTGCATAAACTTAATGTAATTGTCAATAAAAGCCTTTGACACTTATGGAATGCTTGTAATTATACTTCAGTATACCATAGTAACGTCTGACAAAAATATCTCATAACACTGAACCAGCAAACTTTGTGAAGACCAATATTTGTGTCATTCTCAAAACTTTTGACCACGACTGTACATGACATGAATGATCTTCAACACAAGTATCATTTATAAACAACATTGTATGATGGTAGAACCATGTCATGACCCATAAAAACAGTATCCACAAACACGGAACATTTACTAAAAGCATTTTTAAAACCAATGTGCCATTGCCATTAATTATACAAAAACCGAGATCAGTTGCTATGGGAATCACCCCTACAAGAGATCGGTTACCATGGCCACCTCTACCACAGTTACTATGGAGACGGCTTCAATAGTTACTACTGTGCAAATGTGTCCCCTGTTACTCGAGAAACGACGACAAACCATAGACATCTGTTACCATAGAAACTATGGAGAGTGGCATTGTCCCGAAAACTTCCAGAGGCAACTGACAACCTACAAAATCACGTCAGAAACAAACACGCATGCACTCACACACACTCACCCACAGATGCAGGGAATAAACCCGAGCAAGGCCGATTAAAAGAAAAGCATGAAAAATTCAATGGAACTAAAAAGCCGACTGAGTCTCAATGGGTTTATTTATAGAGGCTGTCTGGTATACCTACAGCTACCTTGGATTAGGAGCAGGAGGCAGCGCAATAACCTCTACACATATTCACAAGGAATAATAGACTATCACTATATTCCTCAGCTCTCCCTAAAACAAACTTTAAAATCTCTTTAACATAACATCCATTCAAATGTAGTATGTCTGTAACACACTCCATATCAGATCCCCATATCTCCTCTTCTCAAAGACCATGTTACTCTTTTCTCTGTGATGTAACTATCCCTAACTATTGGCCTCTGGCTCTCTTTCTAGGACTTGTCATGTGGTTGAATGTGTGAAGTCAACCATTCACTCAGATTACTATGGGGACAGCACATTGATCCACAACAACAACACAGCCCTCCACTGTTGCAACCAGAAACACTGTACAGACTAGTAGAACGAATACAATCCAATATAGAATCTTCTATTAAATGCATGTCCAGTTCTGACATTTTTTGTACTGTATTTCATTACTGTATTTCATTACTGTATTTTCTATGTAATAGTCTGGAATGTATTTACTGTACTGATACTCAGTCAGACACATTTCCGAGTGGCTCTGAGACAGTCTACAGCCCCGAGACCATGTAAACCATGCAGCCCATAGAATGACATTTAGAACATTGAATTCTAGGATGTATGCGATGTAGATCTCCATAGCACCCTATGATACTGTACTACATCATGTTAGACACTGAGAGAGCTTAGACTCAGAGGCCTCTGTGTATGCTCCAGTGATCAGTGCCATGCGTCACTAATGGCCATGTTCTAATGCTGCTGTCTGGGGTTGGAGAGCTTTACTTCTGCCCCTCAAGGTCCCCGCTCCACCCCCAACCTCTAGACTCTCAAACTCTGTTCCACGGCACTTTACCTCTAGAGCTAATGGTGCTCTTACCTCCATGTCAAATAGCACTTTACACAACAGCCAGAGATGTGAAACACTGAGAAGGAGCAACTGAAAGGGAAAGGAGGGAGGGAGGGATAGATGGAGGGAGGGAGGGATAGATGGAGGGAGGGAGGGATAGATGGAGGGAGGGAGGATAGATGGAGGGAGGGATGAGGAGGTGAGGGAGGAGGGTGTAGGAGGGGGATGATGAGGAGGGATGATGGTCGGAGGGTATTGGGGCTTTTTTTTGGGGGCGGGATGTTGGGTGGTAATTGTTTTTCTTTCTGATGCTAGGTGGTTCTGGGTTTCTTTTCTTTGGGTTTTTTCGGGGTTTTTGAGTAGGTTGCTTAGGGGGGTATATTTTGGGTATGAGGTGTCTGGTCTTATCTGCCCTTTTTTGGGGCTGGTGGTGTTGGCTTTGCTGGATTTGTTTTTGGGTTACTTATTTGTTCAGTATGGAGAGGATTGTTTGCGTTTTTTGAGATGTTTAGTGATGAGGTGGGTAGATGGGAGGATTTTCAATTAGTATTTAGGGGTTCTTTCTCTTTTTCTGTTTCTTTTTTCGTATTGGGGGCTCTTTTTGGTGGGTTTTTTTTTGGGGTCGTTTTTTTTTGGGGGTTTGTTTGTTCGGGGTTGGCGGGAGGCCTTTGTTTTTTTGTGTTTCTCGCTTTCTTTTTTGTTGCTTTTTTGCGTTGCTGTGCTTCACAGCTCAATGGAACATGCAGCATGCACATGTGGTGAGAACAGGTTCTAATGTCCAGTTAATCACTGAATATGCTTGAGAGTGTGTAATCACAAAGCCCCACTCTCTCTCTCATGTCATGTTCGAGCAAAAACAGCTTTTCAGGTGTTTGTGAAAGCAAAGAGGGGGGTAGAAGCTTTTTTAAAAACATGTTAAAAATTAAATTACAATAAATGTGTGGAATTTTTTGTATTTCCAAATTTTTTTAAACGTTTTTAACATGTTCCGGCAGGGCTGGGAGGGAGCAGCAGTTATCCTAGGATCGCCTGCCAATGTCCATGAAATAGAACCAGAGAACGCCATCATCAAACACCCTCCTGTCTGCTCGCTTAGACAGCCTCAGATAATGTAAGGAACCAGTCATACTGTAGGGAATAAAATAGTGTTTTCTAGCCAATCAGCATCAAGGTCACTACCTGGTGAGCTCCTCTTTGATCTTCATTGGCTCGTGAGGGTAGAATTTGACCCTGAAGCACATTGTGTAGGGCTGCTGAGCTGTAAAAACACGAAAACACAAAAAAAGAAGCGTGAGAAAAGAGATAAAAGAGGGAAGAAGAGAGGAGAGAAGAGGGAGAGAGAGAAAATAGACAGAGTGAGACTATTTTTGATCATTCATTTGTTAATGATCATGACTGTAATCACTCATACACACAGAGGAGGTATTTTAACTGCTAGCGATGAGCAGGATTCTCTCACACACACTAATGAGAGAAAGATGAACCAGTGTGCTTTTTTAACTCTATATTCTGATCCTATGCGGACCCTGGTCAAAAGTAGTGCACTATATGTGGAAATAGGGTGCCATTTCGGACGCACCCCATGATTGATAGGTTGAACGACAGGAAGTCATTACTGAGTGCCAGTGTTGGCTGAGTTGACTGAAGTGCCCGTATATACCAGCTGAATTCTCAGTGGCATTATCTGGAGAAACAGACAGAAGATAAATAATAATAAATACAAAGATCCTAAATAACCTGAGCTGCTTATTCCTGAGTCTTGCGGAATAGAGTGATATTTAATAACATCCTACTGCCAAACACACACATAAGTAGGCACGCACACATGCAAGCACACGTACACACACACATAACGTGTGAGGCAAACTCGCCAGAGAGATATGGGAAGTGTCAGTTCAGCTCAGACATATCAAGAGCCCACCCTCCATTTGTCATCCTCTCAATCACTCCCACATTCTGTCTATACTGTACACTTCCCTTACAAGTTCTCTGTCTATCTTTAACTCCGTACATATCTCATGTCTTCTCATTCTCATCAAATCTGATCTCACTATCTGTCACCGTCTCTTTCTCCATCTGCCCCTGTACTCCCTCTCTCTCCATCTGTACTCCCTCTCTCTCTATCCGTACTCCCTCTTCCATCGTACCCCCCTCTCTCTCTTCTTACCCCCTCTCTCTCCACCGTCCCCTCTCTCTCACCCTACTCCCTCTCCTCTTCCTTTTTCCCTCTCTCTCTTCCTATTCCCCCCTCTCTCTTCTTACTCCCCTCTCTCCCCCCTCCTCTCCTTCTTTATCTCCTATTGCACATGTTCTAGAGCTGAGCGCATAAGTAATAGTTTCTTGATTAATTTATGCTCTGGGAGAAAGAGAGCGAGAGAAAGATATATTGGAAGAGTGGAGGAAAGAGAGAGAGAGGAGAGAGGGAGAGAAAAGAGAGAGGAGAGAGAGAGAAGAGAAAGAAAGAAAAGAGAAAAGAGAGATGAATTCTTTGAAAAATTAAACCGTAAATCTACAAAACCCTTTTATGCCCCCCTTTAACTCTGTATCCACAACACTGTCCATAACCAGCGCAGGAAGGATTTAATAAACACACATAAATACTGTCCAAAACCAACACTGTTCGGGCCGCAGAGATTAATGCAAAACCAAATCCAAAACTTTTCCCATCGTCTTGGATTGTTACCTTTATTTTATGTACCCTTTTTCTTCAGGTTTTTTGTCCGCTGTCAGAGTTCTGTTTTTTTCGTGTTTTTTGTTTGCTTCTTTTCTGTTTGCTTTTCATGTTCTGTTTGTTTTAGTGTTTCTTTTTCTGTCAGTTTTTTCTGTTTTGGTTCAGTGTTCTTTTGCTTCATGTTCTGTTTGTTTTTGTTTCTGTTTTTCTGCATGTTCTGTTTGTTTCAGTGTTCTGTTTGCTGTCAGTGTTCTGTTTGTTTCAGTGTTCTGTTTGCTGTCAGTGTTCTGTTTGTTTCAGTGTTCTGTTTGCTGTCAGTGTTTTTGCTTTTTTGTCGTGTTTTTGTTTTTTTTTCGTGTTCTGTCTGTTCAGTTTTCCCGTTTTTCAGTGTTCTTCTGTTTTAGTTCTGTCTGGTTTCAGTGTTCTTTTGTTCGTTCTGTCTGTTTCAGTGTTCTGTCTGTTTCTTTTTTCCCGTTGGGTTTTGTCTGTTTCATGTTTTTGTTTCGTGTTTTTGTCCCGTTTTTTTGTTCCGGGTTTTTCGTTTCATGTTTTCTGTCCCCTTTTTTGCATCTTTCTTTGATCTATTCTTTTTTTCTTTTTGTGTTTTAGGGGTTCTCCTGTCCCCTTGTTTTAAATGTTGTAGGGCTTGACCTAAGGCTTGTTTCCCACTTCGGAGAGGAGCGTAGGCCACGTCCCCCGTGCCGCATGGGCACCCATACAAACACTATGGCCACATCAAACCAAGAGAAACAGAGGGACACTTACCCTTCTTTCTTCACTATGGGCTTTTTGGGCTCCGCCATGGGTGAGGAGGGGAAAAGGAAAGAGGAGAGAGAGAAAAAAGAGAAGAGAGAGGAAGGGAGAAAGGAAGAGAGAGAAAAGGGGAAAAAAGAAGAGAGAGAGAGAGAAGAAAAAGGAGAAAAAGAAGGAAACCCCCCCCCGGGCCCCCCCCCCAAAACCTTCTGGGGGGATTTTTTTTTCCCCCCCCAAAGAAGGGTTTTTTCGTTGTCTAGCCCACTTTTTTTTTTTTTTTTTTTTTTTGTTTTTTTTGGGTGGGTTTTTTGAATTTGGCAAATCGGGACCACCCCTACGTAAATGTATGCACACATGACTGTAAAGTCCGCTTGGATAAAAGCCGTCTTTTGCTAATGGCATATTCTTATTATTATTATATTATTATTGACGTTTATTGCCATGAATCCTGCCCTAGAGGCAGAACTGTGCGGTTTCTGCTAGATGGGCAAGCTGCAAAGTACAAATTGGCTATATTATCGTAGGAATTCATGAAAACTTAAAATTTGCTTTTTGTTCTTAATTCATAAGGTTAGGGTTGATGCATTAGGATTACAGTGGTGTTTAAGGTTAGGTTTTGAGGTTTCAAATCAGAGTTTTTATGACTTTTGTGCTTGTGCACAATTGTGAACCATCTGCAGAGCTGCCCAGTACACGAGTCATCCCAGTAAATGCCAACCTGCCACAATGTCAGAAAAATGTCAGCGTGAGTTAAAGTGATGCTCCAGAGATTTTGTATAATTTCAGCCAGAAAATGTTCCATATTTGTGTACTATGGCATCCATTTCTTATGTTACATCCTGCAAAAAAAAGTTGTAAAAAAAAAATGTGGGGTGCAATTCGTACAATATGTTACGAATTTGTAAGATCCCGGACTGCATCTTTAAGTGTTAAACAGAATATCACGCAATGACTGAGAACAGTTATGAGTTGTATATTTGTCAATGTATGTGTGTATCTATCCATACCCTCTGTTTCTCTGGGTCGACATATCTGATGCCAAAGTAGTCCTTCTCCAGGAGGCTGTAATGGTTACACACATGATCCACTAGGAACTGGCCCTTGGTTTCTCTCTGTGGGGAAAAACACAACAAACTGTTATTACAGCACACTCAATATCAGGGATATATACAGCATTTGATACCATAATTAGGTTAGATATGTAACACTATTGGAATGATAAAAGTGTAGAATGTGCAGATTTGCACCAGTTATTTAAAGCAGGAATAAATCAGGAAACTGTTCTACACACACCACACACACACACACACACACACACCACACACACACACACACACACAACACACAACACCCACACCCACACACACCACCCCCACAACACACACAACACACACACACACATACACACACGAACACACATAAAACACCAACATACTCAATCACAACAATACACTTACATGGTAATTCCCACCACACTAGTGTCCACCCATCCTGCTGACTCCCAACTAAAGCTGTTTGTAATGGCTGTTCTGTTGGGAGATATTATAGTTCCCTGGTCCTGTTGGGAGATATTCTAGTTCCCTGGTCCTGTTTAGTAGATATTCTAGTCCCAGGTCCGTTTAGGGAGCTATTCTAGTCCCAGTCCTGTTGGGAGATTTCTGTTCCCCTGGTCCGGTTATGAGAAATTCTAGTCCCAGGTCCCTGTTAGTAGATATCTAGTCCTGTCCCTGTTAGGAGATATTCTAGTCCATGTCCTGTTGGGAGATATTATAGTTCCCTGGTCCTGTTGGGAGATATTCTAGTTCCCTGGTCCTGTTAGGAGATATTCTAGTCCCCAGGTCCTGTTGGGAGATATTCTAGTTCCCTGGTCCTGTTAGGAGATATTCTAGTTTTCTGTCCTGTTGGGATATATCTGTCCCCCAGTCCGGTTTGTGAGATATTCTAGTTCCTGGTCCTGTTAGGAGATATTCTAATTAGTCCCAGGTCCTGTTAGGAGATATTCTAGTCCCAGGTCCTGTGGGAGATATTCAGTTCCCTGGGCCTGTTAGGATATTCTAGTTCCCCCCTTTTCCCTGGTCCTGTTGGAGATATTCTAGTCCCAGGTCCTGTTGGGAGATATTCTAGTTCCCTGGTCCTGTTAGGAGATATTCTAGTCCCAGGTCCTGTTGGGAGATATTCTAGTCCCAGGTCCTGTTGGGAGATATTCTAGTTCCCTGGTCCTGTTAGGAGATATTCTAGTCCCAGGTCCTGTTAGGAGATATTCTAGTCCTGGTCCTGTTGGGAGATTTCTAGTCCCAGGTCCTGTTGGTGAGATGTCAGTCCCAGGTCCTGTTGGGAGATATTCTAGTCCCAGGTCCTGTTAGGAGATATTCTAGTCCCAGGTCCTGTTGGGAGATATTCTAGTTCCCTGGTCCTGTTGGGAGATATTCTAGTCCCAGGTCCTGTTGGGAGATATTCTAGTCCCAGGTCCTGTTAGGAGATATTCTAGTCCCAGGTCCTGTTGGGAGATATTCTAGTTCCCTGGTCCTGTTGGGAGATATTCTAGTCCCAGGTCCTTTTGGGAGATATTCTAGTCCCAGGTCCTGTTAGGATATATTCTAGTCCCGGTCCTGTTGGGGAGATATTCTAGTTCCCTGGTCCTGTTGGGAGATATTCTAGTCCCCAGGTCCCAGTTGGAGAGATGTGCGTGAGTCCCAGTCCTGTTTGTCAGTAATGTCTAAATGGAGACCCCTGATGGATGCTCTTCCCTAGTGGTCCTTCACTATATCTAACAGGGTCCTTCACTTCACCCCTTCCCCTGATCCTGCTGATGGAGGGGAATCTGCACTCAGCTGAGCAGCCTGATTGAATCCAGCTGGTAATCGGCCATTTGCCCTTGCTGTTATCAGTTTTTGATTTACTAAACAACGCTGTCTGCGGCCCTGACCCACAGAGCAGAGTCAGGTGCTGAAGCTATCAGTCCCACTTGCTGTCACCCAGGCAACGCTAAGACTGTCAGTCAAACAGCGTGAAGTGGTCACTTACATAACCATGTATGTATATGTCTCCAGTCCCTACAGCCCATCCACTGTGACAGTCCATCTCTTTGCTGTTTGTCTCTCCAGTCCTTACAGTCCCTCCACTGTGATGGTCCATCTTGTTGATGTTTGTCTCTCTGGTCTATGTAGGTTGGCTACTGTCTCCCTAGCCTCTGCCGAGTCCCCAACAACCAGATGTTCCAGTTTTCAGGGGAAATGGAAAGAGAGCCTGTGTTGTGACTTCCGCTTTTGGAAGTTAACAAGGCGACACTGCATCTTAACTCCTTCTCCACATGTACTGGATTGGTTGAACAGTGCAGAAATAGTTTATTTTCTTCTCGTCAAGACCAGTACGTAGGGGATCTAATTTCAGGCGTTTATTTTACACCTGCTACATTAGGTTACTTTCTCCCTGATCAGAAGCAAACGAGACTGAAAGCACCATGGAAACCTGCACTACGTTAATCCTGACATACCCTTTCAGAGAGAAGAGACGGGGGGGGGACGGGGGGGGGGGGTGGGGGGGAGAGAGAAGGCGACAGACAGAGAGAGACAGAGGAGAGACATCTCTCTCTCTATCTCTCTCTCTCTTCTCGCTCTCTTCTCTCTCTCCGTCTCTCTCTCTCTCTCTCTCTCTCTCTCTCTCTCCCTCTCTCTCACTCTCTCTCTCTCTCTTCTCCTCTCTCTCTTCTCTCTCTCTTTCTTCTCTCTCCCTCTCTTCCCGGTCTCTCTCTCTCTCTCTCTCTCTCTCTCTCTCTCTCGCTTCATGATAGACCTATACTATAGATATATTATCGAGCTTCCAGAAGAGAGGACTATCATATATAGAGCTAGAGATAGAGAGAGAGAGAGAGAGAGAGACGAGAGCAGAGAGTCCATTTCATGTCCAACAAGAGGTGGATGCATATTTCAAAGGGCTCAAGATTAAATATTAACCTGGTCAGCCTGTCTCTACATGATCTGTCTTAATGAAGCTAAAGTGCTCTCCCCACTTTAGACACAGCCTTACGCAGCGAGACAGAGTCTGAGCAAAGTGCACTGCAGACTGTATATCCCTGTGTTACAGTAGGTCTTTGAGTACAATGGTATGTATCGTTGTGTTCCAGTAGGTTTTTGAGTATGTTATGTTTTACGGTGTGTTACAGTAGGGGTCTTTGAGTAGGTAATTTGTTTATCGTGTGTTTTACAGTCGGTCTTTGAGTAATTTATGTGTGTATCGGTGTGTTTACAGTAGTCTTGAGTATTTATGTGTGTTCGTTTCAGTAGGTCTTTGAGTATGTATGTGTGTATCGGTGTGTTACAGTAGGTCTTTGAGTATGTGTGTATCGGTGTGTTACAGTAGGTCTTTGAGTGAGGGAAAAAAGTATTTTATCCCCTGCTGATTTTGTATGTTTGCCCACTGACAAAGACATGATCAGTCTATAATTTTAATGGTAGGTTTATTTGAACAGTGAAAGACATAATAACAACAAAAAAATCCAGAAGAACGCATGTCAAAAATGTTATAAATTGATTTGCATTTTAATGAGGGAAATAAGTATTTGACCCCTCTGCAAAACATGACTTAGTACTTGGTGGCAAAACCCTTGTTGGCAATCACAGAGGTCAGACGTTTCTTGTAGTTGGCCACCAGGTTTGCACACATCTCAGGAGGGATTTTGTCCCACTCCTCTTTGCAGATCTTTAAGTCATTAAGGTTTCGAGGCTGACGTTTGGCAACTCGAACCTTCAGCTCCCTCCACAGATTTTCTATGGGATTAAGGTCTGGAGACTAGCTTAATGTGCTTCTTCTTGAGCCACTCCTTTGTTGCCTTGGCCATGTGTTTTGGGTCATTGTCATGCTGGAATACCCATCCACGACCCATTTTCAATGCCCTGGCTGAGGGAAGGAGGTTCTCACCCAAGATTTGACGGTACATGGCCCCATCCATCGTCCCTTTGATGCAGTGAAGTTGTCCTGTCCCCTTAGCAGAAAAACACCCCCAAAGCATAATGTTTCCACCTCCATGTTTGACGGTGGGGATGGTGTTCTTGGGGTCATAGGCAGCATTCCTCCTCCTCCAAACACGGTGAGTTGAGTTGATGCCAAAGAGCTCCATTTTGGTCTCATCTGACCACAACACTTTCACCCAGTTCTCCTCTGAATCATTCAGATGTTCATTGGCAAACTTCAGACGGGCATGTATATGTGCTTTCTTGAGCAGGGGGACCTTGCGGGCGCTGCAGGATTTTCAGTCCTTCACGGCGTAGTGTGTTACCAATTTTTTTCTTGGTGACTATGGTCCCAGCTGCCTTGAGATCATTGACAAGATCCTTCCGTGTAGTTCTGGGCTGATTCCTCACCGTTCTAATGATCATTGCAACTCCACGAGGTGAGATTTTGCATGGAGCCCCAGGCCGAGGGAGATTGACAGTTCTTTTGTGTTTCTTCCATTTGCCAATAATCGCACCAACTGTTGTCACCTTCTCACCAAGCTGCTTGGCGATGGTCTTGTAGCCCATTCCAGCCTTGTGTAGGTCTACAATCTTGTCCCTGACATCCTTGGAGAGCTCTTTGGTCTTGGCCATGGTGGAGAGTTTGGAATCTGATTGATTGATTGCTTCTGTGGACAGGTGTCTTTTATACAGGTAAGAAACTGAGATTAGGAGCACTCCCTTTAAGAGTGTGCTCCTAATCTCAGCTCGTTACCTGTATAAAAGACACCTGGGAGCCAGAAATCTTTCTGATTGAGAGGGGGTCAAATACTTATTTCCCTCATTAAAATGCAAATCAATTTATAACATTTTTGACATGCGTTTTTCTGGATTTTTTTGTTGTTATTCTGTCTCTCACTGTTCAAATAAACCTACCATTTAAATTATAGACTGATCATTTCTTTGTCGGTGGGCAAACGTACAAAATCAGCAGGGGATCAAAGACTATGTTTAAACATCTCTTTCCTCTTTTGTTATATTTTGCTCCTCAAGCAAGGAGGGAGGCCGATGACATCACAAAGTCACCATAAGACCTACTCCTTGAAGTTTGCAGTTGTTTCTAAAAAAACACTATTTAGCTCCTCCCTCCCAAAAAAATGTTTAACCTTTAGTGTGTGTACTTCACTGTATTTATACTTGGGATTTCGCTTTACAACAGAAAAAGTTCCAAAATCACTGGAGGACGTCTGTGCCCCAGTTAGAGGGGCTGGTTGGTAATTAATATGCATGCCAGCTCAATTATAACTGGTCCTTATCTCAGCTAACCAAATTTTATTTCACTACAAGCCATCCCTAATTGGCTGCATAAAAGCACTGAGACAAGAAACCTGTTAATGCCTCAGATACAGACACATGAGACAATCCTATCTGCACACACAGCAGAGGGGGAGGAGAGGGGAGGAGAGAGAGATAGGGGGCGAGAGAGAAAGAGAGTGTGGATTTTAGGATGAGCGGTAAAGAACGTATCCTGAAAACGGACATGGTGACTGAGCTGAAGGGTATAATCATGAGGGACAGTGTGTGTATGTGTGTGTGTGCTTTTTTTTGTTTACCAACCTAACCCTACACCCATGGCATCCCTTGGCATCCATGAATACACGCCACTGAAGGCCACTGAATAGATAGATCCATAACTGACCTTCAGTGGCGTTTCATAACTTTTCTTCAATTCGCAAGAGGCTGAACGGAGAAACTCACCGGAGATAGCATCCGAGCAAACGAAACAGCACCCCTCTGTCTCAGTATGTGTAGCTCATCTATCTGATGCTGTCTGGTCAGAAAGAGTATGACATTGTTGCCGCCCGTAGCATTGAATGCAAGGGAAGCCAGTGAGCATTTTGCCTCCCTTGATAAAAAATAAAATAAAGCCAAACAGCGTTGAGCTAGACTGAGTGAGCTCAGCTGTGAATGGTCCTGGTGCACCAAAAAAAAGTGTCAAGGGAAGCCAGTTTGGATTTGGCTTCAGACCAATCACATCACAAGCCAAACATCATTATTGACAGAAATTAATTTGTCACGCCTGCTCCCACTCCCCCTCCCTGGCACTCGAGGGCGCCAGGCTGCCCATCATTACACACACCTGTCACCATCATTACACACACCTGTCACCATCGTTACACACACCTGTCACCATCGTTACACACACCTGGACTTCATCACTGTCTAATTCCCTCCCCTATATCTGTCTGTTCCTCAGTTTGATCCCCTTGTCTGCATTAATGTCGTTATGTTTCCCCTGTTCAGACGCTGTCCGTGTTTTGTTTCATGTCTGCATATATTAAATGTTCACTCCCTGTACTTGCTTCTCGTCTCCCAGCGTCTGTCCTCACAGAATGCAGACACCATTATCAGAAGCATCAGGGAGTTTTTTTTGTGTTGGTTGGTGACGTCGGGTCCGGGTGCCGCGGCCGAGGGAACGGGGATGCCTCAGCTGGCTCGTCATGCTTCCATGTCTTCGCTGGCTCGAGAGGTTTCTTGCCTCGGTTGGCTCGGCAGGCTCCCACCCCAAGCCGGCTCGTCAGACTCCCACGCCTCAGACTGCTTGTCAGATTTCCACGCCTCAGCCGGCTCGTCAGGCTTCCACATCTCAGCTGGCTCGTCAGGCTTCCACGCCTCCGCTGGCTCGAGAGGTTTCTTGCCTCGGTTGGCTCGGCAGGCTCCCACCCCAAGCCTCAGCCGGCTCGTCAGACTCCCACGCTTCATCCTGCTCGTCAGGCTCTTCCGCCTCAGCAGATTTCCACGCCTCAGCCGGCTCGTCAAGCTTCCACGTCTCAGACGGCTCGTAATAAATGTTCACTCCCTGTACTTGCTTACATTTTACATTTTAGTCATTTAGCAGACGCTCTTATCCAGAGCGACTTACAGTTAGTGAGTGCATACATTATATATTTTTAATTTTTTCATACTGGCCCCCCCCCGTGGGAATCGAACCCACAACCCTGGCGTTGCAAACGCCATGCTCTACCAACATCCCCTGCCGGCCATTCCCTCCCCTACCCTGGACAACGCTGGGCCAATTGTGCGCCGCCCCATGGGTCTCCCGGTCGCAGCCGGCTACGACAGAGCCTGGATTCGAACCAGGATCTCTAGTGGCACAGCTAGCACTGCGATGCAGTGCCTTAGACCACTGCGCCAGCGTCTGTCCTCACAGAATTGTTGCATCTCATTGTCTTGTTGTCCTCCGGTGGCTAACTAGCTAGCTAAAATAGGCCCTGTCCTAAATTAGCCATGGATGGAGATACGGATTTGGAATTGTGGTTTTACTTAATTCTCCGTACTGGCCAATGATTATAACGGCGATTCTGATCCAACCATAAATTCATACATTGTGCCCCTGGTCTGAAAGGATGGACTTTCAACATGTAGTTAGATGTAGTATGCTAATGTTAACTAGCTGGCCTGGCGTATCGTTGCCCATGAAAGGAAGTTAGGCTAGCGAGCAGGTATTTTAGCCAGGTAGCCTAGGACAGCAAAAACTAAAAGCGTGTACTGTATGACAGAGTCATGGACTGTTAAGGCAACATGAAAGGAGGATGGCATTGGCGCTTCTCTACAAGTAGGGTGAGTCAACATGTTTTTTCTACTTGCACGCACGCATACACACTGTGGTTCTAAATCAATAGTTCTGAAAATTTCGGAAACATTACCTTGATTGACCATGCTGTAGGTCATGTAACTGTTTGTTACATGCAATATGCTTTGTGGACTCCACCGGACAGATGTTGCTCTCCGGCTTTGTGACGAAACAAAGGTGTGGTTGAATTTATTCTGCCACTGTGTTTTCTTATTGTCTCGGCCTTTAGGCCTATATATCACGGTGGCAAGGCATATGAACTAACAGGTTATAGAGCAAACAACACAATTATCACAACACATAGTGATTTTATACATGCACCGCTACTGTTGCCCTTGATGTAGCGAGAGGACTGGTCAATGATCTGATTCGGGTGGAAATGGCTTGTGTAAACGGTCAGGAAAGAAAGAGCCAATGATTTACCCTATTCTCAACCAGTTGGAAAGTTATCAAGGAGGGCGGTCACGTGTGTTAGCAAAGCAGAGGTCCCGAGTTTGCAGCCAGGTACGAGCCGAATTGAGTTGAAGTGGTACTCGCTAAGCAATCAGCGTGACGTCCATAACACACGCACACCCAGCTACACATACACGCTCACACACTCGCTTCCTCTCCTCCCACCTGCCACGGTCCCAGACAGTTCTGTAGCCACTCGGATCCTGTGTGTGTGTGTGTGTGTGTGTGTGTGTGTGTGTGTGTGTGTGTGTGTGTGTTGGTTGCCATCTCTTTAATCATTTATCTAACATCTAGCACTTCAGACTCCAAACATGTGTGTATATACATTGAGTATACCAACCATTAGGAACAGCTTCCTAATATTGAGCCCCCCCCCATGTCCTCAGCCAATCAGCATTCAGGGCTCGAACAACCCAGTTTATAATACTGTATATACAGCCTTGTGGTCCAATGGGAAGGATAGAGGCTCAGTGGTCACATACAAGGTCCGACCCAGGTTTAACAAATTGATTTGAAGTTACATCTGTTGACCTTCAGTTTGATTATTTGTGTTTATATACAATATAATGCATTATATCATGTATTTCATAACATTGCTGTGGTGGTTATATTGAGCCAAAAACAAAAACATGGAATCAGAGAATTATTCAGAATTTAGTAACAATACAGCTTTAAGACTAAGGTGGGGTTTTTCACACACACACACACTCACACACACACACACACACACACACACGCACACACGTTTCCTGCCACCGATGCCTTGTCGGTGAATGGGTGTCCATTACGAATGAGACAGAGGCTAATTGGGCTGAAAGCCCCATAAGTGTTCCAGAGAACATCTCAGAACATGTGTGTGTATGTGTGTCAGCGGCAGCCTGCCCATTAGGGCGTTAGGGCAACGCCCCACTTGTGATTTTTTTATATATATTATATAATTCATAGATATATGTTTTAAATGCTCATAAAAGTGTGGGAAGTGTGTACATTTTCCTGTTTCAAAAACATATTGTTCAAAACAAGCTGTTCAGTTAATTACTATTCTGCCTCTCAGTGACTCTGCTAGCAGCAGCATCAGCGCTGCACATAGGCCGTTCGAATAGTAGTTGGATTATTTTGCCAGCTATTTGCTATGAGGGGGAACTGCTCCAATGAAATCGCAGGATTCCATAGCATATAAATTATAACAGCACAAAGTAAATGGACCGTCCTGGGATGCTCAAATGTGGACTCAGTCAGAACTTCTGGGTCTGCTCTAGACTCCATCCCAATGAGTCTCTTGCGCCAGACGGCTTACAGTACTTCTGCACGTAAGACTAGATCTGCTCTATCAGGTACAGATTGCACTTAAGCAAAAACCAAATTGTGATAACCGCCAAGGGAGCCTGGGACCTGATGAACCGGAACAAGATTCGAAGGTCAGAGGGATACACTAGCTAGAACCTTCTCATCGCTGATCTGATACGACAAAGAAGCATGGCTGTGGCTGACCAATTGTTTTATTTTCCCCCGGTGTTCATCATGTTCTACTGTAGGTGACAGGACGACATGTTGTATAGTCCCATGTAGCTCAGTTGGTAGAGCATGGCGCTTGCAACGCCAGGGTTGTGGGTTCGATTCCCACGGGGGGCCAGTATGAAAATGTATGCACTCACTAACTTTAAGTCGCTTTGGATAAGAGCGTCTGCTAAATGACGTAATGTTGTGTTGACTCAAACAGCATAAAACCTGGTGTATCACAAAGCATGATAAAATTAGATAGCCAGCTACAGTTATTTTGAGAAATAGTTTGGTCGATTTTCTTGTCAAATTAACCCTTTGATAAGCAGCTAGCTCCCACGCCAATTTCAAGTCTATCTAAACTAATATCTGACTAACTCGAAAATACAGTTATTTCAGAATGAACGTTAACTGGTTAGCGCATCATACTTTGTGACATTATGTTAGCTATCCCTAGTTAGATCCAATATTTTCACTTATTGCATTTGCATGCTTGTTGCGTTCACCCTGGTGCACTTGTTTGTTTGTGAGCTGGCTGCTTGTCCTAATCTGTTCAAAACAGTGGCAGCATGTGCAGCAGTGGTCATTCAGTTTTTGACATGCAAAAGTGAAATAAACTCAGCAAAAAAAGAAACATCCTCTCACTGTAAACTGCGTTTATTTTCAGCAAACTTAACATGGGTAAATATTTGTATGAACATAAAAACATTCAACAACTGAGACATAAACTGAACAAGTTCCACAGACATGTGACTAACAGAAATTAAATAGTGTGTCCCTGAACAAAGGGGGGGTCAAAATCAAAAGTAACAGTCAGTATCTGGTGTGGCCTCCAGCTGCATTAAGTACTGCAGTGCATCTCCTCCTCATGGACAGATTTGCCAGTTCTTGCTGTGAGATGTTACCCCACTCTTCCACCAAGGCACCTGCAAGTTCTCGGACATTTCTGGGGGGAATGGCCCTAGTCCTAACCCTCCGATCCAACAGGTCCCAGACGTGCTCAATAGGATTGAGATTCGGGCTCTTCGCTGGCCATGGCAGAACACTGACATTCCTGTCTTGCAGAAAATCACGCACAGAATGAGCAGTATGGCTGGTGGCATTGTCATGCTGGAGGGTCATGTCAGGATGAGCCTGCAGGAAGGGTACCACATGAGGGAGGAGGATGTCTTCCCTGTAACGCACAGTGTTGAGATTGCCTGCAATGACAACAAGCTCAGTCCGATGATGCTGTGACACACTGCCCCATGACGGACCTTCCACCTCCAAATCGATCCCGCTCCAGAGTACAGGCCACGTTGTAACGCTCATTCCTTCGACGATAAACGCGAATCCGACCATCACCCCTGGTGACACAAAACCGCGACTCGTCAGTGAAGAGCACTTTTTGCCAGTCCTGTCTGGTCCAGTGACGGTGGGTTTGTGCCCATAGGCGACGTTGTTGCCGGTGATGTCTGGTGAGGACCTGCCTTACAACAGGTCTACAAGCCCTCAGTCCAGCCTATCTCAGCCTATTGCGGACAGTTTGAGCACTGATGGAGGGATTGTACGTTCCTGGTGTAACTCGGGCAGTTGTTGTTGCCATCCTGTACCTGTCCCGCAGGTGTGATGTTCGGATGTACCGATCCTGTGCAGGTGTTGTTACACGTGGTCTGGCACTGCGAGGACAATCAGCTGACCATCCTGTTATTTGCTGAGTTTAGGTGTATTTATGCTGTTGTTCAAATGCACAGATCGCTTTATATATATTCTCAGAGAAACTACCGGTAGTTTGAAAACTTGGCATCATATTTCTGTCATGCTGCTTCGTTGACAAATCCAACCAACATTGCCCCCCCAACCACCTGGATACCCCTCTGAGTCTTCATTCATAATCCAACCACCTGGCTACCCCTCTGAGACTTCATTCATAATCCAACCACCTGGATACTTCTCTGAGTCTTCATTCATAATCCAACCACCCGGCTACCTTTCTGAGTCTTCATTCATAATCCAACCACCTGGATATCTCTCTGAGTCTTCATTCATTATCCAACCACCTGGATACTTCTCTGAGTCTTAATTCATTATCCAACCACCTGGATACTTCTCTGAGTCTTCATTCATCATCCAACCACCTGGATACTTCTCTGAGCCTTCATTCATTATCCAACCACCTGGATACTTCTCTGAGTCGCCTCCCCATTACTCTCCTCCTCTCTTCATCCTCCCCTCTTTCTCTCTTTCTCTCTTTCTCTCCTCTCTCAGTTCCCTCCTCCTCTTCCTCTATGACGTCTATTTCTCTCCATTCTCACCATTACTTGGTGAAGTCTGGAGGATTGATCTCTTTTTCTTTAGTCATCTTCGGAAAGACATGAAAGGTGCGCCGTGGACGACAAGAATAGAAAACCCTGCTATTTTTAAACACGCTAAAGAATGCCTACTAACTGAAACACCAGTGCTGCCTCAAACACAAACACACACACACACCTCCCTCCCTCTTTCACTCTCCTTTCCTCACAGACCTTTGAAATATGATGATTGCTCCTATCTGTATTCAGATTCTTAAATAGAATTGAATCAGTAATGTATCGATAAGGTGACGGAAATAGACGGAAATACACTCATCCGGAGGAGGCTATAAAAGGCTCTCGGATATCACAATACTATGAAGACACACACACAGTGCCTGGCATCAGTGACACCTGACTAATGGTGACACCTGACTAATGTTGGCCTCATGAAGGACAATGATCATCCTTAATTATACATGGGCTGTCTGAGAAGAGAGAGAGAGAGAGAGAGAGAGAGAGAGAGAGAGAGAGAGAGAGAGAGAGATAGATGAGAGATGTCTCATCGCTCGCCCTGCTCTCTCTCTAGAATCTACTCCTCTCTCTCTCTCTCTCCCCTCTCTCTCTCCCCTCTCTCTCGGCTCGCTCTGTTCGAGCTCTCTCTGTTCTATTCCAAATTCCGGCCATTTCCATTTTGAAGGGCTCCCGCAATTCCATGTATCTTTGACTAAACATTCACTTTTCATAAAAACTGCTTAGTTTTTGGTGCATGCCAAAAAATCCCCAGCCATAACAGTGGAACAAAAAACTACTTTCATACGCATGATGACTGTGGACTTTTGGACATCTCTTCAAAGGGCTAGGATGGAACTGCCACTTGACAGTAGACAGAGGGTGAAAGAGGAGAAGGTGAAGGAGAGGTGGATTGTGGGGGAGGGAGGGTGGAGGTCAGAGGATATTGATTGTTTGGGCTTGTCTCCCTTACATTTTGACTGAACACGAGAGCAGTGAGCTACAGTAGACACATTTACCCCCAGGCTGAACATCACACACTCAACACAGCCAATCTAACCCACACCAGCACTGGAAAACACACTCAACACAGCCAATCTAACCTACACCAGCACTGGAATACACACTCAACACAGCCAATCTAACCTACACCAGCACTGGAAAACACACTCAACACAGCCAATCTAACCTACACCAGCACTGGAAAACACACTCAACACAGCCAATCTAACCCACACCAGCACTGGAAAACACACTCAGCATAAACAATTTCTCAATTTAGCGTCTTGTGAGAGCTGTCAGTCAAGGGTGGGACTACACGGCAACCAATAAGAATTATGCTTAAACTGTATTAGTAAGCTATTGGCTCAAATTAAGCAATGCATTACATTTCTCTCTCTCACATTGTAACTTCCAACAATAAGTACTGTTGGGAATGCAGCTCTAGTACGGTTTTGAACGTCACTCCAAATGTGACATCTGTCCGAGGCACACAACTCCACAGCAATGCTCCAGAAACCCAACCACCACTCACACCATGACATTTCAGTCTGTGTCTTATGGCTGTGGCTTCTGATGACCTACATATGAAGAAAGAACAGAGAAGAAGCCTTCTAACATTAAAAAGAATGTTGTTCAAAGCAGAACGAACTCGGCGGAAGTTCATGAAATATGCAGAAGAATTCACCCTGGAACAGAAACCCATTAAGACACAACGACTGAAAAATGCATTCAGCTACAACACAGACATTTCCTCCTGACCGTGCACTCACTGACACGGGCACGCACGCACACACACGCACACACACGTACACACACACACACGCACGCACGCACACACACACACACACACACCCCCCCCCCCCTCTCTCTCTCTCTCTCTCTCTCTCTCTCTCTCTAACACACACACACACACACACTTTCTCTCTCACAATATTTATCTCTTTCACACACACACACAGACACTCTCACAGCACTTAAGAGTGGTTGTAAATCATTGATTGGGTAGATGTACATGAACACAGAGACTCTTTAGTTTGACATGGTCAGCGTTATGGTTGTGAGTCTGGTCAAACATCAACAGTTTAATGCCAGATAACTATAAACCTGGCCCCTCCTTTTAACCCCACCCCCTATGGGAAACAGTATTCACTGTCTTTGACGCTTTTTAATGGATAAATTCACAGCGTTGATTATGCAATCAATATGAGAAATTCACTACTTGGTGGTGGTTGTTATTATTGTCACGCAACAATAGTAATAATAATAGGTCTACGCCGATATATATTTTGTATGTAGATATGTCACCAATTTTCTGATCAATTTTAGTGTAAAGAGTGTCATGTTAGTGTACGTTAGTGTGTTGCTACAGTAGGTATAAGCGAAATAAGACTAGACTACTAATGTTGGAGGGGGGAGATTAATCCCTGTGAGGAAAAATAACGGCTAACCAGTGTTTTGTCACCTATACTAAAAATATGCGACTTGAAACCACAAACAAACAGATGTTCTAATGTAGCCAGTGAATTAATAAGAATAGCCTATGATCCTACCCCGAGAATGGGCTCATGGCAGTCAGCATCCGACGCAATTATGTCACCGGTCGTAACAATCACAATAAAGATCATTGCATGCGGGCTGCGCGAGCATGGTCGCCCTTTACCTGGATGCTGCACGAGATCTCCGAGTCATCCAGTAACCGAATCGTGACCTGAATCTCTTGATCCAGAGAGCGGATGCTTGGACTACGAAACCGAAGCATTTTCATTCTTCTGCCCTTATTTTCCTGCTCCACATATCAAACAAACGCTTTTGCTGGCAGTGACGCGTTCAGCGTAGGACTGGATGCAAGAGACTGGCGAGGTGGGAGAGGCTGCATCTGTCGCCTGCAAGAAGGTTCTGCCTTCTCTCTCTCTCTCTCTCTCTCTCTCTCTCTCTCTCTCTGATGACTGTCACAGCAACAAGATGCACGCTCCCATGTCAATGCGCCCTTTCGCGATATGCCACTTTTGGCTACAGTTTTGTCCAATAAATGATCAAACAAGTGCACCACGAGATCACTCACAGGAGGTGTAACAGGCCTAATATATTTATGATAATAATTTCTAAAGATTAGGCCTATAGTTGGCACATAACAATTGGCATGGTGTTAGAATCATTCCCGGCTGCGATGAACATGCCTGATGCCTCAGATGACCCATGGCATGGTCACCACACCACTGCTTACAATATATAGGCTATAGGTCTCTGGGATGAGCCAATAACCACATGCTTCAACAATGGTTATATCAAACAGAATACTCTCATGTAGCTAAGCTTGGACCATCCATCGTCCATCCATACGGACTTGATCCTGTCCCAAGACATTACGACTAATGAATATTGTTTCATGTTCATCTATATTGGACATGGATTTCAAACGATTTAATCTCTTTATTCATTCACATAAAAATTGAAAACTCATTTAATTTACTTGTGCCATATGATGCGCCGCGTCCAATTTGGTTTTGCAACGTGTACTGTCGCTTTAAACTGAAAGGGGCAGGCGGCAGGCAAGACATGTATTGCGTCATTACGCTCAATACCAAAACAACCTGCAGAGCTGTTTTCTTGTGCAGGATCTACATCGGAGCGTCTGGGCTTCGCCTGGGTATCAGGCCATACTGACACCCAGCGAAATGATATATGTTATAATGGGAGTGTCTGGCTGCGGAAAGTAGGTGTCCCTATTTTAGTTTACCGTTTGGAGAGCACACATTAGACTACTAGTGATCGCATTCACATCCGCTCAACAGTGAGTCGCAGTCTGGAATATCCTAGACTGGCCTATGTATGGATGTACCACTTCCCTGCGGAACCGCGAATCATAGCAGTGAAATCAGTCTGTTTGTGTATTGTGTATTATCGGTTTATGAGAATCGTAATATTGCCCTGGCTAGCCTTACTGTAGCTACTGTCTGAACCTTAATGTTTTGTCTCTCCCACACAGGACAACACTAGGGGCCTTCCTGTCACACAAGGTAGAAATTGAACGGTGCTCTCAAACTTTGACCTGAGATTCAACACACTACGCTCACCTGTGTCTCTCCTGACCAGGGTTCAAATACTATTTAGGCAACTGTATTTCAATTGCTATTAAATACATTTCGAAATAATAATTTAAACAAAGATTGTTTGAAAATACAAGTCGTTGAATATTGGAATGTATTTGGAAGTATTTGCATGTATTTACCACTACTTATATTTGAAGTAGTTGTTTTGGGCTGTGTATTTGAAAATACAAATATACACACTTTTTTTCTCCAAAGATCTAAATACTTTAGTTATTGAAAACATAGGCCTACTTCGTATTGTATGCAAACATTTGCCTTTTTGCCCAATTTTTAGGGTAGGGTATTTAGGGGTAGTTGAAATATATTTGTAAAAAAGTATTTGAGTATTTGGTTTGTGAGTATTTTAATGTTTGTATTTTTGTGTATTTGGTTTTACAATAAGTAAAAAAGTATTTGAGTATTTGGTTTCACAAATAGGCATTCAGATACTTAAAATATAAGTAGGTGTAGTTGATTTGGCCAGTGTATTTGAAAATACTAGCTAAAATGCACAGAAAATAAGTATTTGAAATACAAATACTTAAATAATCATGTATTTGAACCAAGGTCTGGTTTGGCACTCACTCACCTGTGTCTCTGTTCTCAGCTCGGGTGGCCGCTGCACGAGGGAGATGACTTTCACCCGCGGGAAAACGTTGAGAAAATGGCTCGCGGGGAGCCTCTGACAGACCAGGTGGCCAAAGCACTCACGTCACCTCTCTTAGGCTATCATCATGCCTCTGATTATTCAACGCAGTGTTTGAATGTCTCAACCTTCTCTTAGTGTCAAAGGGAGCGCTTTAATCAAGTTCCATCATTTAAGATGTACAAAGTAAATATGATGTGTATGAGTGAGTTCACTGAGGCTTACCTCTCTTTTGTAGCCAAGTTGGCGGATACTCAGAACCAATGCCCCTGTAGAGAGAGAGGGACAGAGACAGTCAGTGACGGGGAAATGGGAGACCACTAGAGATGGAGCTGGCTTGTTATGTTGGCTGGAAATCACAACACAGGACTCTGATTCTGTTTCAATATTTTGATCTGAATCCGATCCTGTGACTGATCTGTGTCTGATTATTCTAATTCATCAGGACAGACTGCCTTGGCTGCTGAAATTGCATGATGTCATTCAAAGGTAATTATAGGCTACGTACACATCATTATACATGTATAACCACCTATTATACATGCAAATACACACAGAGGAACAGTTAGTCACAATCTATTTTTTTATGGAACAGACTCAAATATATCGCAAAGGCTGATATGATGGAGCTGGATGGAAAGAATATAGAGCACAGAGGGAGAGAGGGAGAGAGAGAGAGAGAGAGGGGGAGGGAGGGAGAGAGAGAGAGAGAGAGGGTAGGCGGATGGAGAGGACTAGCAGAGACGCCTGCTTGTCTAGGGAGCTGATAAGCGCTTCGATCCGTCCGAGCTATATGCTGATCGCTACTCTCTCATCTAGATAGCGATAGATCGCTCTTCTCTCTCCGTCTCGCTCTATCCGACTAGCTAGCTTGAGTAGAGAGCAGAAACCGGAAAAGAGGAGAGAGGAGAAAAAGTGACAGCTCTCACTTAAAATCTGTGTGACGACTTCAAAGAGATCTGCTCCCCTTCTGGACTCGGATTCTCCTAGTAATCTGCCTTCTCCCTTTCCCAGTTAGTCACACACTCCTTCCTGATCCCGCTAGTTGTTTTCAACATGAATGTTGTCCATTTTAACCCATCTGATGAAAACTCTTCCCAGTCACATGGAATCACTGTGTTTTAAACATGTTTTAAGTGTTCTTAAATGTTTGTATAACATTGTTGTCAGATGTACAGTGTGTATCATGTTACAGCGTTTTGCACAGCAAATTCCACCCTTACAAAAGAATATTGCAGTTTTGAAACTGCTGTAAAAGTGCAGTAACTGCAGTCGACATTGGTATTTTGGACGCAGTTATTGCAGAATAACTGCAGTGTAAAAAAAAACATTATTTTTGACCCAGTATTTGCAACATACTTCAGTTCTACTGCACACTGACTGCATATTTATTTTAGTAAAAGGCACTTTAATGTCTGTCGTCATCTCATAATGTTGGAAGTTGTCTGCTGTGGCGCTGTCTTCAACAGGGAGAGGTCCTCAGGGGGCGATGCCATCGTGGTGTGTTCAGCTCTGAGGCGACTCTACAGGCAGGTTCTGCTGTTTGGCTCCGAGGCCCTGACCTCCAGCTCGGACCCAGCAGGCCTGCACATGTGCTGCCTGCCCGGCGTCTGGTTCCTCTTCCTGTATGGGACATATGATCTGATCCATGCGAGGATGGTGGCCCGGAGGGGACATTTTATGCAGCCTGGTCTCCTGCGCTCTCAGTTTGATGTTCTGGAGCCACCGACGGAGGAGGAGAACGCGTTGCTGCTTGACATTCGGAGGAGCACTGATGACATCTGCAGGGAGATCCAGGAGCATCTCCGCCAACTTTCATAATCAGAGATTATGTCTGGACTATGAAATCAATGATAACACACTGGACTGCACTGTGTGTGCTACAAAACAATTACATATCAGACTTTTTTATTATTTAATTTTGCAAAGCACAATAAATCTGTTTCTAATTATATGACACGTTAGATGCAGAATCTCTGTTGAATGTGTTTTTTTAATCCAATAATAGTCTTGGGTCTAGGAAGCCTAGTTGAGTTGAGGGAAATGTCTGAAAACATTGCATTATTATTACAATACAGTATGACTTACTTGACTTAAGCCTATAGCTCCTTAAAGGAGAATAGGCCGTTGACGAATGTCTTCCATCTCACTTGGTTTGGGGCAAGTTTTTCCAGGTCACACCAGTTGAGGACGCTCTCAGTAATTTCTGCCTGGACGTCTTTTCCATTTTTAAATGGTGACACAGACCTACATAATATTTTGTAACAATGCCTGTCTGCCAAATGTCATGGATGGTGGGTTAGCCCCATTAGAAACCTAAATTACAAACCTAGAGCCCATAGCATCAAAGAGGGGCGAGGGGCCTCATGGGAAGACCCCACAGCATCATAGAGCTGTTTCAGGGGAATGATTCACCTCCCACCCCCAACAAGGGTATTTCAGGAGCCTCTAATCCTTGTAAACTCCCCACCATCACTCTCATATCACACATACACGCACACACACACACAGTCTTGTACAGCTAACCTTGTGGGGACACACAATTCAGTCCCATTCAAAATCCTATTTTCCCTAACATTAACCACAACCCCTAACCCTAATTCTAACCCTAACACTAATTCTAACCTGAACCCTCCTAGAAATAGCATTTTACCTTCTGGGGACCAGTTGGTCAAATTTTTGTTAGTTTACTATTCTTGTGGGGACTTGTGGTCCCCACAAGTATAGTTAAACACGTCCACACACACTCCAGCATTTCTACATTTACATTTAGTATCTATACTTTTTCGGTATACAAACCTCAAAACATCATAAGACCATGCGAGAATCTCAATTGCATTTCCTTGATTCCTCGCATCCTCTCTCCTTGCGTCCTTCTGAAAAACAATTGGATGAGAATTTCTCACCATGTATGATCAATTCCAAATGAAAAGTTGAAATGCACATTACTGCAACTCAAGATCAGAGATATAGTGCCATCTGGTGGACATTTAGATGTGCTACAAGACAGTGGTGTAGAACAGGGTTTCCCAAAGTCGGTCCTGGGGCCCCTCCTAGGTGCACGTTTTGGTTTTTGCCCTAGCACTACACAGCGGATTCAAATAATCAAAGCTTGATGATGAGTTGGTTATTTGAATCAGCTGTGTAGTGCCAAGGCATAAAACAAAACGTGCACCCAGGGGCGGCCCCAGGACCAACTTTGGGGAACCCTGGTGGAGAAGACTGAGTACTACATGCATCACTGGGGTGTATTCACGAGGAACCAAAAAATAAGCAAATCGCTGATCATTCATGTTTTCTTTTAAATCCACAACTTGAATCCCTCCACAGCCTCATACAGTGAGGGAAAAAAGTATTTGATCACCTGCTGATTTTGTACGTTTGCCCACTGACAAAGAAATGATCAGTCTATCATTTGAATGGTAGGTTTATTTGAACAGTGAGAGACAGAATAACAACAACAAAATCTAGAAAAACGCATGTCAAAAATGTTATAAATTGATTTGCATTTTAATGAGGGAAATAAGTATTTGACCCTCTCAATCAGAAAGATTTTTGGCTCCCAGGTGTCTTTTATACAGGTAACGTGCTGAGATTAGGAGCACACTCTTAAAGGGAGTGCTCCTAATCTCAGCTTGTTACCTGTATAAAATACACCTGTCCACAGAAGCAATCAATCAATCAGATTCCAAACTCTCCACCATGGCCAAGACCAAAGAGCTCTCCAAGGATGTCAGGGACAAGATTGTAGACCTACACGGCTGGAATGGGCTACAAGACCATCGCCAAGCAGCTTGGTGAGAAGGTGACAACAGTTGGTGCGATTATTGGCAAATGGAAGAAACACAACAGAACTGTCAATCTCCCTCGGCCTGGGGCTCCATGCAAGATCTCACCTCGTGGAGTTGCAATGATCATGAGAACGGTGAGGAATCAGCCCAGAACTACACGGGAGGATCTTGTCAATGATCTCAAGGCAGCTGGGACCATAGTCACCAAGAAAACAATTGGTAACACACTACGCTGTGAAGGACTGAAATCCTGCAGCGCCCGCAATGTCCCCCTGCTCAAGAAAGCACATATACAGGGCAGTTTGAAGTTTGCCAATGAACATCTGAATGATTCAGAGGAGACCTGGGTGAAAGTGTTGTGGTCAGATGAGACCAAAATCGAGCTCTTTGGCATCAACTCAACTCGCCGTGTTTGGAGGAGGAGGAATGCTGCCTATGACCCCAAGAACACCATCCCCACCGTCAAACATGGAGGTGGAAACATTATGCTTTGGGGGTGTTTTTCTGCTAAGGGGACAGGACAACTTCACCGCATCAAAGGGACGATGGACGGGGCCATGTACCGTCAAATCTTGGGTGAGAACCTCCTTCCCTCAGCCAGGGCATTGAAAATGGGTCTTGGATGGGTATTCCAGCATGACAATGACCCAAAATACATGGCCAAGGCAACAAAGGAGTGGCTCAAGAAGAAGCACATTAAGGTCCTGGAGTGGCCTAGCCAGTCTCCAGACCTTAATCCCATCGAAAATCTGTGGAGGGAGCTGAAGGTTCGAGTTGCCAAACGTCAGCCTCGAAACCTTAATGACTTGGAGAAGATCTGCAAAGAGGAGTGGAACAAAATCCCTCCTGAGATGTGTGCAAACCTGGTGGCCAACTACAAGAAACGTCTGACCTTGTGATTGTCAACAAGGGTTTTGCCACCAAGTACTAAGTCATGTTTTGCAGAGGGGTCAAATACTTATTTCCCTCATTACAATGCAAGTCAATTTATAAAAAATTTGACATGCGTTTTTATGGATTTCTTTGTTGTTATTCTGTCTCTCACTGTTCAAATAAACCTACCATTAAAATGATAGACTGATCATGTTTTTGTCAGTGGGCAAACATACAAAATCAGCAGGGGATCAAATACTTATTTGCCTCACTGTAGATACATTTTCTAAACTCTCAGGATTACAACCCAATTATGATAAATGTACTATATTATGTATTGGCTCACTAAAAAATAAAAATTTTACATTACCATGTAGTTTACCAATAAAATGGCCTGATGGTGATGTGGATATACTCGGAATACATATCCCAAATGAAATAAATGATCTCACTCCAATACATTTTAATAGAAAGTTAGCAAAAATAGATAATTTCTTGCTACCATGGAAAGGTAAATACCTGTCAATTTGTGGAAAAATCACCCTGATTAACTCTTTAGTATTATCCCAGTTTACCTATTTGCTTATGGTCCTGCCTACGCCTAGCGAACAGTTTTTTCAATTATATGAGAAAAAAATATTCCATTTTATTTGGAACGGCAAGCCAGACAAAATTAAACGGGCCTATTTATATAATGAATATGAATTCGGAGGACAGAAATGATTAAATATTAAAGCATTAGACCTATCACTAAAAACTTCAGTCATACAAAAGTTATACTTAAATCCGAACTGGTTCTCTAGCAAATTAGTAAGATTGTCTCACCCAATGTTCAAGAATGGCCTTTTTCCCTTTATTCAGATTACAACCTCTCACGTTCAGTTATTAGAAAAGGAAATGATCTCCCAAATATCACTATTTTTAAAACAAGCCATAGAAAGTTGGTTGCAATTTCAATTGAATCCTCCAGAAACGACAGAACAAATAATGCAACAAATATTGTGGTTAAACTCAAATATACTAATTGATTAAAAAACGTTTTGTTTTGACCAAATGTTTTAAAAAAGGTATAATCTTAGTAAATGATATCATCGGTAGGACTGGTGGAGTTATGTTGCACATGCAGCTAACAAAAACATATGGAAATGTCTGCTCTACCCAAAATTACAACCAAATAATTGCAGCATTACCGCAAAAATGGAAGAGGAAAGTGGAAGGGGGAAAAGGTAAGGAACTTGTCTGTCGGCCTTGCATTAAAGAACATAATTGGTTAAAGAAAATTGTGATAAATAAAAAAGTATACCAGTTTCATTTAAGGACCAAAGGATTGACAGCCGTCCCATATAGATTGCAAAATAGTTGGGAAGAGATTTTTGACGTACCGATCCCATGGCATAGTGTTTATGAACTGGTACGCAAAACGACGCCGGATTCAAAACTTAGAATTTTTCAATTAAATTATTATATGAAATTCTTGCTACCAATAGAATGTTATTTATATGGGGATACAATCTTCCCAGCTCTGCAGATTTTGCTGCGAAGAGACAGAATCATTAGATCATTTGTTTTGGTACTGTCCATTTGTAGCTTGTTTCTGGACACAGGTCCAGGAATGGCTGAAGGATTGTAATATTTACCTGGAGCTAACCCTGCAGATAGCATTACTGGGTGATCTGAAAAGTCATAGTCAATCGATCAACAATACAATATATGTTAAGAGACAGATGGGTGGTGTTGAATGGAGTTGAAGGATGGGACTAATAACAACCAGCAACAACTAATAACAAGATAACTCATAATGTAAGCATACTGTGTCCATAATAAGTACAGTGGGGAAAAAATGTATTTAGTCAGCCACCAATTGTGCAAGTTCTCCCACTTAAAAAGATGAGAGAGGCCTGTAATTTTCATCATAGGTACACGTCAACTATGACAGACAAATAGAGATTATTTTTCTCCAGAAAATCACATTGTAGGATTTTTTATGAATTTATTTGCAAATTATGGTGGAAAATAAGTATTTGGTCACCTACAAACAAGCAAGATTTCCGGCTCTCACAGACCTGTAACTTCTTCTTTAAGAGGCTCCTCTGTCCTCCACTCGTTACCTGTATTAATGGCAACTGTTTGAACTTGTTATCAGTATAAAAGACACCTGTCCACAACCTCAAACAGTCACACTCCAAACTCCACTATGGCCAAGACCAAAGAGCTATCAAAGGACACCAGAAACAAAATTGTAGACCTGCACCAGGCTGGGAAGACTGAATCTGCAATAGGTAAGCAGCTTGGTTTGAAGAAATCAACTGTGGGAGCAATTATTAGGAAATGGAAGACATACAAGACCACTGATAATCTCCCTCGATCTGGGGCTCCACGCAAGATCTCACCCCGTGGGGTCAAAATGATCACAAGAACGGTGAGCAAAAATCCCAGAACCACACGGGGGGACCTAGTGAATGACCTGCAGAGAGCTGGGACCAAAGTAACAAAGCCTACCATCAGTAACACACTACGCCGCCAGGGACTCAAATCCTGCAGTGCAAGACGTGTCCCCCTGCTTAAGCCAGTACATGTCCAGGCCCGTCTGAAGTTTGCTAGAGTGCATTTGGATGATCCAGAAGAGGATTGGGAGAATGTCATATGGTCAGATGAAACCAAAATAGAACTTTTTGGTAAAAACTCAACTCGTCGTGTTTGGAGGACAAAGAATGCTGAGTTGCATCCAAAGAACACCATACCTACTGTGAAGCATGGTGGTGGAAACATCATGCTTTGGGGCTGTTTTTCTGCAAAGGGACCAGGACGACTGATCCGTGTAAAGGAAAGAACGAATGGGGCCATGTATCGTGAGATTTTGAGTGAAAACCTCCTTCCATCAGCAAGGGCATTGAAGATGAAACGTGGCTGGGTCTTTCAGCATGACAATGATCCCAAACACACCACCCGGGCAACGAAGGAGTGGCTTCGTAAGAAGCATTTCAAGGTCCTGGAGTGGCCTAGCCAGTCTCCAGATCTCAACCCCATAGAAAATCTTTGGAGGGAGTTGAAAGTCCGTGTTGCCCAGCGACAGCCCCAAAACATCACTGCTCTAGAGGAGATCTGCATGGAGGAATGGGCCAAAATACCAGCAACAGTGAGTGAAAACCTTGTGAAGACTTACAGAAAACGTTTGACCTGTGTCATTGCCAACAAATGGTATATAACAAAGCATTGAGAAAATTTTGTTATTGACCAAATACTTATTTTCCACCATGATTTGGAAATAAATTCATAAAAAATCCTACATTGTGATTTTCTGGATTTTTTTTTCTTATTTTGTCTGTCATAGTTGACGTGTACCTATGATGAAAATTACAGGCCTCTCTCATCTTTTTAAGTGGGAGAACTTGCACAATTGGTGGCTGACTAAATACTTTTTTCCCCCCACTGTATATAGGTTATAGGTTGAGAGCTTTTGTGAAAGAGCACAGTTAGAAAGACATGGTATGGCATATAGAAGCAAACCAGATGGACATCATGAAAATGATCTGAGAGGTTGAGGGTAGAGGAAGTTCAGGAGTAAAAACAAACAAAATATAATTATTGTAAAATTGACTGTGTCTATAAAATGTATATAGTATGTATAAGCTGGAAGTAGAGGCCTAAGCATTGTTGTTCACTAGTTTACTCCAATTAGGGAAGGAGTGGTGGGGTTGGAAAGTAATAAAGGGAAATATATTGTTTTAAAGGATATGTATATGTATGTATGTATGTATGTATGTATGTATGTATGTATGTATGTATGTATGTATGTATGTATGTATGTATGTGTGTACATATATATATACAGCTCTGGAAAAAATTAAGAGACCACTGCAAAAATATAAGTTTCTCTGGTTTTACTATTTATAGGTATATGTTTGGGTGAAATTAACATTTTTGTTTTATTCTATAAACTACTGACAACATTTCTCCCAAATTCCAAATAAAAATATTGTCATTCAGAGCATTTATTTGCAGAAAATGACAACTGGTCAAAATAACAAAAAATATGCAGTGTTGTCAGACCTCGATTAATGCAAAGAAAATAAATTCATGTTAATTTTTAAACAACAGAATACTAATGTTTTAACTTAGGAAGAGTTCAGAAATCAATATTTGGTGGAATAACCCTGATTTTCAATCACAGCTTTCGTGCGTCTTGGCATGCTCTCCACCAGTCTTTCACATTGATGTTGGGTGACTTAATGCCACTCCTGGCGCAAAAATTCAAGCAGCTCGGCTTTGTTTGATGGCTTGTAGGCCTCTCCAGGTCTCCGTCTAACCATTAGACGACCAGGTGTTGGGCAAAGCTGAAAATTGGACTCATCAGAGAAGATGACCTTACTCCAGTCCTCTATGGTCCAATCCTTATGGTCTTTTGCAAACCTCAGCCTGGCTTTTCTTTGCTTCTCATTGATGAAGGGCTTTTTTCTAGCTTTGCACGACTTCAGCCCTGCCCCTAGGAGCCTGTTTCGAACTGTCCTCGCCGTGCACTTCACCCCAGCTGCCGTTTGCCATTCTTTTTGTAGGTCACTTGATGTCCTCCTATGGTTGTTGAGTGACATTCGAATGAGTTGGCGGTCATCCCGGTCAGTAGAGAGTCGTTTTCGCCATCTGCCTGTCTGTAGCTTTGTTGTCCCCAATGTCTGCTGCTTGACCTTGTCCTTATGAACCACCGTCTTTGAAATGTTAAGGATGGAAGCAACCTGACGCTCACTGTATCCCTCTGCCAGCAAAGCCAGAATTGAACCCTTCTTTTCCTCACTCACAACTTTCCTTTTCAACTCTTTTGGCATGGTCAATAGTTCTTTTTTGATTAATATTACTTTTGAGGTACAATTAGCACTGTTTTTGCCATCCAGCTGGTCCTATTGCAAGAGGATAGTGATGACCACAGCAGTGGTTTTTATACTTTTCCTCGTTAAATAAGATTTGGGTCAGATGATCACCTAATCAGTACCTAATTCAGTAGAATGAGGTGTGCCTGTGTTGTAATTCAACAGACACTGGAATGGAATGGCTGTCATACATGTAGAGATGCTGATTTAAGAAACATTTGCAGTGGTCTCTTAATTTTTTCCAGAGCTGTATATATATTTGCGAGAAAAAAAAGACATTTGGGGGATTGCAGACAATTACATTGATGGAAGTTACAATCTATCTGCAATATTAAAGCTGATCTACCCCCCCCCCCCCCCCCCCCCCCCCAAAAAAAAAATATATATATTAATATTAGCAAATCTATTAGTCCAAAAATAAACACTTGTTTTAATTTTTCCGTTGCAAAGTGTTCTGCTGCAGTGTGTGGTAATGAATACGCCCCTGGATGATAATGCCATCGAAACTGTGAAGAGAAAAATCTGATTCAGTTACTTTGTTCACAACGCCCTAGCAGAGTCACCAGAAAACACTAACATCCAGTTTTCAGGGATACAGTGTTTTCAACCTAACTTCCATTTCCCCTGAAAAAAACTAAGCTGGAACACAGCTCAGGCATCATTCAACGCCTGCTACTTTAGGTTAACATTCTACGCCTGCTACATTAGGTTAACATTCTACTCCTGCTACATTAGGTTAACATTCTACGCCTGCTACTTTAGGTTAACATTCTACGCCTGCTACGTTAGGTTAACATTCTACGCCTGCTACGTTAGGTTAACATTCTACGCCTGCTACGTTAGGTTAACAAGACCCTGAAACTGAGTTACCATTATTGGCATTTCAAATGTCAAGTGTTGTAATGGCAGTCAGGGGTACATCAGGAATGACCATGGCATCACAGTTTGTGTACACATTGACAAAGACAAATACACACAAAGCAATCTTGTTTTTCCATTTCACTTTATTAACCTGCACACAGGAGAATGAATGCAAATTAAATCCTAAAACCAAAAATATGTGTTTTCCCAAGGCAGTTGGTATCAATGTGCTAGGAAGGTGACTTCAACAATTGCTTGATAAGCACTCTAATAATTATATTCTATCCATTGAGGTATATTATTAAGATTCCATCCCTGCGCCTGTTTTTGCATGTACAGTATTTCAATGGCTCCTGAATTTTATATTCTCTCTCAAGAGGCAGAAGAGAGTTGAGTCAACAGTGCCCTCCAGTGGTCGACAGAGCACATTGTATTTGTCACAGGCCAGGCGCACTCTAGCCAGTCAGTGGTGCAGTACAATTAATACATACATCTCAATTCAACTTGATATGGAAAGACATGAAACATGTGATGGGGTTTAGTAGATGGGGTTTTAGAAAGAAAACACTTCATCCTCCATATATAGGCCTAACCCTAGGAACATAAAGAACATACTATGAGGTTTTGGCATAAGGGTTTGAACATTAGACAATAAAACAACATAAACCATAACAACCATAAAATAACACGCAAGTCAAAAGTACATTTAGTTAAGAGTTAATAAAGCACATAGAGCTACATAGAGCTTAATAGTGAGTCATTGTATTATCAATGGGAATAAATATAAAGCCACTGGCGCACTTTTTCTTGATTGGTTGGAAATATTTAATATCAGTGCTACTAGCTTGCACTCATATCCAAGGCTGGGCAAGCGTGATATGAGGGACTGATATTTAACAAGCTTGTCAGCAAAAGGCCGGCTCCATGTAACAGTCAAATGAGCAGCCCACTTCCAAAATGAGCACCTCCCTCTGGCCTCCCCTAGTCTATACCATAATGAAGTGGCAAAAAGGACACACAGCATTTAGTGCATTACATATACACAGAATGAAGACTGCTATACACATGCTCTCAAGGGTCCCCAGTAGGGAACCCTTGGGGGTTATTTTAACATCCTGATTTGAGTTTAAGGCCTTGGTAGCAGCAGGGAAATACATATTGATGTGAGATTAGCAGCATATTCACTCTTAGAGCCTTGGATAGGACTCTTAGGGTAGGACTCTTAGGGTAGGTATTTTACTGCATAAAGGAATGTGGCAGAAGCCAGCATGATCCAGACTAGAGCCTGAACCAACTAAGGCCATTCAGAACACTTCACAGTTCAGCAGCTTACATACACAAAATAAATGACATTCAGGAATGCATGTTCATGTTTCAGTAGGTCTCTGTGAGTGAACAATGTGCAAGCATCCGATTGTACAAATGTATGATTGTACGAGTAAGTGAGTCTCTGTGTGTGTGCACATGTGAATTTGTTAATTATATGTGCACATGTGAAGTGTGTGTGTTACGAGGGTTGCGAGCCCAGCAGTCGTTCTACGGCAGCGTTGACGTCTCCCCCGGTAGCGATGAGGGCCTGCAGGTTGGCCTCTGGGTTGAGGAAGCCCATGGTACTCAGCTGCTCCAGCTGCTGCTGGAACGGCAGCTCTTCAGTCTGAGCCTGCACACAAAGCACACAATGGTACAGTACTTTGTCTTCCATTTGTGATGATGGTAATGTGTTTAATGCTCTTCTCCCCACCCTGCTGACACAACATAGGCCCAATCCCAAACCAACCCCTAAATGCGTGATAGGACATAAGGCTTAAAGGTTGATTAGGGATTGGGACATGCACACCACTTTGAGAGGCTTGAAGTAAAACAGGGTCAGGTTTTGGGAGAATAATGCAGATCAATCCTGGGGCGAACCTGCTGATTGGTGCTAGCGAGAGCGTCTAGCATCTGATGCACAAATTGTTGTTGTTGCCGCTGACCCGTTTCCGTGACTACCTGGGACTCACTGCTGAGGTCACTAGGGGCGGGGTCTGATGACAACCCAGGGGCAGGGTTAAGACCTGAGACAGCGCCTCCCAGTCCAACCCTATAGGAATGACAGGCATCATGGCGTCAGCCGACCACAGCTCAACACTACATTGCTACAGGAACTATGTGGGTGGAGTACAAAATACAAAATATAGGACGCTTAAAGACGTACTGTAGGTAGAGGTCTATTGAGGTGAAAAGTGAAGGTGTATGTTGATGTATGGACGTTCTGTATAAATGCATGTGGAGGTATGGAGAACTGGTGTACTGAGGTATGTAGTTGAAGGAAGAGGATGTGGTGTATATACCCAGGTATGAATCCAGGTGCCTCAGTGGCAAGGATCTGCAGTCCCTGTTGGATCTGCAGCAGCGCCTGCATGGCCCTGGGGTTGAACATGGCTGACAGCATCTCAGGGTTCTGCATCTGAGGAAACACCAATCAGAAAGACTCTCACAGCGGTCAGAGGACCAATCCCAGCACCACTTGGTGTTCTAAGGTCTCTGACCTGTTGGAGGAACACTGGGAGTTGTTGTCTCATTTGCTGCTGCAGTTGGGGGTTCCCAGAAAACAGTGGGTTGTTCAGCATCATCTAAAACATTCAGGGACATTAGAGGTGTGTGTGCATGTGTACTGTGTGTGTGTGTGTGTGTGTGTGTGTGTGTGTGTGTGTGTGTGTGTGTACTGTGTGTGTGTGTATGTACCTGTGCTGCAAGGTCAGGGTTCTGGCTCAGGCTGTTGAGTAGGCTCCTTATGTAGGGGGCTGACAGCATGTTGTGCATCAGCGTGGCGTTCTCAGTGATCTGCTGCAGAAGACTCTGCATGCCCGGACTATTGAACATACCCGCTATACCCACACAATCATCATTGGGGGATACAGGAGGGCTTATTAATGAATTTGTAAGCCTACAGTTGCGGTCAAGTATGTTGGCACCCTTGCACGATTCACTATTTCTTAAAACATACGTTGAAATTGAAAAAAACGATTGGTGTTCACTACCAGCGGCAGGTAGCTTAGTGGTTAAGAGCGTTGTGCCAGTAACCGAAAGGTCGCTGGTTCTAATCCCCGAGCCGACTAGGTGAAAAATCTGTCGATGTGCCCTTGAGCAAGGCACTTAACCCTAATTGCTCCTGTAAGTCGCCCTGGATAAGAGCGTCTGCTAAATGACTAAAATGTAAATTTGTTTGATTTACAACTGCACAAATTGCTATTTTTCACTTCAAAGTTTAACAAAAAAATGGTCTGGACTAAATTATTCAAAATTCAAATGAATTTGGTTGCAGGCAAGTGATTTTAGTTTATGTGTAATTTATTTCACATGCGGTAAGTTCCAGGTGAATAAACGGTAAGAATAGCCATTCAATCAGTTTTGAAAAGAGAAAACAGAACATTCTGCTCCATTGACCTATGTGTGAGCATAAACATGTATAAATGTGAGTGCGTGTGTGTACCACTGTTAGATGTTCTACCTCCCAGGTTGTGCAGGGTGGTCTGAGGGCCATTGCTGGATTGGGTGGGGGAAGTGGTGGGTGTGGCGGTGCCTACAAGGGTGTCTGTGGAAGCAGGAGGAACCCAGGGGTTGGGGAGGGGGTCTCTGTTCTCTACCCGGGGTGACTGGGTTTCCCCTGACGACGAGGTCATCAGAGAAGCAAAAGGGTTTCCTGCAATCTAAGCCAGAGAGGGTTACAATCCAGCTAAACATACACCAGCATACCAGTTAGTTAATTTACCTCCAACCAGTTTACTTTTACTTGTCCTGGTCAATGATTGGCATTAAATGTTAACGTTACACTGTAAAGTTACATCAGGATCTGTGCGTGTGTACCTACCTGTTCCTGATCAGCAGCATTGAGCATGGGTCCCTGAACATCAGTGTACATCCTGCGGAGGACATTGTTGCCACCAGGGATGCTCTCAAGGTTGCTAAGTGCCCTGTCCTGGTTGCGCAACATTTCCTGCATCATGGTCGGGTTCCGTGCTATCTCCAGGGTCTGAAGGACAAGAAAAGAATAGGAGAATGAGAGAACAAGGACAGAGGGAAGAGAGAGAGAAGGTTCAAAAGGTATAACAACACACGCCTACCTGTCTCATAACGTCAGGGTTGTTGAGCAGGTGGGAGATGTTGGGGTTGCGCTGCAGCAGCTGCTGCATCTGGGGGTTGGCCATGATGAGCTGTCTCATCGTGTCTGGGTTGGACAGCATGCCCTGGACCAAGGGGCTGTCCATAATCTGGGCCAGCAGCTCAGGGTTGGACATTAGCTGCCTCTGCAGCTCAGAGAGACCAGACCCCTCAGCAGCTGTCCCCAGACCTCCTACAGGATATAGACAGAGGGCGAGAAACATTTGTTTATTTCTACTCAGTTTCATTGCTTTACCAAACCTTCCCTGTTGGACAAAGCTTCATTTTGAGGTAGCAAATACCCATCAGAAACATTTGGCTACCAACTCATCCACACACCAAAGAAAGCCCCAGATCAAATCAAATGTTATTTGTCACATGCTTTGCAAACAACAGGTGTAGACTGACAGTGAAATCCTTACTTACGGGCCCTTCCCAACAATGCTGAGAGAAAGGAAATTTAGAAATAATAGAAAAGTAAAACACGTAATAATAAAAGTAATAATTACACAATGAGTAACGATAACTTGGCTATATTCACGGGGTACCAGTACCGAGTTGATGTACAAGGTATTTGAGGTAGATATGTACATATAACTTGGAATAAAGTGACAAATAATAAATAGTAGCAGCAGCGTATGTGAGGAGTCAAAAAAGTTTGTGTATAAAGGGTCAATGCAGATAGTCCGGGTAGCTATTTGGTTAACTATTTAACTAACTATTTAGCACTCTTATGGCTGTTCAGGGTCCTGTTTGTTCCAGACTTGGTGCATCGGTACCACTTGCCGTGCGGTAGCAGAGAGAACAGTCTATAACTTGGATGGCTGGAGTCTGACAAATGTTATGGCCGTTCTCTGACACCGCCTGGTATAGAGGTCCTGGATGGCAGGGAGCTCGACCCCAGTGATGTACTGGGCCGTACACAGTACCCTCTGTAGCGCCTTGCGGTCGGATGCCAAGCAGTTGCCATACCAATTGGTGATGCAGCCAGTCAAGATGCTCTCAATGGTGCAGCTGTAGAGCTTTTGGAGGATGTGAGGGCCCATGCCAAATATTTTCAGCCTCCTGAGGGCGAAGGGGTATTGTCGTGCCCTCTTCACGACTGTGTTGGTGTGTGGACCATGATACAGACGCGTGCGAAAGTATTCACCCCCCTTGGCATTTTTCCTATTTTGTTGCCTTACAACCTGGAATTAAAATATATTTTAGGGGGGTTTGTATCATTTGATTTACACAACATGCCTACCACTTTGAAGATGCAAAATATTTTTTCTTGTGAAACAAGACAAAAAAACTGAAAACTTGACCGTGCATAACTATCCACCCCCCCAAAGTCAATACTTTGTAGAGCCACCTTTTGCAGCAATTACAGCTGCAAGTCTCTTGGGGTATGTCTCTATAAGCTTGGCACATCTAGTCACTGGGATTTTTGCCCATTCTTCAAGTTGGATGGGTTCCGCTGGTGTACAGCAATCTTTAAGTCATACCACAGATTCTCAATTGGATTGAGGTCTGGGCATTGACTAGGCCATTCCAAGACATTTAAATGTTTCCCATTGTGTTGCTTTAGCAGTATGCTTAGGGTCATTGTCCTGCTGGAAGGTGAACCTCCGTCCCAGTCTCAAATCTCTGGAAGACAAACAGGTTTCCCTCAAGAATTTCCCTGTATTTAGCGCCATCCATCATTCCTTCACTTCTGACCAGTTTCCCAGTCCCTGCCGATGAAAAACATCCCCACAGCATGATGCTGCCACCACCATGCTTCACTGTGGGGGTGGTGAGAGGTGTTGGGTTTGCGCCAGACATAGCATTTTCCTTGATGGCCAAAAAGCTCAATTTTAGTCTCATCTGACCAGAGTACCTTCTTCCATATGTTTGGGAGTCTCCCACATGCCTTTTGGTGAACAACAAACATGTTTGCTTATTTTTTTCTTTAAGCTTTTTTCTGGCCACTCTTCCGTAAAGCCCAGCTATGTGGAGTGTACGGCTTAAAGTGGTCCTATGGACAGATACTCCAATCTCCACTGTGGAGCTTTGCAGCTCCTTCAGGGTTATCTTTGGTCTCTTTGTTGCCTCTCTCATTAATGCCCTCCTTGCCTGGTCCGTGAGTTTTGGTGGGCGGCCCTCTCTTGGCAGGTTTGTTGTGGTGCCATATTCTTTCAATTTTTTTATAATGGATTTAATGGTGCTCCGTGGGATGTTCAAAGTTTCTGATATTTTTGTATAACCCAACCCTGATCTGTACTTCTCCACAACTTTGTCCCTGACCTGTTTGGAGAGCTCCTTGGTCTTCATGGTGCCGCTTGCTTAGTGGTGTTGCAGACTCTGGGGCCTTTCAGAACAGGTGTATATATACTGAGATCATGTGACAGATCATGTGACACTTAAGATTGCACACAGGTGGACTTTATTTAACAAATTATGTGACTTCTGAAGGTAATTTGTTGCACCAGATCTTATTTAGGGGCTTCATAGCAAAGGGGGTGAAAACATATGCACGCACCACTTTTCCGTTATTTATCTTTTAGAATTTTTGGAAACAAGTTATTTTTTTCACTTCACCAATTTGGACTATTTTGTGTATGTCCATTACATGAAATCCAAATAAAAATCAATTTAAATTACAGGTTGTAATGCAACAAAATAGGAAAAACACCAAGGGGGATGAATACTTTTGCAAGGCACTGTAGATCCTTAGTGATGTGAACACAGAGGAACTTGAAGCTCTCGACCCGCTCCACTACAGCCCCGTCAATGTGAATGGGGGTGTGCTCGACCCTCCGTTTCCTGTAGTCCACGATCAGTTCCTTTTGTGTTGCTGACGTTGAGCTAGAGGTTGTTGTTCTGGAACCACACAGCCAAGTCTCTGACCTCCTCCCTATAGGCTGTCTCATCGTCGTCGGTGATCAGGCCTACCACCGTCGTGTCACATGCAAACTTAATGATGGTGTTGGAGTCGTGCACGGCCACACAGTCGTGGGTGAACAGGGAGTACAGGACGGTACTAAGCAGGCACCCCTGAGGGGCCCCCGTGTTGAGGGTCAGCGTGGCAGATGTGTTGTTGATGAAGGGGGTGAGGGAAGGATACAGCTGGTCTTACCCAGGCTGAGGGTAGAAGTGGCTGGAGAAGCAGGAGAGGGTCCAGGGACAGAGGTAGGGCCTACAGGAGGGGGTCCAGGGACAGAGGTAGGGCCTTCCGGTTGGGCCTGTTCTGAGGCAGTGCTGCTGGAAGGAGAGGCAGACAACTCCGGAGGCCTTCAACAGAAAGGGAAACGGACAGTTATAATGCCCATCAATCCAATTTTGGGGACAGCTTTAATGCTTTCATCTTGTCTTACCTACGTGTGTGTGATGGGTGTGTCTTACCTACGTGTGTGTGTGATGGGTGTGTCTTACCTACGTGTGTGTGATGGGTGTGTAATAATAATAATAATAATATAATATGCCATTTAGCAGACGCTTTTATCCAAAGCGACTTACAGTCATGCGTGCATACATTTTTGTGTATGGGTGGTCCTGGGGATCGAACCCACTACCTTGGCGTTACAAGCGCCGTGCTCTACCAGCTGAGCTACAGAGGACCATGTGTGTGATGGGTGTGTCTTACCTACGTGTGTGTGATGGGTGTCTTACCTATGTGTGTGTGATGGGAGTGTGTGTACCTGCTCTGGGTCTTGATGACCAGGTGGACGGTCAGTCCGTTGTGGATGCCTTGGTGACTCAGCAGATCTGCATCTTTGAGGATCTTCCCAGCAAAGATGAGCACCAGCTGCTCTGTTTGTGCCTGGAACCGCTCGGCTATCTGCTCCTTAAACTACAGAGACAGGCAGGCAGGGAGAAGGGAGAGACATTAACTCATCCCTGCCAAGCAGCAGACAGATACAAATTATTTTACTGTAGGCTATATCAGATATTGGGAGTCACACTTGGCCAACAACAGTAAAGAAAATAAGTAATTGTCATGAAAACAGCTTAATAAAAAATGGTCACGTAGGCACAAACATTGCATCATTCACAAATAAGCTGATTGCATCAGTCCAGCTGTGTGTGGGTGCACTTCGGTGGGGACAGGACCACTGGCCTGGCAGCATATAAAAGTTTACATCCATGAAAGCACGTAGGTGTTAAAATCCAAAACAACATTACAAATAGAAAAACGAATTACAACTATACTTGACAGTTGCCACGTGTGGTTTAGACCATGTTCAGATAAGACACGGTGACTTGACCAAATAAACGGGATTCCACACGAGAAGCCAATATGACAGCTCCAATGACCACACTGACCTGTTTGATAGAGCTGTTCTCTGGAATGGCGATTTCCTCTTTTTCCTTTGGTGTTTTCACAGTAACTCTGATGATGTTACATTCAGCAGCGGATGGTTGCTCGTCCACATCCACAGTATTATCCATCTTTTTGCTCTAGGGGTGGGGACAGACCGATGTCTGACCGCGCGGGCAAAGAACAGACTGTTTGTATAAGCGAATCTCGTAATGTGAGATTTTATTTCCTGGTGTCCTCATCATGCTGCTTCGAAAAATATCTGCAAACGGCATAATGGGTAACAGTGCAGGGATAGCTTTATTATTTTCTTTAGGTCTGAATATTTTCACATATTGTAGATAATTAATTTCCGTTAGATGCTTCTGAACATTCCTACATTCATTCTACTGCAGCCATGATTAGATACACTACATGACCAAAAGTATGTGGACACCTGCTCGTCGAATATCTCATTCCAAAATCATGGGCATTAATATGGAGTTGGGCAATTAGGCCTGGCTCGCAGTCTGTGTTCCAATTCATCCCAAAGGTGTTCATGGGGTTGAGGTCAGGGCTCTGTGCAGGCCAGTCAAGTTCTTCCACACCGATCTCGACAAACTATTTCTGTATGAACCTCGCTTTGTGCATGGGGGCATTGTCATGCTGAAACAGGAAAGGACCTTACCCAAACTGTTGCCACAAATTTGGAAGCACAGAATCATCTAGAATGTAATTGTATGCTGTAGCGTTAAGATTTCCCTTCACTGGAACTAGGGGTCCTAGCTCGAACCATGAAGAACAGCCCCAGACTATTATTCCTCCTCCACCAAACTTTACAGTTGTCACTATGCATTGGGGCAGGTAGCGTTCTCCTGGCATCCGCCAAACCCAGATTTGTCCATCGGACTTGCCAGATGGTGAAGAGTGATTCATCACTTCAGAAAACGCATTTCCACTGCTCCAGAGTCAAATGGCGGCGAGCTTTACACCACTCCAGCAGACGCTTGGCATTGCTCATGGTGATCTTAGGCTTGTGTGCGGCTGCTCGGCCATGGAAAGCCATTTCATGAAGCTCCCGACAAAGTTCTTGTGCTGATGTTGCTTCCAGAGGCAGTTTGGAATGTGGTAGTGAGTGTTGCAACAGAGGACACGATTTTTACGTGCTAAAGCACTCGGCAATCCAGTTGTGAGCTTATGTGGCCTACCACTTCACAACTGAGCCGTTGTTGCTCCTAGACATTTCCACTTCACAATAACAACACTTACAGTTGACCGGGGCAGCTCTAGCAGGGCAGAAATTTTACGAACTGACTTGTTGGAAAGTTGGCATCCAATGACAGTGCCACGTTGTAAGTCCCTGAGCTCTTCAGTAAGGCCATTCTACTGCCAGTGTTTGTCTATGGAGATTGCATGGTTATGTGCTCGATTTTATACACCAGTCAGCGTTGCTGAATTAGCCAAATCCACTAATTTGAAGGTGTGTCCACATACTTTTGTATATATAGTGTAATTTGTCATGAATTAATCATGATGAGTGAAGATGAGGCTACACTAAAATATGCTAACTCTCATTAGCATCAAAAACAGGAGAAATATAGCATCTTGTGTTGTAGCCTACCATTAGCACATAGAAGTAATAATACCACAACGAGACATGACTTTACACAGGAAAAGTAGTTTATTTACCTTGCAGTGAAAGGGAAAAAAACATACATTTCACACCTGCCATTTGGCATCATACCAGAAAAAGGGAGGAGCAGACAGCCGCTTGAGCTCCATACCAGAACAAAAAGAGGAGCTGCGATGATGTCAGTCAACTTAAAACGTATCTTTATCAGAGCCTTTATTAAAAGCCTTTTCATGACTTCTGCAGTTCAACACATCCAGGAGTTGATGTGTGGTAATACAAGGCATGCATAACGCATGAAACCAGTAGAGAATAACAGTACAAACAAGGAGACCCTGAAGAATAGGAGTGGCTTAGTTTGTTTTTGCAGTCAATGTTCTTTCCTCTGCGGTCTTCATAGATCGGACTCTGGACCCTTTTTCCCCTTCCTGTTTCCCTGCCAATCAGAGGAGATCAGGAAGTATGGAGTCAGTACAGAGTGTCTTACATCGGTAGTTTGTTGGTTAGCTTGTCAGGGGCTTGACCGTCTACAACGGCTTAAGACAGCTCAAGAGATTAAACATTTCATGATATGACAAGACCGGCTTGTAAGTTGTAACCAAACTAACATCCTTCAACTGAACTACACTAGTTAGCATAGAGACTTATAGTAATGAGTTGGACTGAGTAAACGGTTCAGTTTTGTGTCAGTCTAGTAGTGTCCTGTTCTGGAGAGTGAGGACTACTGCAGCTGCACTGTTACCTTGGTAATCTTCCTAGGGGTGACTTCCTGGCTGATCTAAGAGGGGAGCACACACATGCATGCACACACACACTTGACACATGGCTTTACACAGGTTGAACAATAAAACAAACAAACACGGGTCATTCTACACTGCAGCTCTAACTCCTCTCTCGGAACCAGGCGAGAGCTGCTGATTTTAAAATCAGACAGGGACAGTTAAAGAGGCACTATGTAGAAATCGCTCCACCATTTCCTGGTTGCTAAAATTCTAATAGTTTGCCTAATTTCAGTTTGTGACAAAACAAGCAAGTATAGTGTAGAGAATCATTGTACCATCTAAACCGCTGTGTAATATATTTTCCATAACCAAAAATATTGTATTTCCAGCTGTTTGAAGCTGGTGTACAAAACTTAAGAACGGGAAGCATAGAAATAGCGCACATAGAACAGATGTACCGCTTCTTAGACTTGCTTTCAATGAGAATGACATGTGATGGAAAATGTTATGTTTGTGCTTTTCTAATAACCAATTTCTGTCATTTCCACGACAGATCTATAACACACATTTCTATGTGAATTTGGTCAGGTTGCCCAAAAGCTACATTAAATTTACATTTTAGTCATTTAGCAGACGCTCTTATCCAGAGCGACTTACAGGAGCAATTAGGGTTAAGTGCCTTGCTCAAGGGCACGTCGACAGATTTTTCACCTAGTTGGCTCTGGGATTAGAACCAGCCACCTTTCGGTTACTGGCACAACGCTCTTAACCACTAAGCTACCTGCCGCCCCATACATATTGCGGCTTTAAACTAAATGTGTGTTGTATTAAGGGCCACCTGCAAGTGTGATGAGTATGTGTGCGCCGTCCTACCGGATGGTGTTTTGGCTGATCTGTTTGTAAACCTTTCACTTTCGACTTCTCTTGTTCCAGTGAGGCATGTAGTGATGTCACCTGGAGAGGGAAACAAAGGTCATTCAACCAGGAAGTCAGCTTTGCATGGCAAGTTGAAAGGTTTGACACACAAACACACACCTGTGAAGACAGCTCCTCTTTGATATTTAGAAGCTCTTCCACCTGCAGTAGGATCTCTGCTTTATCTTTCACTGTGGAGAAAGTGAGAGAATAAGTGAATGAATGACATGTAGGCCTACTTAATGCACCAGTAATGGATTACAGTATAGGCAGGTTGCATTAGGAGTGCAGTAGCCTAATGCACCAGTAATGGATTACAGTATAGTCAGATTGCATTAGGAGTGCAGTAGCTGTACTCACTCTCTCCCTGCTGCAGCATCTTCAGGAGCTGGGAGTTTCTGGCTTTCACTTCTTTGTATTTCACCTGAGGATTGAGATCAGGAACGGAGCCCATGCGGACCATATAGATTCATACCCACATAGATTTACACACAAATATACATTTACACACAAATACACAGTTGAAGTCGGAAGTTTACATACACTTAGGTTGGAGTCATTAAAACTAATTTTTCAACCACTCCACAAATGTCTTGTTAACAAACTATAGTTTTGGCAAGTCGGTTAGGACATCTACTTTGCGCATGACAAGTAATTTTTACAACAATTGTTTACAGATTATTTCACTTATAATTCAATGTATCACAATTCCAGTGGGTCAGAAGTTTGCATACACTAAGTTGACTGTGCCTTTAAACAGCTTGGAAAATTCCAGAAAATTATGTCATGCTTTAGAAGCTTCTGATAGGCCAATTGACATCATTTGAGTCAATTGGAGGTGTACCTGTGGAGGTATTTCAAGGCCTACCTTCAAACTCAGTGCCTCTTTGCTTGACATCATGGGAAAATCAAAAGAAATCAGCCAAGACCTCAGAAAAGAATTATAGACCTCCACAAATCTGGTTCATCCTTGGGAGCAATTTCCAAACGCCTGAAGGTACCACGTTCATCTTTACAAACAATAGTACGCAAGTTTAAACACCATGGGACCACGCAGCCCTCAAACCACTCAGGAAGGAGACACGTTCTGTCTCCTAGAGATGAACGTACTTTGGTGCGAAAAGTGCAACTCAATCCCAGAACAGCAAAGGACCTTGTGAAGATGGAGGAAACAGGTACAAAAGTATCTATATACACAGTAAAACAAGTCCTATAACGACATAACCTGAAAGGCCGCTCAGCAAGGAAGAAGCCACTGCTCCAAAACTGCCATAAAAAAGCCTTTTTGGAGAAATGTCCTCTGGTCTGATGAAACAAAAATAGAACAGTTTGGCCATAATGACCATCGTTATGTTTGGAGGAAAAAGGGGGTAGCTTGCAAGCCGAAGAACACCATCCCAACCGTGAAGCACTGGGGTGGCAGCATCATGCTGTGGGGGTGCTTTGCTGCAGGAGGGACTGGTGCACTTCACAAAATAGATGGCATCATGAGGAAGGAAATTATGTGGATATATTGAAGCAACATCTCAAGACATCAGTCAGGAAGTTAAAGCTTGGTCGCAAATGGTTCTTCCAAATGGACAATGACCCCAAGCATACTTCCAAAGTTGTGGCAAAATGGCTTAAGGACAACAAAGTCAAAGTATTGGAGTGCCATCACAAAGCCCTGACCTCAATCCTATAGAAAATTAGTGGGCAGAACTGAAAAAGCGTGTGCGAGCATGGAGGCCTACAAACCTGACTCAGTTACACCAGCTCTGTCAGGAGGAATAGGCCAAAATTCCCCCAACTTATGGTGGGAAGCTTGTGGAAGGCTACCCGAAGCGTTTGACCCATGGTAAACAATTTAAAGGCAGTGCTACCAAATACTAATTGAGTGTATGTAGACTTCTGACCCACTGGGAATGTGATGAAAGAAATAAAAGCTGAAATAAATCTCTACAATTATTCTGACATTTCATAAAGTGGTGATCCTAACTGACCTAAAACAGGGAATTTTTTACAAGGATTCAATTTCAGGAATTGTGAATTTAAATGTATTTGGCTAAGGTGTAAACTTCCAACTTCAACTGTAGATTCACACACACACACCCACATATAGATTCACACACATGTAAATTGACACCAACTGTAAATGCCTGATGGCAGTATTCTGTCCTTTGTCTTTTACAGGACTGTTTTGCTAGCACAGACTGGAATATGTTTCGGGATTCTTCCGATGGCATTGAGGTGTACACCACATCAGTCACTGGCTTCATCAATAAGTGCATCGATGACTTCGTCCCCACAGTGACGTACGTACATACCCCAACCAGAAGCCATGGATTGCAGGCAACATCCGCACTGAGCTGAAGGGTAGAGCTTCCGCTTTCAAGGAACGGGACTCTAACCTGGACGCTTATAAGAAATCCCGCTATGCCCTCTGACGAACCATCAAACAGGCAAAGAGTCAATACAGGACTAAGAATGAATCGTACTACACCGGCTCCGACGCTTGTCGGATGTGGCAGGGCTTGCAAACTATTACAGACTACAAAGGGAAGCACAGCTGCGAGCTGCCCAGTGACACGAGCCTACCAGACAAGCTAAATTACTTCTATGCTCGCTTCGAGGCAAGCAACACTGAAGCATGCATGAGAGCATCAGCTGTTCCGGATGACTGTGTGATCACGCTCTCCGTAGCCGATGTGAGTAAGTCCTTTAAACAGGTCAACATTCACAAGGCCAGATGGATTACCAGGACGTGTACTCCGAACATGCGCTGACCAACTGGCAAGTGTCTTCACTGACATTTTCAACCTGTCCCTGACTGAGTCTGTAATACCAACATGTTTCAAGCAGACCACCATAGTTCCCTGTGCCCAAGAACACTAACATAACCTGCCTAAATGACTACTGACCCGTAGCACTCACGTCTGTAGCCATGAAGTGCTTTGAAAGGCTGGTCATGGCTCACATCAACACCATTATCCCAGAAACCCTAGACCCACTCAAATTTGCATACCGCCCCAACACACCCACAGATGATGCAATCTCTATTGCACTCCACACTGCCCTTTCCCACCTGGACAAAAGGAACACCTACGTGAGAATGCTATTCCAGGCGGTGTCAGAGGAAGGCCCTCAAAATTGTCAAAGACTCCAGCCACCCTAGTCATAGACTGTTCTCTCTGCTACCGCACGGCAAGCGGTACCGGAGTGCCAAGTCTAGGTCCAAAAGACTTCTCAACAGCTTCTACCCCCAAGCAATAAGACTCCTGAACAGCTAATCATGGCTACCCGGACTATTTGCACTGCCCCCCCACCCCATCCTTTTTACGCTGCTGCTACTCTGTTAATTATTTATGCATAGTCACTTTAACTCTACCCACATGTACATATTACTTCAACTACCTCAACTAGCCGGTGCCCCCGCACATTGACTCTGCACCGGTACCCCCCTGTATATATAGCCTCCCTACTGTTATTTTATTTTACTTCTGCTCTTTTTTTTCTCAACACTTTTTTGTTGTTGTTTTATTTTTACTTTTTTTGTTAAAAATAAATGCACTGTTGGTTAAGGGCTGTAAGTAAGCATTTCACGGTGATGTCTGCACCTGTTGTATTCGGCGCATGTGACCAATAAAATGTGATTTGATTTGATTTATTCATTGACTACAGCTCAGCGTTCAACACCATAGTGCCCTCAAAGCTCATCACTAAGCTAAGGACCCTGGGACTAAACACCTCCCTCTGCAACTGTATCCTGGACTTCCTGACGGATCGCACGCAGGTGGTAAGGGTAGGTAACAATACATCTGCCACGCTGACCCTCAACACGAAGGCCCCTCAGGGGTGCGTGCTCAGTCCCCTCCTGTACTCCCTGTTCACCCATGACTGCATGGCCAGGCACGACTCCAACACCATCATTAAGTTTGCCGACGACACAACAGTGACACAGCCTATAGGGAGGTCAGAAACCTGGCCGTGTGGTGCCAGGATAACAACCTCTCCCTCAACGTGATCAAGACAAAGGAGATGACTGTGGACTACAGGAAAAAGAAGAGGACCGAGCATGCCCCCATTCTCATCGACGGGGCTGTAGTGGAGCAGGTTGAGAGCTTCAAGTTCCTTGGTGTCCACATCACCAACAAACTATCATGGTCCAAACACACCAAGACAGTCGTGAAGAGGCCACGACAAAGCCTATTCCCCCTCAGGAGACTCAAGATTTGGCATGGGTCCTCAGATCCTCAAAAAGTTCTACAGCTGCACCATCGAGAGCATCCTGACTGGTTGCATCACTGCCTGGTATGGCAACTGCTTGGCCCATGACCGCAAAGCACTACAGAGGCTAGTGCGTACGGCCCAGTACATCACTGGGGCCAAGCTTCCTGCCATCCAGGACCTCTATACCAGGCGGTGTCAGAGGAAAGCCCTAAAAATTGTCAAAGACTCCAGCCACCCTAGTCATGGACTGTTCCCTCTGCTATCGCACGGCAAGTGGTACCGGAGCACCAAGTCTAAGTCTAGGCTTCTTAACAGCTTCTACCCCCAAGCCACAAGACTCAGCTAATCAAATGGCTACCCGGACTATTTGCCTTGTTCCCCCCCCCCCCACCCCCTCTTTTACGCTGATGCTACTCTGTTTATTATCTATGCATAGTCACTTTAACTCTACATACATGTACATATTACCTCAATTACCTTGACTAACCTGTGGCCCCCCCCGCACATTGACTCTGTACCGGTACCCCCTGTATATAGCCTCGCTACTGTTATTTTACTGCTGCTCTTTCATTATTTGTTATTTTTTACTTATCTATTTTTTACTTAACACTTATTTTTCTTAAAACTGCATTGTTGGTTAAGGGCTTGTAAGTAAGTGTTTCACTGTAAGGTCTACACCTGTTGTATTCGGCGCATGTGACAAATACATTTGATTTGATTTTAGGCGTGCTCCATTAAAGCCTAGTACCAGTATCCCTACAATGACTCACCTCCCATTGTGAAAGGACTTTCTTTAACTTGTCGATTTCTTGGTCTTTCTTCTCCAGGTCGTCCTTTAACTGCTCAGTTCGAGGGTCCTGAGTGGTGTGATGGAAGTCACAGTTAGGCTCTGAGAGATAAGTTACACTGACCTCCATGGTCTTACCAGCAGTCACTCAAAGGTTGTTTTGCGAAAATGATTTTTACACTAAACAGATTTGCAGTCGGCCTCACCGGTTCATGCTCTGTTGAAGTCGTGACCTCAAGGCCAGTGCTGTTAGAAAACTGCTCACGTCTTTTTTCCTGCTGTACGATTTTGCTAACGTCATCCTCAAGCTTGTTGAAGAACTTGTCTTCTGGAGGTGCGGGCGGTTTCTGCTCCTAGAGAGTGATGTCATCAATGGATTCAGAATTTGAATTATGACATCACACACACAACCTACACAATTTGCGTAATATCACCACCTTTCCATCACATTCATCCTCACATGACAGGGTTTAAACCATGGCCCGAAGCACTGTAAGCCCAACACAAAGTACAACAACGTTTTCCCTCACCTCTTTTTCCAGCTTCTTACTCTGATCTGGAAAGGAGAATCATGTTTTTAAAGTAGAACACAACATGTCAAGCATTCATAGGTTGCACCTCCGTCACTCGGTCGCATCATGCCATTGTTATGAACGTTCTCAAGGCCGCGCCGTAGTGGTGCCCTAAAGTGGTGATAAACCCAGTAATTCTGGACGGAGGCTAACTACTGTTTCGTCTAAATTACACAATAGTCCCTGGAAATACGATGACATTGCTAAAGTTGTGAAATATTTTGTAGGAAACAACTTTGCCAGCATTATCATGTCGTCAAATTTACTTTAGACTGATGGCAATGTTGTCATTAGCTAGCAAAGTTTGTCAAAAATAGCTAGCAATGCTAATGTTAGCTAGCTAAAATCCGGTGGCCTCCCCTCAATCTTAGCTACATTTACATTTTAGTCATTTAGCAGACGCTCTTATCCAGAGCGACTTACAGTTAGTGAGTGCATACATTATTATTTTATTTTTTTCCCATTCCCTTAAGGACTAAGCCCGTGGGAATTGAACCCACAACCCTGCCGTTGCAAACGCTATGCTCTACCAACTGAGCTACATCCCTGCCGGCCATTCCCTCCCCTACCCTGGACGACGCTGGGCCAATTGTGCACCCCATGGGTCTCCTGGTCGCGGCTGGCTACAACAGAGCCTGGATTCGAACCAGGATCTCTAGTGGCACAGCTAGCACTGCGATGCAGTGCCTTAGACCACTGCGCCACTCGGGTCTAAGCTAGCTAAAGTTATACATCTAAAGTCAATCTGGTGACATCAAAATTATGACAAAATGTTTTCCTACTAATTATTTGCGTCCTTTTGAATGTCATTGTATTTCCAAGCCACTGTAATGGACTTTTGAGGAAATCTTAATTAGCACTCACTGACGATGCATTGAGTAGAAGGCTCAGTCGGGAATCAGTTCAAAACAAACTTTCAAAACAATATTGTGACTAAACATACAACCCATGAACGCTTCATAAAAAAAACCAGAACAATAAGATAAGTGGGGCCAGTGAGGCATTTATAGCATATCTACGCAGCACCTGCTCGAAGTGGATTGCTGAACAAGTCGTGCTACTGCTATGATGGCACTGTATTGATGAAGTTGGGCAGTGTTCGATGTTAACATAAGGGTAGCTCTGTTTGCCACTGGTAGTCTCACCCCCCTCCGCCTGGAAGTCCTTCAGAGAGACCGTCATCTTCTTGTCTTTTCCCTGTTGATTCTTCTTCTTGTCTTTCTTCCCTCCTCCTGCTCCTCGGGACTTGGGAGAGGGAATGTCTGTGCCGTCATCATCCTGACAGGAGGCAATTTAAAAGAACAGCATCTGCTTCAATGGAACATTCATTTCCTCATGAACAAAATAAACAATGTTTTGGCAGAGCCATACATGTGTAGATATATCTCCCGCTCTCCGTGATTTTTGTCAATGCTAGATGTTTACTAACAGCATGCTGCGACGGGGCAGCGTGGTACCTGTTTGTGCTTCTCAAACTCCAGTTTACTCATCATCAGTGCCTTCTCCAGGTCGGCCTCATAAAGCTCACTCGTTAACTGCATTTGGCAGAAACAAAGACAAAGATAAAGGATGGGATCAGATGGTGAATGTCAGGAAAGGGGAACACCCATGAGCAATACTCATGCCCATTCATGACCATGTCAGGTGTTATCATGGGCCCTGTTCAGAAACAACCCATATCCCTTAAGGACTAAGCAATCAATATAGATGAGATTTTTTTAGAGTATATGTAGCCTAGCGGCTAAGTGTGTTGGGCCGGTTCTATTCCCCGAGCAGACCAGGTGAAAAATATACCAATGTGCCCTTGGGCAAGGCACTTAACCCTAATTGCTCAAATGAATCAAATCTAAAATGTATTAGTAATATAGTAGTAGGACCATATTTCTAACAACTATTCAATTATCTCAGATCTCAACAAGTGTCTGGGGGGGTAGGGATAGGTTGTTTCTGGACAGGGCTCTGCTCTTAGTGAAGGGGTGTCTGTCGGGTTCTACCTGGTTGTCCCTTTGCTTCCATTGCTGCCAGCCTTCCGGGGGCATGGCTTGGTCCCCTGCCGCGGGATGGAGCAGCTCATTGGCCACACCCTGCAGAGACAGGGAGGGGGGCGGGGCAGAGGACTTCTGAGGGAGCTTCTTAAAGGCAAGATTTCTTAACTGGGGACAGGAGACACAAGTGATTATCAGTCCTCAAGCTCAGGTAAATTAGTGAAAGTGAAACCTTTGAGAACCGACATTGGGAACACCAGAAATTGGTGTTGAACAGGGAGTTGAAATGCCTCTGCCAATCACCTCATTGGCCTCGCTCTGTTGCTGCTCTTTCTTCTTCTTCCTCTTCTCCTTCTTCTTGTCGTTGCTTGCGGTGGATTTCCCCCCAGTTGTCTTCCCGGGCCGAGTCTTTCCAGAGTCCCGGACGCCTTTGGTCCTTCCTGATTCGGAATCGGAGTCCGAATCAGAGTCGACCTGGAGCAGGGCAAAGCGAGAGGCTGTGGTGTGGACGGAGATCATTGCTGACGCCATCTGCTGATTTGTGCACAACCTAAACCCAATAAGATACACACAAGAAGAAAACATGCACATCAAATTAGGCACATGCTTAGTGACAAAACCATTCAAATCTAAACTTATCCTGTGCAACTCTAGCAATAAACCAAAAGAAAGTCATAGGAAAACAGACAAATGTGAATGCCTGGTTCTACAATAAGCTAGCCTGCCTATTTCTGATCTTTAATGAAAAGATTTTGCTGTGTAGCCAAGTATGATGTAGCTACAAATTGTAAGCCAGATAATGTGATATAACCTGGGATTTGGGTGTCCATTACTGGGAGTTACAGGAAAGCCCCATTCAAACCCCATAGATTTTTCAACTAACCTGTTCTTGGCGTTTTTTTCCTCGTTTTCGATTCAGTCAAAAAAGTATCTTTGAAATGTCTGTTTCCAGTTGTAACAACAAAATGGTGCCGTCTGGTTTGCTTAATATAAGGAATTTGAAATAGTTTATTTATTTTAGCAATTACATTTACTTTTTCTACTTAAGTATATTTCAAACCAAATACTTTGACTTTTACTCAAGTAGTATTTTACTTGGTGACTTTCACTTGAGTCAATTTCTTTTAAGATATCTTTACTTTTACTAAATATGACAATTGGGTACTTTTTCCACCACTGTCGCCAAGAAAAGGCTATTAGTTGTCAAATCTATGGCGGCGGTTTGTATGTGGCTTTCCTGTAACGCCCAGTAATGGACACCAAAAATATTTGGTTATATTACATTATCTGGCGTACAATCTGTAGCTAGTATTAGCCTACTTTATGGTGAGTAAACAAAGTAGTAAACACTTGTGTCTGGCTCCAGTGACTGGCTAGCTAGCTCGATGCAGATTAGTTTATTGCTAGTAGCTAACGTTAACTTACATGACATATCATGTCCCATGCCACTTATAAGGGCAGCTTGCTGGCTGGCTCACCTGTCCCGCACTGGCACTTCTCTTCAGTTTAGTTAGCTAACTAGGTAGTTAGCTAACCAACTGGGTTTCAACGTTGTGCGAGTAATATATCTGCCTATAGCTAACTAGCTAGTTGGTTAACACCGTTTCAACGTTTAACGTTACTACAACACGGCGCAGAGGGGAGTGGGCATTAGGTAATTGGAGATCTTGCTAGATAGCTAGTTATCTAACTACCGAAAGAAACAGTGTCCGTCCGATTAGCTTGGTTTAAATAAAACATCGAATTTCGTTGCCTAGCTAGCCCAGTCGTAACAGTTTTAGCTGGCTAGCATATTATCTACATTGCATCCATATCAATGATATAGCTAGCTAAGTAGCTCGTATAGGCTATCATTACTCGTATATATGACAAACTCAAATGCTTTTATAATTTGGAAATCAGATCATTAAAATATTGTACAGTGTATGTTTGAGGGAAAATAAGAAAACATGTAATTTAAAACATACTTTCACCTGTTCGAGTAGTTAACCACACGTTCACCACTTCCAGTCGGTAAAGTAGATATGGTGGCCCAGTTGCCCAAAAAGTGTTCTGCAAGCAGCGGGCCCAAGCAGTAATGTGTTGGCTTCCCTTAATCAGTAGAGGGAGACATAGGTCTACTTTTCCGCGACAGTGTATTCATGACAGCAACATTCTATCATTCATGATGATCATCATCATACATTGTATCGCGATTGACGATCCGCTTATTTATACAGCGTTCAGTTCAGGTCAGGACCACTCGTTTTCAGTATTCACAAGAAGTTTAATCATACAATGTTTCGTGGCAGTATGATCATGGTCGGCGCCTATATTATTTAGAATTGAACTTTAATTATCCGTGCTTATGTTATTTATTAGTTAGGAATTTTCTAAATATGCATTGTGCCACCTCGACCTCTTCCTTGAAATTGGTATGTGTAGTCAACATGCAACAGGTGTCATGTCATGTCTGCGAGCTTGCACCCATTGACAACAATATCGAAGATAGCCACGAGATGGCGTCCGGTGCGTCAAAGTCTGCAATGCCACCAGATCATCGTTTGACTCAAACCAAGCCCCTCTTTGTGTAGCTATTATTTCGATTTTATTGTGATCATATTGTTCCATTTTAAACGCTGTCGGGTCCACCAGCGACAGGTTTAGGCCTATTCATAGGTTTAGTTCTGCACTGGTGTAGTTCCTACATAATAGCGTATGATGTTACTAAGATGTGCTGTAGCCTAGGTCATGTCATGTTTAAGATGTATTAATAAACAATAGGTTTGTCATGTACACACACTCCGCATTTTAAATTCATTATCCTATATGAGGGAGTAGCCTATGCCAGTATTTTAGTATTTTATTATAGGCCTACCAACATAGTGACAGGTTTGTTTGGTAAAAGGTTATTTAATCAACCTATTCAAAAAATGTGTAGGGTGAACATTAAACTCGAATGATTTACACTGGATGCTCGCATGCTCGTACAATACTATCAGCTGTTTAACCAAACTTGTTATTTGGCTCACTGCCTCTGCTCTCTCCCTTGTTCCATTAGGCGGAAGGAGAGGGCAGATAAAGTTCTGCGCATGCTCTATAGGTTGTTTTTCACAAAATCCTCGCTTAAAGTGAGCTGAGCGACGAAAGTTCCTTGTCTTTGACTAGAGACCAACGCGCGGAAGGGCTGACGGGCGGACGATAACAGCATCCACTGCTGTTATTAGCCTTCACATCTCAATGAACTGTTGTCAAAGAAAGCACTGATCATGCCCACTGCTTTTGCAGGGCAAAGATATTGATCAGTGTTTGAATACTGCATTTTTTCTTATGAGATTATTTTTCATTGATTTTTATTTGTAGGTACATATTTTTCCACCATGGTGCTAGGAAAGGTGAAGAGCTTCACCGTAAGCTACGACTGTCTCAATGACAGCAATGTCCCCGTTTTCGCAAGCGGGGACTCCGTCTCAGGTAGGGTTATCATCGAAGTCACTGGAGAAATCCGTGTGAAATCTCTTAAAATTCAAGCAAAGGGATTTGCAAAAGTTCGTTGGACTGAATCCCGAAATGCTGGATCTAACACTGCCTATACGCAAAATTACACAGAAGAAGTGGAATATCTAAACCATAGAGACATCCTAATTGGACATGAAAGAGGTAAGATAGCCTAATACAACCTTGTTTGTAGCTAAAGAAATCACTTTTTTCCTAAGATGCTCTGTGTAGGCTAGTCATTGTGGTCTCTTGAGGTTCCTCACAGAGGATGCTGTTGTTCTGTCAACCTAACGTGATATGTTACAGGCTGGCTGACAATGAACACAATTGAATGCATAACAGAGAAAGATTGGGGACGGTCTGTGAACCAGCATCACAATCACAACACCTTTTTATTACTGCCTACAACACATGAATATGGGTACATGCATGTCTTGCAGGTCAAATTCTCCTTGAGACATGCCAACTACAGTAGGATATTCTTTAATGAAATCATTTAAGATATGGGAATATATTTTATCATGATACTTTATTAATCATGTAGGCCTATTCAAGCACAGGCTAATTCTAAAGTCTATCAAGTTAGCAATGTCTGGGCTGCAGACTGAATGATAGTGGTCTCTACCCTTCCTTAAATTTAGCCTATTATAACAATTATATAAATTACAATGTTTCATCAAAACAGTACATTGAGGTACATAGCAGTCTCCGTTTACATATTTGTAGTTTTACCTAAAGAAAATAGTTTTTATCGAGCGATCTTGTCAGGTTTAACATTGTAGCTTTTCTTAAGTTTCCACCCATTGTTCAAAGCGGTTCAATCCTGTTCAGAAACTGGATGTGTGGGGGTTTTAGGGACTGTACTTTCTCTCCGTTGATTGGCTGAAGTGCTCATGTGTCTTCCAATGACGGAATGCTTTTGCAGAAAGTGACAGAGAAGCCTGCAACTTTGTATCCGACCTGCCAGCACAAAGTTACAAAGTCGCGTCAAAAGAAAAATAGCATTCGTTCCATTTATTTGATGCCTTCATGTGTAGGCATGTCTAGTGTTTAGTGCTACTACATAGCCTAATATAAGCAACATTCAGATATCAAATGAATGGTGCATAAGTCCTGCACTTGGCTATAAACTAGAAATTGTAAAATGATTAAGCCTATCTGAATGCACAACACTTTAGCCTATTTGCGGATGATAAATGTAGGCCTGTTTTTGTTCACTTTCAATTTACACCACTGAAACTCGGTAGTCCTAAGGACTAGAAAAGGTTTGTTAGCCTGTTGCTAATGTACGTAGTAGATCTTTCCGCTGATTGGATAGAAACGTCAGTCGGAGAACATAAGTAGCTTAATTGAATGTGGGGTGGAAATGCATGCCATGAAGTATTTTATTTTTCACCCATTGCCTGTTCCTTGTTATCGGCTGTAAATGCATTTACATTTACGTCATTTAGCAGACGCTTTTATACAGAGCGACTTACAGTTAGTGAGTGCATACATTTTATTTATTTTTCATACTGGCCCCCCGTGGGAATCGAACCCACAACCCTGGCGTTGCAAACGCCATGCTCTACCAACTGAGCTACACGGGACTACGGTTTGTTTCTTGATGGTGAAAATAATGTATTTGATCTGTCTCTGTATGGGGAATAATGTATGCATATGTTGCTAATGTTTTTATATCAATTGTTGAATAGTTTGATTCGGTTTCTTGAAATTGTCAATGCCTTCCTCTGTGGGTTTATTAAAATAATGTATGTAGTTTATGGATATCAGTGGCGCTTAATAAAGGTTTAATTAATTGAATTGCTTCTTTGTCTGTCGTCTTCTTCATTAGCGGTGTTTGTTCCACTTGTCTCTTACGATCCCTGGTCCATGCTGCAGTAATTTACACGCTTCAGATCTTGAGGGGGTTGTCCCTGATAGTGAACCACTGACTGAATGCCGCACAGTGAATGCGTAATGAGAGAGCCAGCTTGGGGAAGCTGCTCGCTCCGGTTTAGGCTGGTCTTCTCCTGCTCCAGTCTGCTTTTGAGTGACAGCTCGGCAGTTGCTAAGGCTGGGAGGAGTGCTGAGCTAGAGGAAACGGAGCTCCTGCTCTATAGCGCGTTACTTTCAAATAGCACACAGCGAGACATATTTTAGTACTTATCATATAATGCGTAATTAATTACACAACACCAAAATCATCTCTCCTTATTAGCCTACACAAGGAAAAATGCATCATTTCAGAGAAATAAGAATTAGATTCTCTATTTTAAAGTTCATAATTGGGGAAGATTACATCACATTTATGTGCTTTTATATTAACATTGTTTGTATATATTATATATGTTCTCCCTTTCAATACTGACTTACACAATGTGTCAGTGTTATTGTTCAAGACTTTAAAGGTTTTTTGCTAGCTAGGTAAATATGTTTCTAGAAGGATCATCTTTAATTACAGAGATAATTTCACATTATAATATTTTTCTCTCATTATTTTCATATTCAGTACTTCCTGTTGTCCAATAATGATACAAATAATAATAGTTTTATTGTGCTCTCTGCTGTGGTGATTTTGTGTGTTATCTGTGTGTTGTATTTGTGTTGTAATACTTAGATGACATCATACTGTATATTTCCCAGGTGTGGTATACATGTGTTGGAATATTGTCCTTCTGTTGTTTCAGATGAGGACAACTCAGAAGAAGGACTCACCACTATCCATTCAGGAAGACACGAGTATGCGTTCAGCCTTGAGCTTCCACAGACGTGAGTATCTCCACTTAACTTATCAAAAGACTGATTAAGGAAACGTTTTTCTATTTAATATCCTTATGTCTTTCCTTAGTTGAAGAGGCTGGCTTTATGTTCTCCCGAAATGACCTGTTTTTGTCCCCCCTGTCTCTCATCCCTCTCAGACCTCTGGCTACCTCGTTCGAAGGGAAGCACGGCAGCGTGCGCTACTGGGTGAAGGCGGAGCTACACAGGCCATGGCTTCTGCCCATGAAGACCAAGAAAGAATTCACCGTCTTCGAACATATCGACATCAACACTCCCTTACTGCTGGTGAGCGCACGGATCTTTCTCCTGTACAGTTAAATCAAATCAAATTGTATTCGCCGAATAAAATGCTTACTTACAAGACCTTAACCAACAATGCAGTTTTAAGAAAGAATACCAAAAAATATATATAATAATTAAAGAGCAGCAGTAAAATAACAATAGCGAGGCTATATACAGGGGGTACCGGTACCGAGTCAATGTGCGGGGGCACTGGTTAGTACACACAGTGTCTGTGTGTTTGTGCGTTGTAAATGTGTAGTAGACCATAGGAACTTCCTTGGTTGCCCCTAATCTGTTTAGGGTCTTTGAATGGTTCCATGGTTCAGTTGGCAGCATAGATCTATTTCCATTGGCAGCCAAGAGAGAGACTTAAAGGTGGAAGTATGACAAATGTTTAGCCACAAATGTTGCCCAATTGTTGGCCAGATATAGAAAGAATTAGCAAAAATACCATCACTCAGGCACCTTGCTTTTCATTGGTTGTAATCTGATTTGGTGTCATGGCTGCCAGTGCTTCTGTTATTGTGGTGGCAGAATGTGCTAGTTACACATTTTGTTATACTAGCGGATCCCAAACCCATAGCACAGAGGATGACAGTGGACATGGGTTGTGAAAAACCCGTCAGCTGGGCCATACCTAACAGAGATTATGTTCTGATCAGTTGGTAAAAGGAGAGAAATCAAGACATTCAGAACATGGTTCAAATAAAGTGGTGTTGTTGGTGATATATGGGTGTTAAATGACAGTTGAGGGGGAATTTATATTTAATGTTCTGTGATAGTCTGTGACAGCCACTTAGTATGGTGACGACCTCTGCTGTCTAAACATGTCTTCCGGGTTTATGGAAAGAAAAACAGGTTTTCTCCATGTTTTTGAATGACGGGCCTCAGGTGCTGTGTGTCATTATGTTAACTGAGAGAGGTGCAGCTTTCTGTCAGGGGGCCATGACTACCCCCCCCCCCCGATGGAAAATTGAGGAGAGGAATAAGGGAGCCTGATTCTCAAGCTCTTACATTCCATTGTTTTCTCTGTCTGTTTCACAGTCACCCCAGGCAGGTACGAAAGACAAGACTTTATGCTGCTGGTTCTGCACCTCAGGTCCAATATCCTTAAGTGCCAAAATCGAAAGGAAGGGATATACCCCAGGTGAGGAGAACACCCTGACTCTGTCACTCTTGTAGATGTATGACTATAGATGACTGCTGTATTATGTTTGATGATGACATCTCAATCGAAGGATCTTTGGACCGATTTAACTAAACCCCTTCTTTCTTGTCTTTGCAGGAGAGTCGATTCAGATCTTTGCTGAGATCGAGAATTGTTCCTCTCGCATGGTCGTGCCAAAGGCAGCCATTTACCAAACACAGACCTTCAAAGCCAAAGGAAAACTGAAGGAGGTCAAACAGCTGGTGGCAAACCTCCGAGGGGAGTCTCTGTCCTCGGGCAAGACGGAGACGTGGAGTGGCAAAATGCTGAAGATCCCCCCGGTCTCTCCCTCCATCTTGGACTGCAGCATCATCCAAGTGGAATATTCTCTCATGGTGAGTACAGCTACTGCCCTTGGCAGACCCTATCTTCCTCTTTCTCCCTCTCACCTTCTCGCTCCAATTTCTCATCTCCAATGTGGTGGTGACAATTGACAACCGATTTTCAGACACGTTGAGGTAAATCTGGACATGTAAATATGGAGTGATGTGATGTAAAAAGTCAAGACACTATTATGGGCCACATGTGACATTGATACTAGGCACATTTCCAAAGATTTCTTGAATTCCTAGAAAGCTCTCTTAAGTTTCCCACTGTGACCTAGCCTATTATCTAGGTAGCTTTGGCAAAGGCATTGTCATTGTACCAGGTCTCCATACGCAGTTAAGAGGATCAGTCTAGAATATCTGTGGCAACAGTTGTCTTAGAGGTGCTAATGACCTCTATACCCTGTCAGACTGCTTCAGGCTTTTCCTTGCATAAGTGGAACACCCACATGAGATTAACTCCCATACAGTATGAGTGTAACACTGTGGAATACACAGGTGTGTTGTTCAGTGAAGGTGGACCTACAGTTCTAACCCTCTGCGGTGTGCTGCTTACCCTCTCCAGGTGTACGTAGACATCCCCGGAGCCATGAACCTGTCTCTGAACCTGCCACTGGTCATGGGCACTATCCCGCTGCACCCCTTTGGCAGCCGCACCTCCAGTGTCAGCAGCCAATGCAGTATGACCATGAGCTGGTTAGGCATGGCCCTGCCAGAGCGCCCTGAAGCCCCACCGAGCTATGCCGAGATCGTGACAGAGGAGCAGAGACAGAGCCTGGTTGTGACCTCAGCCAGGGATGAGTTGGAGGGACCACTCTTTGCCTACATCCAAGAGTTTCGCTTCCAGCCCCCTCCGCTCTACTCTGAGGTATGCATCAGCAAAACGTACACCCTCGACTAAGACTAATGCTTTTACACACTGCAGTTAGTGAACATATTCAAGTCTGGTAGCCGAGAGGTGCCGTTCCAGTAATTAAAGCAGTGTCTCCTTCTCTTCCGCCAGGTTGATCCCAATCCTGATCAAGCCAGCCGGACAAGGGAGCGGAGGTCTGACACCTGTCCATCACGCTGAAGGAAACTCGGAGCCCCGCCCGGAGACGTTTCGGGCGTTTCTAGTCAGCTCTGTTTTAGTTTTTTCCTCAGCGACAGCACTCCGCCGTCGATGTCGAGAGAAAACAAACAAAGAAACAAACGTGGACCATACCATGGGTGAACGAAGCCCCTTCCACAGAGAGAGGCACAGGAAGTCAGTACGGGGAATACATCCTGGCAGCCTGCCTGCCTGGCTGGGGGACGGCTGGACAAACACACACCTGACCTGTAAGAAAATAAACCCCTGTAGTGGAGACAGCCTTGGTGGAGTAATGATGACATGCCAGGGCACTGTCTGCCCGTAGCTCTTAATCGCCTGCTTTCTTCTGTAACATACAGACATGGCTCTCACACAGAGCAGAACTGTCTTGTTGAGACCTGAGCAGAAAGAAGAAGGAAACAGAAAGAAGAGAAAACCACATAAGCAGCAGTGTCTGAAGTGTCCACAGCAGAGAGACTACCCTCCTGTCTCATGTGGGATTTTTGCACATGTTATTCTTTGCTTGAGTTGTGTAGTTCTGTTTTGAAGAAGAATCAATAATCACTAATAGTTTTTTTCAGCCTAGTAACATGCTGGACGAAAGAGACTGCCTAGACTCCTTATCCACACAACTTCGAACAACGCAGAGAACATAGCTACTTGGAGGAAAGCAAGACTGAAAAGGACAGAAACACCTACCTTGTTTAAGCTGTTTTAAGATGTTATTTTTCCTTATCACATTTCCTTAATGACATGTAGACTGGACTTGAAAGCAGCAGCACACTCTCCATTCAAAAGCAATTTTTCGATGTCTCCTCAGTTGGCTTCCTTTTTCCTTTACTAGATTCTGTCTTTTGATTTAGTTCCGAACTTAGAATGCCTTCAATCCAATCATATGTTGCTTTGTGTTTATGTTCCGCTGTGTTCTAGAGTAGAGGAGCCTCAGGCCAGCACTTGCCACTCAAGTAGAGCATTAAATGCAGAGTATTGTGAGTGTGTGTATGCGTGTGAGACAGAAAGAGTGGGACATATTAGAATAGCCACCCTCAGTGTCTCCCTGTCCCTCTACTCACAGCACAGAGTGAGGCAGGCTTACATACGGGCAAAAACAGCACTGTCTCAGGTGGTCTTCTCACTTGCCCCCCCCCAAAAAAAATATATATATTTTTTTTAATTGCACTGTTTTAAATGGTGAAAGGAGGATTTCTTGTATTTTAAAATAGTATATTACCAAAACAAGAGAGAAGAGAAATACACAGAGCAGCAAGGCAGCTTGCGAAGACGAACGACATTCCCTTTTTGTCCATGCTGCACTTGCCGACTTCATTCACCAACTACTTCATTTTCCAGACCAGTGAAGACTGAAATGCTAAAATTATATATACAAAAAGTAAGAGTACATGGTATGATCTGCTTCTAAAAATGGGGCAGACGCAAACCCAGCCTGGCAAACTTCTGGGGAATAATTGGACCAGTGGAGGCTGGTGGGAGGAGCTGGAATATGGAAACCACATGTTTGACTCCGTTCCTTTTAATTCCATTCTAGTCAATACAATGAGACCCTCCTCCTATAGCTCCTCCCATAAGCCTCCACTGAATTGGACATTGCTAAAGCTCCACTCAAACTGTCCAGAACAAGTAGTGGTAGGTTGACATGAGTAATACATTGGTTTTCAAACTCATTCAACACCTAGACCAGCTAGAGTGGAGAATTGGCATCGTCTTAAACATGAGGCACTTTTTGATAATAAAAAGAAAAATAGCATTGATGGTGGGAGGTCTGGAAAAAGTCTGGTAACCACATAATTTTCTGATGAGAAATGTAGTCAAGCAGTGTTGTGTTGGACATTAATGCATTATATAATCTTCTAAAATTAGAGAGATAAAAAAAAAAGAAAAGTTTACAGTTTGAATTAGTTGACAGAAGTTTGTATATATGTTTGTGTGCTCTGTTAAGATCCAGCTAGGAAATATAAGAATACTGCTGACAGTAGTAGACTTAATTAAAGTGATCTTATCTTAGTGGCCTTGACACAGAACTGACCTAATTATGATGCTTCATTATCGAGTGTCTATACAATTTACAACCTTAATCTTGTTGCTCTTTCCGTTGTCTGTATGTAAGATTAGTCCTTTTATGTTTTTCAAAGGGACAAAAAGGGAAGAAAAAAATAGTCCTTAAAAGAAAGTGTTAAAAAAAATGTACGATCCCTGGACAAGCCTCTTTGATTGTGCACTTGTCTGAATGTCTTTACTGATGACTGGGCTAGATAATGTCTTTACTGATGACTGGGCTAGATAATGTCTTTACTGATGACTGGGCTAGATAATGTCTTTACTGATGACTGGGCTAGATAATGTCTTTAGTGATGACTGGGCTAGATAATGTCTTTACTGATGACTGGGCTAGATAATGTCTTTAGTGATGACTGGGCTAGATAATGTCTTTACTGATGACTGGGCTAGATAATGTCTTTACTGATGACTGGGCTAGATAATGTCTTTACTGATGACTGGGCTAGATAATGTCTTTACTGATGACTGGGCTAGATAATGTACTTGGGCATTGATGGTTTGTTATCCAGTCAGACAACCCCATTTAGTTAAGGTCTACTCACCTCTCAGCTTCACGGAACAGCTGTGGATCAGCAACCCTCCCTCCCCCACTGAGAACGAATTAGCTAACAAGTGGAATAGACCGCTATTCTAAGATAAAAATCTGTCTCCCCAATTTTGTTTTGTTTGTTTTGCTTCGATTTTATCTTAGGGAATATGTATCAAGCTAAAAGAAAAATGAATAAGCTTAAATCTGTTTCAGGTTGGTCAATTCTATAGTCCATTGTTCGGTGTAGTCCAGTGTTAAAAGCTACATTCCTGACTTATTGAAGTGAGGAATCAAAATGCTAAAAATGGGAGAGTGGATCTAAAATGTTTTAGAAACAAAGTGCAATATTACTAATCTGAATGTGTTTTATTCTCTATTTGTACGTCTAGTTTCTCCTTTGTCTTTCTAGTTTGTTGGTCACGATCGTCTATAGATATTGTATGAATGTCCTGAATGATTGTAACCATTTGTCTAGTTCTTCTTTTGAGTTTAATAAACTTTTGTTAAAATTTACAATGACAGTTGTGGGAATCATTAATGTATTTCTTCTTGATGAGACCACTAAGCCAACTTCAGCAGATATGTTTATTTTATTTTATTAACATACAAAAATATGATAACATAGATCAGGTAGTCTGACATCAATTTAGTTAGGCTCAACTATCCATAGCCTATATGACGACCAAGGGCCGAACATCAGGGGAGGTGCAGCAGTCCCACACAAGTTCTCACTACCCTATAGTCACTTCACACACAGCCAAATCTTCCATAACGTGCAACAGCGCCCCTGCTGGTTGTTCCTAGAACTTACACTTCACTCCAACACATTCAATAGTCCAATAGTGTGGGCCAGACACAAGACATACATATTGGTAGTCGTTTTCTAGAAACGAAATGTCACACAAGTAGCTATAAACAATCCAAAGTTAATAAGGAATACCATTACCTACATGATGGTTATATCCAAATGTACATGGTTTTATTTTTGTCTTGGTAAAGGTTTCGTGTGTTACTGTAAAGTGAGCGTGCTGTAAGGCCTCCCAACCCAAACCAGGAGTTCATATCCGCCATACTTATCTCCAAGACCAGCAGTGTTTACACAACTTCATGACTTCAACAAACATTATTTTGTTTATTTTCCTTGCAATGGTTCTCATAGGAAAAGGTTGAGGAAAACATATTTGCCACAGCATTACATTTCATTCCATTCGTTTTATACACGCATGTGAGCAAATAATTTATAAATACACTAGATTACTTTTTGGGGGCACTGTTTTGAAACCACTACATCTCCATCTTTGTACTCCCCCACGTTGTAAAAAATATTTTGGAAGGTATAAAAATTCATTTATTAATATTTACATTTAGTTTTTGCTATGTTTATTCTATTACAGACACCTTGACGTAATTTTAAATTATATTATGTGAGCTAAACATAAAAATAGAAAATGAAAAAAATATATAAAAACATTGATAATAATCTTACCCCACAACAACAACAAAAAATACTTAAATGCATACAATTGTGTCCTTGAAACATTTAATTGAAATACTGTAGAATTCCATTAATTCCTATGGAGGACTGCTTCTTCTAGGGATTGCCAATATGGCCGACCGGTGGCTTCAAAGCGTCTCACCACCTTTCCATGCAAGGTACCATGAATAAGGTCGAGCGAACCTACCCGTTCCAAGTGTAAAAAGCATTAACTTATTTTTTTCCGATAGAAATAACGCATTCTCTATGCACTATCATTTACAGCTTGATAAGAGCTATTGATAAGAGCTAGGTAAATGAGTACTCCGTTTGGATAAGGGAATTGTAAATATAAATTACACTTGTTTTAGATCTATTTTAACTTATAAGCACTGGAGACAAATGTGAAACCAGTCATATGGCAGCAAACTGAAGCATATCAACATATCAACTTTCCCACAGTAAAGTTTATGAAATGCTGTGCCATTATGCATAATTTAAATTGTATGTACTTTTAACTTGCAGGAATGGGCACTCTCGAATGTCTTAATTACAGGCTACCCCGACTTTCACTGTTTCTTATTTCTGTCGTTAAATATTAGCCACTATCAGTATCGACCGTCAGTAGGCCTAATAACCACACATATTCAACTGCCAATTTACTGTTAGTTCCCTTCAGTTGGTATAGTCTACATTATCATTCCATTTAATGACATTGTTTCGTTTACCTTCATTTGCTTCCTCTGTAAACGCCATCACGGCCGTGTGGTTGTTGCTGAGGATCATTAGTAACAGTTGATAATATATAAAAAGACACTTAGGCTAATTAAATCGTTATGGAGCGGAGCGCAGACCAAGCGGTAACAGTTCGAACCCTATGCAATGGCGAAATACTTTGCCACACAGTTCCATGGGTAGTGCAGGCAATAGACGAGGGTATAGCCTACTATTGTACACTATTCTCCCTATTATAATTCTATGTACACTAATCTTCCAACATTATCATGGGTTGAAGAACTGAATGTGTCAGTTTTCTTTATTTCGTGCGTAAAGGCGCTCCGAACCTGTTTTTTTTAATGATTTATAAATACTTTTCTAAACCTAAATAATTGGCAAGATCAGAGTATTATTAAATCTACCAATTGGTTCTGAAACGGAGACGAATA